TACTGAGACTCTACCGACGAGCGCACTACGATTTGGTCATCGGGCGTGAGATTCCTCGGGGTACCACGTTTGGGCTTTTTAGGGACTGCGTACAACGGCGTGCCTGTTGCTGCATTCGCGCCGGGCTGGGCTGGAGCTACCGTGCCTGTGGTAGCACCGATGGCCCCGGGGCCTGTGGATGGCATTTGTTGGTAAGTATTGTCTCTCTCAACCAAACTGAACGTGGCATCGGTGGGAGATGAACGCACTTCTTGGTAGGTGTTACCGCGTTGTTCCGCTGGGACATCGGGGTAGGTGGCCGGTACCTCTTGGTATGTGTTACCGCGTTCATCTACCGTGGCTTCATCGGTGGCATTTGGTAGAACATCCTCGTAGTTGGTACCAAGCTCCACCATGGTGTAGCGCGCCGCTACTGTTGGAGATTTCTTTCTCCTCCATACGCAGCAGTAACAGATGAGCACCACTATAACAGCTGTGACAGCCGCAGTCACCAGTACAGCCGAAATAATGACAACGGTTGGGAAAGGTCCATCAATGGGCTGGTTTGTGACGACACGGTGTCGCGCATTTGTCGCTGACGACAGGGTCGTGATAGCGGGCACGGTGGCTCCGTTAACTGGGGCCGTATCAGATGCAGATGGCTGAGTTGGATGAAGAGTCACGGTGGTTTCGATATTTGCGACCGTAGTTAGGGAGTCTTTCTCAGCAGTTGTTGGGGAGTTTTTCTCAGCAGCAGTTGTCAGAGTGGGAGCTTCTGTTTTAATTACCGAAATCTTAGCTGACGAGTTGTTTGATAATCCATTAGGGGTGGTCACGATGCAGGTCGCTGTAATGTCTTCTCTGACCGTCGAAATGGACAGTAAGTGCACGCCTTGGGTAACCGTATCCTGTCCAAGCGGTAGCTCTTCCCCCGTTGCTGTAGCTCTTATCTCCCATCGGTAGCTCGCAATACTAGGTATACCGGAGGCTTCGCATACCAGCGAAACACCAGTGGCTTCGTCGATCGTAAGCACCGGAGGGGTAACCCTAGCTGTTGGGAGGATCTCCAGAGGTCTTACGGAGCAGGATCTCGGTCCGTCCTGCTGAGGCGAGGTCAGAGTGCAGGTGAAATCCACCCCGTTGTCCTCCGGTAGCAACTGTCTCTGGAAGGCCAGCTGATCGGTCGTGGAGCTGGCCAGAGAGATCTCGGAGTCACCCCGGCGATATTCGATCAGAGTCGGTGAGAAGGCACCTCCCGTGACTGCAATGATGCACCGAAGGTTCACCTGGTCCCCGACCGCGACATGAGCGTCTCCTCCCAGGGCAGGCTCCACGATGCACTCCGGCGCAGGTATGTACAGCGTCAATGCGGTAGTCGCAATCTCCTTACTCAGCGCAGCAGGGTACATGTAAAAACACGAGTAGCCCCCTAGGTCAGAAAGCCTGAAGTCTCTTATCCTGAGATTGAACTGCTCTTGGGCCGGATCACCGACGATCTCCAGCCGCTCCGCCAAGGCTTCCGGTAGATCGGTCCGGATGTCCCGGTTGTAACTCAAGATACGTCCTCCTGCCTCGTAGTGGTACCATTGTATCCGGCTGTTGCCGACGTCTCGTAAGTCACAAACGAGCGTGACCGTGTCACTAACATTCACGAATATCTCCCCCGGCGGTCCCTCGTCCAGGGAGATGTAGGCCGTCGCAAGGTGAAAACCGACGGCCAGTAGAGCTATCTTCGCCACGGTGAACGTACCCATCCCGGAGATGCACATAACATCCAAACTTCATAGATTGCGGTCCTTTTTAGTGATGCTCACTCAACGGAGTTCTTGAACTAAATAACCCACTGTAGTTCATCGGTTGCGGGTATTCTGTCCACTAAGCGAGTTCCGGTAGGATTGTGACCTTCTGTTCTTTGCGTAGGTAGTGACATAACTTGGATCAGTTTCGGTTCTATTGTGAATACTGGGCTATAACCTACACACTAGCGTCACGGCTGAACGCTATTAATTTGTGACTTTTGTCACATTACCGGCGAACCAAGTCATACACGATTATTTGTCATTTTTGTAATGTCCATTGATTTTAATTGCTGAATCCTTCGTTCCTTGTTTGTAATGTTTGTAACTGTTTAATGTGAACCATATTGTACATGTATAAGCCTTTACTTCTTAATTTGGCGGTTAATTTGGACACAACTATAGGCAAGCAAATTCAAGGCATAGGCCTATACATGTATAGGATCATTTTCGTTTCATGCATTTTTTTCCCGTTTACAATAAACCACCGCTTCAAAGCTAGAGCAGATTGTTCAAAACCTCACCTTTTCAGCTCTGTGGACATTACACTTTTGGAGAAAACAGTGAAAAAACATGTACAACCATTTGCTTTTGGTCACGAAACAACGTCAATTTCGTCAATTGCACTCCTTAGTCTTTCAAATAAAAAATAAAATATCAGTCAATTTACTGATCGTTGGAAATCATGATTGCTTCGAAATGACGGCAAGCCAGACGGAATAATTTCACGGGGTGTTGAGGACCAGTAGGATCTTTAATCAAAGTCATCAAAAAGGTATATAAGTATATATATAAGTATCAAAAAGGTATATATATATATATATATATATATAAAACTGGTCCCTGACCAGTTGTCTTAAGGTTCTAGGTTCTTAGAGGTTCTTAGGGGGACTAGTAAGGGTGTGGGGTCCCACCCCAAGGGACGTTTTGAGGCAGGGTAGGGCTTAAGCGGTCAGTCTGTCAATGAGATAGGTGCAAAAAGGACACCGGGCTGGCCTAAAAGTAAAACCGACAATGAGGTAAAATCTATTCGGAACTGACGAGGACAATTCCATCAAAATAGGCTATGCATTGTGTTCCCTGCTTTGTCTAGGTCAATGACCCACACGATCTCGAGGTTACGGTGTCATATGAAGTTTAGACTCCTGAGAACTCTGGTCTCTTTCTATTATATATGGACTGTTTCTTGCCCTGCACGTGACCTGTCACTGTCCGAAGTATCTTTACTCAGACATGCGCAATATATCCAATATGAGTCGTTATTTTAGAGAGTCCGGAAATGCATCCGGGTTGGTTTTGTATCATCACAGGAGATTTGCATGACTAACAGTTACCGGAAGTCAAGAATACCAACACGAATTCTGCGCAAGTCACTTGAGCATTAAGCTATCACGTGACCTGGGGTCCCGGGGTGGGGGTGAGTTGGGGGTTGAGCCCTCCCCCTACTTTACTACAATACATATATCACTTTTGTTCAGGATGTACCGTACCAGTGTTTTTTAATTTAAATCTTTCCTTAATTGTTTTTCTGACGTTTAATATCCGCTTGAAGCCTTGTAGCAGAACAAAATACATTTTGTTTACCTCTTAAAACACAATGCTTGTGTGCGAGCAAGAATCGTATTTTATTTTCAGCATAAAACTCACATTCCCTTGCTATGGTGTCCCTGCAAGGACATCTAGGTTGAAAATTGCAAATTGAAAGACATTCATTTCCAGGGTGTCCATTTGTGGCTACCATACTCTGCTATGACAGTACTGAAGTAATAATGTAAACTTTAGCAACGTAACATTACATTTCATCCCAAAAAAAATAATTTAAAAAAAACTGTTAAAAAAAAGCAACAAATGTAGACATTTTATTGCATTTTGCCGCCAAAACCAAAACACAGTGTGGGAATACTTGTATGTTTTGGTGTTATACTTCTAAGAACAGCAACATCATCAGCAATTTTATTTACAAACCCAAAAGTGATGCTTGATAAAAAAAAATCTTTTCTTTTTTAAATTATACAATGGATGACTTTACTCAGACCATATTTTAGTTATACATATATACATAGACACCGATCATCCACAACTGAAAAAAAAATGCTTAATGTCTTGGCAAATAACTTTTAATTTCTTTTTTTTACAAATTTGAGTACATCTTATATAATTTAATGTGTACATTGTCAATCTATCATGATAAAACCCTTTGCAAATCAAATTGCAACAGTTTAAAAAAGGAAACTTCAAAACATGGTACTTATACATACCACACATTAAATATGCAATTTTCGCTGGTCCCAGAGGGCCAGCCTAGTGACCTCTTGGTGCCTATCTCAAGGACTGACTGACTGACTCCCCGACTCCCTGACTGACTGACTCCCCCCCCCCCCCACGACTGACTGACTCCCCGACTGACTACTGACTGACCGGCCGACTGACTGACCGAAAGACCGACCGACCGACTGACTGACCGACCGACTATCACTTGTGAGCCAGGCAGTGCTATCCTATAGGATGACCCTGTAACACTAATTAATGGGCTTTATCCGGCCCATTGTGTAGACTAGATGCATGAAAAGACTGCCAGTTACTAGCCATCCTGAATCAATGTAATAGAATTTGTGTGAACTCTGGGACCAGCTTTAGTACACTTGCAAGTTTCCTAGCACAACCATGTTTACGTTTAAGTCAGCCACATCAAGTCTATTTATTTTTGCATATTATTGTCCTTGTTAGGGTCATTCTTCTGGGATCAATATCTGAATTTAAAGTGAGATGTTTAAGTGATGGGCTAATAAAGGCAATAGAGTACCGAAATGAATACATCACAGGCACAATGTGTGTGTAAAACACGTTATTGCATGATTAAGCCCGTGAAGCAACACGCGCGCGTACTCCATTCCTTTGCACTACACTTTCTGGTTCTAAATGACGTCACACCTCGGTACTCTATATCTCTAGGAATTGAAAAAAAAGAGAACTGGACATTCTACAGCTACAATCTTTAGACTGCCATGTGTATAGACAGTAAAGTGCATAGCAGAATGAGTGCATGACACTGTCTTGTCAAGGACACTGTAGTAATAGTAATGTAAATGTACTACATGTAGGTTTTGAAAGCACTTTATTTATTTAGTTTTAGGCTTTTTTTTTTTTTTGGTTGCTTTTTTTTTTCAAGCTTGGATTGTACAGACAAGGTGGGTACTGCTTTGCTTGTCTGTGTCCTCATATACATTGGTGCCCTCCATCATTTGCCTTTGTGCCCTTCCCCATTCCTTGCTGCTCCTTGGTACAAAAAGTTGAGGCGGTGCGGCAATAGAGGGCACTGTTTACTAATTACATATTCCCGGGCAGTTCCACTGTGTCAGACGAACATTCTGGACAATTCAACAGTGTGCATAACAAAACTGATCCAATGCACAATTTCTGAGCAAAAACTGGACAGGCAATGACAGACATTGAGCATTCATGAATTCTGCACTGCTTGTGTGCTGTAATTTCAATTGTAACAGCTGAAAACTGATGACATATTTCCGGGCAGTTCCACTGTGTCAGACAAACATTCTGGACAATTCAACAGTGTGCATAATATAAAGCTATAATCATAAAGTGGATTCTAATTCTGATAAAACGTATCAGTTAGTTATTACACTGATTTGAAAAAAAAAAATTATTCATCCAACTGTTATTCATGTAGTAGACACCATGGTGTCTGACCGTCTGACGTACTCAGACACATTGAATTTTTTTGGTACTTATTCATCAAGTCATGGGTTAATCTCTACAGAATACACTCAGGTGTTGGCCGTATCAAGCATTTCCTGTACAAAATAGGAGCTGAGCCATCCGACACCTGTGAGTGCAGCGAAGCACAAACCATCGAGCAATTCGTCTTAAACTGCAACATCTACCAGGCTCCCCATGGTTTCGAAGGCATCATACATCTAGATGATGACACGGCAGACTGGCTGTCTTCCAGTTTGCTCGTTTAAAGCACCAATATTGAACAAGTTGGCCACCACACGCACGAACGAACGAATTACTTTTTTAGTTACAAGTAAGAGCTACACCGTTGAACATTGTTTTGGTATTGGGGTTTATATATTCCAGGGAATCGCACTTTTACATTTCAGCATGGTTATTATAAAGCACTTTATGAAAAATTGATACTGCTTTCACATATCTCTTTTAACGCTTCAGTCACTGTACCGCCCATATACCGCCCTTCCCATTACTCACTGTAGCGCCCAAAACTGCCCGAGCACTTATGGGTTCTTCAGTGAATAAACACAATGTAATACAATGTAGTACAGGTGATAATGGGTTAAAGCTGCTCGTTGTTTCTTCAAGGTTCTTGTCTCTCAAGTATACTCGCTGTCAGACAGATTCCCTGTGTCGGTGTTCCGCGGCAGCATGTAGTTATCCATGTCGATGGAACGGCAGTTGTAGATAGCGTAGCGTAGGCGCTCGGCCATCAGTGGTTGGCTGGAGTAGGGCGGAATGCGCAGCTGAAAGAAGCAGGTCTGCGCCGTCGGTAACCCATCGACTGTCTGTAAGAGTGGGGTAATGCATTGAAAAGGTGGTCTGCCCTTAGGCCATCAACCTCGGTCCAAAATTTTGGCCACCGGTATCAAATGAGGGGAACAATCATCATAGCGATTTTTGGCAAGGTATACACCTCCAGAGTTGGAAAATATGTGAAAGCATTTCAACGGTGGCAGCTTTTTGGGTGTAATCACCTTTTTTTCAACATGTCCATCAGAATGCTTGTTACCACTCGGGGGGGGGGGGGGGGGGGTCTACCTTGCGCATGTGCACTATAATAATTTATGCCCTGATTTGATACTGACCAAACCCCCAGGCTGATGGCCTACCTTGGATTAAAAGTAAAGCACCAACTGAAATAAATTGACATTCTACCAAATACAATATAATAATGCGGTGCTTCTATAGTGCTTTTTTCCAACAGTCTAAATGTATTTCACAATTATTACCCCTGTTCATCAGGCCATGAGACCATTTTTCTGCAGCAGCTCGAGATCAGCGCAATCTAGTCTCTACCTTCACAGGTGCCCATTTCTACTCCTGGGTGGTCAGAGGCAATTGTAGTCAAGTGTCTTGCCCAAGAACACAAGCGCCATGCTCCCCGTCAGGGTTCGAGCTCACATACCATGGCACATGAGTTGAACACTGTAACCATTGCACCACAGCGCTCCTCAAAATCAGACAATATAAGACTTCCTTAAAAAAAGTCAAGCAGCAAATGCATAACAAAACAAAATTAAAAAATGGACAGTACAAAGGAAAAATCTGACGTACCCTCTCCACCCTCATGATTTGGAATCGCTGGGAGATGTCGGCGATGTTTGTAGGCAGGCGGGACCGGCCTGACACAAAGCGCATGAAGAGAACCCGCTCTTCATTGCTAAACTCTCTCAGTGTCTGCCACAGCCACTGGACAAGCTGGTGGGTCTCATCAACCTCCCGGTACCTGGGGGACAGGAATTAAAGTTATCTCTCTGAAGTATGACTCGCACATTGCCAATATAAAAGACTGACATTAAGTGAGACATGTGACAAAAACCACTCGCAAAAAGACTGCCAAAATGTCTTAGACCCTCATAGTAGCTTAGGGAGGGCACACCCCCTCCCCTTAATCGAGGCCTGTTTACCCTCCCTCTTTCCCCGTCCCTCAGAATTTGGGGAAAGCAAAAATGAGCTTTTATTATAAAAATCTCACTGAGTGGCACCCCTCCAGTGCCCCCACCTGCAAATTGGACCAAAGTTATGTTACAGTAAATGACCTTAATCCTTTAGTCACTCTAGCGCCCGAAACCGCCCCACCTATTACTCAATGTAGCGTCCGCAACCGCCCAAGTACTCTATGGTTTTATTGATTTTTCAGTGCTTTAACACAAAGTAATACAATATAGTACAATATATTATACAATATACTACAATATAGACCGATTTCATTGCTCTACTTCCTGTAAGCAAGGACACTGCGGTATTGTTGAGTTTTAGTTCAAGAGCACGCGCAAATTGTTTACTTATGCTCATGCATACATCCCATAATTAAGGATTCTGTGCTCACTTAAAGCTAGCAGTCTAAGCACTTCACCGTAAGCAGAGAATAGAGACCATAAGCGCAGAATTCGGTGGTAAGCATAATTACCTGACGACTCTCTGTAGGATATCCACGTCGATGTCCGGCATACCGCAGACCATCTGTTCCAGGTGAGAGGCCGTTAGTAGGGATAGGAGTGGGACAGGGATGATCCATGACATACCCTCACGTACAGCAGCAACCTATGAAAGGAAGTCAAAATTGGTACCACGGCTCAATTTCTGGTAAGCAAGAAAACAATGCTTAGCAATTTTGTGAGCGGAAAAGAAAAGGCAAGCCCAGTTCAGCTGGTCCAAGACTTTGATAAACTTTGGACCCAAGAACTTCTGAGCACACCTCGCGCACACTTTAGCTTGAATATAGCATGCGTGAAGTATGCTTGGAATTTATTGGGTCTAAGTGCCAACATTCCCAAGACAGGATTTGATTCATCCTGTGAATAGCGCCCTCTACTGCTACGAACGGACCAGGCTTACCTAAGACAGACTGCATTAGGGGGACAACATCCTACTGCAGTCTTGGACAATGACTACTTTGGAGACTTCTGACAAACTATTTCTATAGGGAGTTGATAACACTGTACACCTTAGGCCAAAAAAAAAAAGTCTCCGGTTTCTGGTATGGAGCTTGTCCAAAAAGTGGTGCGGCGACGCGGCTTTTTTTTTTTTTTACCAGACTTTTTTGCTTCAAATGTCGGCTGGTGACTGCAAATGGTGCCCGACTAAACTTAGTGCAAATATATGGGAGTCCAGAAAGGCCACATAAAGCTTATTCTCGATCATAACCCCATCTACAAACACGTTGAAATTGCGCAGCAGCAGAATTCCAGTCAAACCAGTGAGTTTGGCGGTTTTGAGACATCATCTTTCATTGAAAAAAAAACTTTTTCATTTTGCCGACGCGCATGGCTACGGCGACGCGCGCGCATACCAGAAACCGGAGACTTTTTTTTTTTGGCCTTAGCATGCAGTATCTTCATTTGGTACAATAAGTAATTATAAAGTTAAAGAAATTGACCGGAGCAGGGCTTGAACCTGCAACCTCCGGATTGCAATTCCGGCGCTTTACCAACTGAGCTATCCATCCCTATGTTGGTGGTTCCCAATGTTGTCAATGTCTTTGTTCAAGAGGCGCTAGTCAGAACCCGTAAACCCGTATATGCCATGTAGCCAGGGATCACGCCCAAAGTCAAAATGCTAGCAACATCAGCAATGCTGCAAACCCGGGAAATTGCAAACAGCTTTTACAATGATTTGGGACTAATGTGCAAAATTTCAAGCATTTGTCCCAAGAAAAGGGATTTCAGATAGTTGGGTGTGCTGGTATCGTTTTTTTGTTAGTGTAACTGACCTGTCTGTCCATCTCATGCAGTCTATAAGCCAGGGCCCTTTCAACGTACTCTCTTCTGTTGTTGTATGTCAGTGGGATACTGCGTCCACCAGGAACCACTGGAACAAACCTGCCGTCTGCACTCTGGCCCTCAAACCACTCCAGGGGAATCACCTGACAAAAGAAATTAGAGGTGTTTACATTTACAAAGGATCAATTTTCGTTTGAAGCAACAAAATTACTCAAAATCTTAAGAAGAGTGCACAACAACTAAACTTGTTGAACTTTCAGCTCAGTGGATACCGTAAACTTTTGAGAAAACAGAGAAACTGTATGCTTAAGTTTTTGGGTCTCGATCCTGGATTCCATTGCTAACGCACCTACAATAATTGTTTTCTTCTGAACGATACCATTTCAGGTAGAATAACTTCACAGGGTATTTGATACCAGTCCTATCTTCACTTTGAGCAACAGGCAGGGTAGTATGGGACAGTTCAGTGACTTATTGGTTATTAGTTATCCTTAAAAATTAACAAACCTTTTTCCCCCCAACTAAAAACACTCAAGTGGACTTTTGAGTTTTTAAAATATCTCAAAATAATTTCTCATCAAACACAAAGGGGAAAATACCAAGAAAGAAACACAGTTTTTGGAAGTTAATTTCAAAGTTTGTCTGTTCCAAACACCACCCACCTCATGGAAGTTATCTTCGGTTACGCCACTCTTGTCGATGTCTCGTATATTACGCAGCGTTTGGACGTACAGAAAATCCATCTGAAACAACAACAGAACAGGTAAAAGCTTTACAAAGACTGTGGCAGAGATTAAATATGACACTAGTCGTCCTCAATCCTCCATAATCCAGCCTAATTTACAAGAGACAGTGAGTTTGTTTCTGCATTCAATAGGGGACGTTGAACAATAGAGGACAATAGGGTCCCCAATTCCCGAGAGGTCCCCAATTGGGTGAGTGAGTGAGTGAGTGGGTAAGTGAGTGAGAGAGTGAAGTGAGTGAGTCAGTCATCAGTCTGGTACACTAGGCTGGTTCCCTCTCAGGCTTGATTGACATCCTTTCTTTACCTCTTCCAGATCCTCGACAGTCAGTGGCATCCCGGCCAGCTGCTTCCAGACCATGGGAGCCAGGTGGAGATCTAGGGGCTTCTTGGTGCGGACTGCTACCCCAAGGAGGACACCTAGGAACTTGAAGAGTAGGAGGTGCTCCTCTGTACACATGCATGGGTTCAGCAGGAACCTGGCATGTGGGGAAAAAGAAAAGAAAAAAACAACACCCCCAATCAAACAGGATATTCTGAGTCCACTGATGGGCCCAATTTTACGGCGCTGCCAAGTACATGATTTTCTGCTTACAGAGCCTCAGTCTATTTCATGGAGACCGTAAGTGGTAATTAGTGACGTAACAATAGAAATCTTCAATGCGCATGTAACCAGTAGCAAATCCAGGCCATGAAATACTGCTTAAGATTAGCACCATTTTCGGCTATAGTTAGTGCAACTTCAAGCAGTGCCATGAAATTGGGCCTGATGGGGTATTGTCTGTAGCACGGTGTTGTAGTTGAGTCTATCACAAGTCCAGCCACAAGTACATTCACAGGTCCAGTCATACAGACAAACAAAAACAAAGTACTGACTGTGTCATGGACTTGTGACTGACTTGTGATTGACCTGCGAGGACTTGTGTGGAATTAACCTATCGCGATAGAATCGCGTCAACGCACCTTGTGAAATATTGCCTAATCACACAATATACAAATTGATGCGTAATGCACAAAATCTGAGACAAACAAAACTTAACGTACACAAATTTCATAGGGTTGTCTAAGGGGCGAGGCTAACTCGCAAATGGCGATAGGGCAATTGTGATGGACTTGATAGCAACACTAATAAAGTGAGGATTCTTATAGGTTTTGCAATTATCGATGCTTTAGGTTACTGTGCGTTTTCCAATTATCGTTACAGGTCTTTACAAATTCTCAATTGGGCAAACTGACCTGTCCCAATTTTCAACTAGCATTAGTTGCAACATTGAGCATAGCAGACATCAAAAACAAAGTAAGGAATTCTTTTAGCTTTTCCCAATTATTGTTGGAGGTGGCTTTCAAAATTCTCAGTTGGGTCAACTCACCTGTCACGATTGCTGCCCGCATCGGCTGCAGCGTTGGGCGTGGCAATCAGCAACGGGACCACGCCCGTCTCCAACTCCTGACACATTTCAGTGATGGTATCATCAAACACGCCCCCGGCATCATCGGCCCCCTCCCCTACCAGCTTGACCTTCCAGGCCCGAGCCGGGAGCCGGAGATCCCCTGGCTTCATGCGGACCACCTGCTTTGCTATCTGGCTGAAGATGGGCTTGCACTTGCGCCCCCTGCCAAGGGCAAATCAGAAAAACGGCTCAAGAAAAATCTACAGACTATATTCAAAATCTTTAAATCCTCAGCCTTGTCTTTGGATTTTATTTTTAGATTTTAGGCCTGACTGGCTTAGGGACTCTAACTCAGCAACGTCACTGTTTTCATGAAGGGACCGTTGTTTGAAAATATCCGCTTTTTCTCAATTTCGAGTTTTTCTCATTATTTTGCCTTAAACTTTTCCATTTGTGAGGCGTTCTTGCAAAAAGAGACAGAACTGGGCAGACGTTTGCAGGTTTAGGAAAAAGGAAAAAATTCTTCTTACAATACTGTGTGTTGCACTTCAATCAGACATTCTGTTGACAAGTTATGGCTGTTTGAAATGCGCATTTATCAATGTGTTAGAAAAGTAAAATACTGAAAAAAGGCCTTTAAAGCTTCAACTGTTTTGTAGTCGTGAAAATGTAAGAGGCTCATTGTTTTCCTTTAAAATATTTTATTCCACGATTTTTATACTATTTCTTTAAAATGTGTGTAGTAGATATATCAAATATTACAAATATGCACAAATCGAGAAAAAAATCACCCCCAATTTTTTTTTTTTTTTTGCATTTTTCTTCACTGTGCCCAGTTCCGTCTCATTTTGCCAGAGCACCTCACATATAACATAATTATTAAATGAAGCCACATTGGCTTACTTGTATAACTAAAAACTCAACTTACTTTCATAACACTACTGATGCAAGGGGCACACATCTCAATAATTGTATTTTGCATTTTCACATAGAAATGCTGCCATGACTGCCCCTTGAATGCACACAAGACATATTGTTTGGATAGGGGGAAAAGTAGAACATGAGATTTGCTTTTTCATAAAAAAAAACGCTCATCTTTGATACAGTTTATGCTGTGCATGACTAAAGACATGCCTGCCCTTTCCTTATGGTAGAGTAAGTAGAACAGAATGGGGTTAACGAAGGTCATTTTTCATGGACATTCGTCTGCCAGTATTGCATGGAGAACTCACGATAAACATTTTTCAAACTCTGAAGAAACTTGTAATGTCTTTGCGCAGGCAATAGTCATTTAGTGTCAGCCATTTTCTTTCTTTGCCCTTTGTAAAGTAGAAGCCGTGAACAGATTCACAGATGTTTAGGTTTTCATTCAGTCCTTCCTATCAGCCTACCTCGTTGCCAGTCGCTTGACCGTGACCTGAGGGCCGTAGTTCTTCCCCTGGACCATCGTCCGGCCGATGGACCGCACCATAGGCAGTGTGTAGACCCTAGAGGCTAGTAGTGGCCGGAGAGGGCCGTCGGTCAGTCCTGTCATGCCCCTGCTACATGCTGACGCGGATCCCTGCAGGGGGAAAGGAGAGGGTTGGCCATGTTGCTGTCTGCTGCGATGTGGTTCATTATACAATTGTCGTCTGGTGTGATGTAGTCCATGGCAATTCCTATGCCTTTAGGGTGCAAATGGCATCCGAGGCGAATGCAATTTGCTGCCCACAAGCATACATGTACTATATCACAACAGACAACTGTTTTGTTATAGACCATATCACATTTGTTTACAAATTCAAAAATTTGTGGTCATGTGATGCCGACTTTCAGCACACTGTTCTCTTCTGCACTGCATGTGAATCTCTTGAAATGTGACTGGTGTACAAGAGTTGACATATACTGTTTAATGTGGAGCCACATAATATGCAAGAAATGCTTAAATGTTTGAGTTGCCGATCGGTTGCCCAATGGTACATTATGATGACATGGGTAACGTGATACAGTCTATGCCACGCTTTCAAAATATCCTTCGAGTCTTTAAGAAGCAACAATATATGATTTTGTTTCTTAATTGCTATTTTCAGTTCTAGTAATGCAAAAGTTATTCACTTTTGAATGAGACATTGAACATAAAATTCTGCCCATCTTAAGTTATGGAATATAAAAGAAACTTGAATTATTTGCGGTGGACTTCACTAGATGGTCCAAATACCAAGATACATGTATAACAAATGAAAAGAAGTTCACATTCTGGCCTTTGTGTCTCCTAAATTATGCAAATTCTGCTTTTTTCCCCCTCTCACAACTGCACTGAAAAGGAGAAGAAAAAAAAAGAACCCGTCTTCCTTTGATTGTTCTCACCTGGGTGGGGCTAAGGTTGAGCAGCCGCCAAGACGCGTAGATGAGGTCTGAGAAGTGATGCAGGAGGCGCAGCCGTGATCTGATGGAGGATGTACTGCATTCCTTCAGGGCGGTGTACTGAGCTGGAACACTCTGGGGCAAACCTTAAATAACAATGACAAAAAAATAAATCAATAAAAAAACTCACATGCACATGTAGCACCTACACAACATACACATTAGTCTGGCACCGCTTGTTTCGTGTATTTTCATGTATTGTGATACATAAGCAAAGTCAAGTCTCTATGCAAATAGCACAATGGACTCTCCATTGACATCACGTTGCCACTACAGCTTGTTCTACTATGGCACCAAATTCAACTTTGTAATTAATTATTCATGACGTGGGCTAATTTTTTTTTGTACAATGTCTTATTAAGTCATTAGCTTTGCAATGCTAGAAAAATGGCAATTACAAAAACAACACAGGGACAGCCTAGTAAAGGTGGTTCCAGAGCACACAAATTCCATTCAATTGATTCAGAGCGGATATTCAATGGCAGTCTTTTCATGCATCCAGCTGGATATAGCCCATTCATTGGTATTACGGGGTACTCCTATACAATAGCACTGCCCAGCTCTCTTCATCAGTCAACAACCAGGCTAAGTTACAATTGACTGTTAGTCAGTTAGTGAGTCACGGCATCAGTCAGGTTTACCAGTTCATTGCAAACTTCAAGTATGTGTAATTATTAAACTGACCTAGTTGCAGGGGTTGAGGGGTGCCCGGTGCCCTTGCAGGTACTGGGGCAGCAGTCCAGGCAGCAGAGTGACTCCTTCCTGTCGAGATCTACAAACACATTAGGACGAAGGTTCAGAAATTTGTTCAGAATTTTTTTCAGCTTTTGTTACTGTACTTATCCCATGTCATCTTTCTTAAAGCAATATGCATTTGGCTTATGTTATTTTCAGGCATGCAAATCGGAAGTAACTAAAAAGGAAAATTCTGAGCTTTTGCCGAGTTGAAATCAGGTAGGGACTGAAGAACCACATTTGCATAGTCACCCAGGCAGGAATCAAACCAGGGCCACTGGAAAAACGATGCACTGCACCAAATTGACTGGGCAAGAGCTTTGAGACCTGATAGAGACTGATAAACCCCATGCACATAGTGGCTGTGGAAGGAATCAAACCCAAAGTCACAACAAATAGTTGGTAGGAAACAACCACTCAAAACTGTGGATTCAGGAAGGGATTCGAACCCGAGAAATCTACAGTTGTAAATTCTCATCTTACCTGGCGTATGTTCTTGCCTTGCAGGCTGGTCACTAGGAGAGGTTCTCTGACAGTGTTGGTGTGACCCAAGCCCAACTGTTGACCATAGAAAAAAAATATCATTTCAATTTAAAAGCTGTCATTTTCGATTTTTCTTTTTACTTATTGTGATGTGCTTTTTTTCTAACAAGACTTATTCATGCAAAATGGTTGACAAAAATACCTAGTTAGGAAGAAACTTTAATGAATATTTCAATTCAGTCCTCGATCAAGGTAATTTTTATAAGTACTGCTTACTCAATGTTGTCCAAGAACTTGAAGGAAAAAAAAATCAAAGGTTTTTCTAAAACCTCTAGGACGAAGCTGAGTTCAGAGTGCTTATAAAACTATGTCGGTAAACCCAGTGTTACAATTTACACCACCATGATTCAATCTCCATGGTTAAGGGTTATATCTAAACTAGCTTGTTTTCTGTGAAAATGCTTCTCGAAGATTTTGCAGAAACCTAATGAGCTCCGTGTGCGGAAAGAGAGGGCGCTGTTTCACCACTTTTGAGAGCCCAGTGGAGGAGACACACCACATGCCCTGCAACAATTAGGTGTATCTTTTGGGCTTTTAGGTGCTGGGGTTGAAATAGAAAAATGAAGCTTTTCCCGTTAAATTAGTACACAAATTGACAACTTGTCAGGAGAAACAGACATCGTTGAAGAGCATGGGTAGGGCAATGTTAAAATCTTCTAAACGTTTCCATAGCTAAAGATGAGGCCTATATCAGAAACCACGCCAGGGCTTTGAAACCCAAATAGTTTGGCTATGACAGACAGACAACTAGACAGATGAACAAACGAACCTGTCCGTCCATGTTGTTACCCCAGACCCAGACATTGCCGCAGCTCGTTAGTGCCAAGGTGTGTTCTGAGCCTGCCACGATATCCTCGATGAAGTGACCCGCAAGGGCTGGTACCGGCTGGGGTCGATTGGACAGTCTAGACCGGCTCTCGGGCAGTCCCGTCAAGCGATCTGCCATCACAACAAAGATCAAATCCTCACATGTTAACGTTAACGGTTCAGAGTACATTCGGTTAGCTTCCCCAGGTTATCTGAACTAGCTCAATGCCATTTCGTCAGGTCTTACATCATTTTAGAATGCCATGGTCAAGTGGTTACAGTGTTTGACTCAAGCATGATGGTGCGTGGGTTTGAACCCTGCCAGGAACATGGTGTTTGTGCCCTTGGGTAAGACACGTAACTACAATTGCCTCTCTCCACCCAGGAGTATGAATGGGTACCTGTGAGAGTAGAGGACCGAATGTGCGCTGATATCGGCTGTTGCATGGTCTCGTGGCCTGATGAATGAGGTAATAATAGTAAAGTGATTTGAGATTGTAGATACGATGGAAAGCGCTATATAAGCATTACAATGTTTTTTTGTTGTTTTTTTAATTTTTCATTGCTACCTACAGACCCTGCTTAGGTAGTCTCTGTCCAAGACCAGATTGGCATTATTGTTCCTCAAATGCAGTTGGTCCCTAGACTGAAGACCTGACATAATATAGCTAGGGTCACCTAGCGGCTCGGGTCGTTATCAGCATTCCAGACTCCAACCGGTCTTAAACATAGTGTTTAAAACCAACCAAGCTCACATTTACTCCCTTATTGATACATCGTTGTATTGCCACAACTCTGGTGTCTGTATCAGATGTGCTTACGACCAATTCTGTCCTCACCTTGGCCACTTGTCAAGACCCGTCCATCCTTGGTCAGGATCACAGAGAACTGCGTCCCGCAGCAAACCTTCTTAATGCTCATCCCTGAGAGACCCTCAACTTTCTAAACCAAAAAAAACCAGAGATTTGGGAGAATGATTTAAAATTTGGTTCAATGCACAACGTGCTGTGTTTAGACTGCGATAAAAACAAAAGGTTGAAGAAAGTTTGTCTTTATCCATTTGTATTGTGAGTGATCGATTTTAACAGAAATTGAGGTCCAAATTTTTATTTTGTAATGATTGTCAAGTTGCAATTTTTTTAAATGCTATGACCTGTATTGCTTTAGTTTTTCCCATAAAATGTCCATGTTCAAATAAGCTCAGTCAGGAAAAATTAAATGCACAATATAACATTAAACATATTCCAGTAAACTTTCGGCAATTTTGAGGCCAACTCCTAGGTTCCGTACAATTCAAGATCAATCTGATATGTACATAACATGTACATATTTATCAAACTGAAAGTCTGGTACCCCATGTCTCTACAATAATTGCTAGTGTCCTTTTTGTACCTATCCCACTGACTCACTGACTGAATGACTGGTGAGCCTGGCAGTGCTATTTTACAGGACTACTAATAAGTTGGCTAAATACATTGTGTAGACCAGATGCATGAAAAAGACTTCCAGTGAAAAGCCATTCTAATTCAATGGTATAGAATTGTGTGCGCTTTGGGCCCAGCTTGCCCAGCTTGCCTTGTCATACCTGCGGTGATGACTTGGAAGCTGTACTCCCAATGCCCAGTTTACCGTAGTCTCCGTCACCAAATGCCCATACAGTGCTGCCATCCGCCGACACACACATGGTATGGTTCAGACCACAAGCAACCTGGATGATAAACAACATTTAATATTACATTTTCGCACTTCGCTTGTGAGAAAAATTCATGATGGGCTCTGTGCGGGAATTGGGGACCCTATTGTCCTCTATTGTTCAACGGCTCCTATTGAATGCAGAAACAAACTCAAAATGGTCGGAAGCTTACTTGGAGAGTGTTAAAATAGCTTTCAGTCTGGACGCCATTTTAGGACCAACTCAGCTCGTATACTGTCAGTAACACTATGGGACTTTTGTGCACTGTCGCCAGTTTCTCTACTTTTCTTTCACTTAGATTGACAATACCATTAAAGTAGCCCCAGAATAACAGGACAGAATGCTCTCCCCATTCTTGGACTATATTTGGTGTCGGGCATTGGTACCTTCTCATATCGAAACTCTCTGATCCAGGCACTCAAGAGGCCCCCTTCAATGGAGATACCATTCCCTGTGACATATTATCTGAACAATAGCTAGCACAATGCTCTCCACCATTGAAGGGGGCCTTCGTGATAGAATTCAAAGCAAATGGACTTTTGAAAGTTTTTTGGGTTTTTTTTTCAGAAGGAAATATTATAAACACAAACCTGTCTGACAGCGACACCATCTAGCGCCCTGACTCGCTCGGGTATTTTCTTGTTGGAGGTGTTGCCATGGCCCAGGCGGCCATAGTCACCGTTTCCGAAGGTGAAAAGTTTGCCGTCAGAAGTTACTACAGCAGAGTGCTTGAATCCACACGCCATCTTGAAATGCAAAAAAAGAAGGATGAAAATCAGCCTCTAGCATTATTGCAAAAAATTTCAAAAATGAAATTCAAATAATAATTAAATTATAATTCATATAAGCAATCTATCTTGGGGGTTAGAATTCAAAAATAGCACCTCATAGTGCGCCCTAGAGACACAAACCAATTATGTTGTCTTGAACATCATAGTGCATTGTTTTGTGTAATTACAGCAAATAATTCCGTCAATCAGGATTGAGCAATCGACCAAATGAGATCGAGGATTCCAGTTTCCGTGACGATACTGACCTGTATGACTTCTTCTCCCTGTAGTGCTTCTATCTGTCGTGGCCGGCGTTGTCTGTCGCTGTTACCGTGGCCCAGCTTGCCGTAGTCCCCGTCCCCCCAGCTGAAGACCTCCCCACTCTCTGTCAGCGCCATGGAGTGACCGTCTGATCCACAAGACGTCACTAGCTGAATCACCACAAAACCTAAGACAATGAGAAAATTGATTTAAAAAAGGGTATATTTGAATTGTTCTTGTACTTAGCTCAAGAATTCCAAATTGCATGGGCACAATTGCTTTTTTAACCACTTTGTAACCCACTAAAAAACCCTACTTTTACAGAGATTTTTTTTTTCCCCCTTTTAATTAATTACTTCTTTGTTTAACTTCTGAGGTTTAGTTTTAATGTTAGGTTGAAAACCTGACGACACCTGAACAGGGAGTATAATAAACTGAGATTGGAGGAAACCTTTTTGGTATATTTTTCTCGAAATAATTTTACACAAAGCCGTGCAGGGAAGGGAATGTGAAAATGTCAACATCTATTTTAAAAACACTTCATTCTTCACTTCATTGAATTTTTTCAATATATTTTTAAAATTTAAATTCTGGGTTTTTTTTAATTGTTAAATTAAAAAAGAAAATTATTTTATTTAATTTTTTTAAATTTTTTTTTAGGGGGAGGGGGTTGGCCATGGCCAACATCCGCCCCCCCCCCCCCCACTCATTGGATTTGCCAGTGCTCATGAACGACTGAAAAGAAAACTACTTATTATTTACCTTGAAGTGCTGAGACAACCGTTGGTGAGTGTAGATCATCTGAGTTGCCTTGGCCTAGCCGTCCATAGCTGCCCTCACCGCAGGCAGACACTGTCCCGTTACGGTGGATGATGAAGCTGCAATTCTGGCCACATACAACCTGAAATACACATGGGAAAACAAGAAGTTCCGAGCCTTCAAACTACCTTGTGATTTCTGTGATCGATGTCTTAGGTCATCATAACAGGGTTCCCACAGAAGTCTTAACATAAAATTCCATGATTTTCCATGACTATTTCAGGACAAAATTATAGGCTTTCTATTACCAATTCCTGTGCTGTTTTGGCATCTTAGGAGCCTATGTACAATACACTGGCTGATACCTTTCAGCCTTCTAACTAGTTTGACAAAAAGACCGCTGAGCAGCAAGCATCAAGTAAACATACATAAACAGGAAGTATGGTAAACTGGAACGCAAACTGGCAGACTGTCATAGCCAAATATCCATACGCATCATCACATATGGGCTGTGCAGGATTCTATCACTTTTTCCTTGAAATATCAACTTTCCATGACACCTTAATAACAAACAATATTTCATGACTTTCCATGATAGCTTTAAATTCCAGGATAATCCAGGTTTTCTCCATGACTGTGGGAACCCTGTCTTAAGTTGAAAAAGATACACAGACACTAAAATAGAAACAATGCTATGATGATAAATCCAAGACAAGACTTTAAGAATTTGAATCTTGCTAGCGACTACTGAGTTGCAAAGTTAGCAAGACTAACTTTGCCTAACTTAGCAAGGGAGAGTCAGGTTGGCGCCGCTGTGACCTTGGTTTGATTCCTGCCTGGGTCAATATGTGGATTAGTTTTCAGTCTCTACCTGATTCCGTGGATTTTCCCCAGAATATTCTTCTGGGGTTTTCCTCCCACCTCTAAAAACTGTAATTTCTTCTCACTGTCTTCACTCTACAGGTTTCGTCAGGCTTGCGAGCCACAGTGCCTAGGGCGCTTTTGAAGAATCCTTGGTTTCATTACCAGAAATAAATAAGAAAAATAATAATAATAATAATAACAATAATAAAGCCTTTTTCTGTCCAAATAACAACCTGCTGTGCCTGTGAGAAGGACTGTGTGATGGTGGGTAGGTTGGTCCCACGACCCGTCTCAGCTAGCTGGCCGTGTCTACCGCTGCCAAACATGTAGACGTCACACTTGCCTCCTAGCTGCCAATCCTAGAATAGGGAAGTACAGTAAGGCTCAATATTTCTGGTTCCATACTCAGTGTTCAGAAACTTTGATCAAGGACCACTGGTTAAAGGCATATAGGACCATTTGCTTTTCATACATCTTTTCGTTTCCAGTAACAACACTACTAAAAAATCCATAGAAGAATGTTCAAAATCTAACTTGTCAGAGTTTCAGCAAATTTTTCGAGAAAACAGTAAAAAACCATGCGGAACCTTTTGATAACAAAGCACAATTTCGTCTACTTAACTCTTTATTTCCAAAACTTAGTACATTGACTGATCGTTGGAAATCACCTACATTCCTTGATTTCTTGCAAAGGACAGCAAGCCAGACGGAATAATTTCACGGGGTGTATAGTACCAGTATGATCTTTAATCCAACTAAGCACAAGTACTCCCTCAACGGTTACAAAAGGAAAGCCAGGGGAGACCACTGGGAGGGACATTCAAACGCATTGCTGATGAAGCTTGACCCTGGGTGGCTTTTTTGTAAAGTGACTAACTCTTGTATTGCTAGCAAATTCAGCAATTTAAAAACAAAATCTATTAATCAGGGTGCAACTCACAAACAGCATGGGGAGAGCAATTTCATGGCTAATTTCACCCAAGAACAAAGGCTTATACAAATTAGACATTATGTAGTAATCCACTTTGGATTCAAAGCATTAAACACTCACATAGTCTGACCAATTCGTGTACAAAACCAATGACAGCTGTTGCTAAAAAGTTAGAGTACAAATAAAGGAACGAGGATTAGGGACAATAGGGGGTCCTCGATTGCCGGTGTTTACAAGATGCGGGTGTTGGGGGGGGGGGGGTTAGGATTATAGACACACAATTAGTCTAGTTCCCAGACTCACCTCAGGTCTGGTGGTAGCCCAGGCCATGATCTGCTCGTCCATAGTCAGGCTCCACTGGCTGTTATCCCAGGGCTTCAGTTCCAGCCCCTCGGTGCCCCCCTCCAGGGGCTCCATGTTGGGCACGGCGAACTCCGTCGGCAGGGCCTCCCGTCTCATGAGGGCACCGGCCGACTTGAGGGCGGTGCAGAATGCCGCCAGCCAGGTCCACTCCGTGGCCACATGGTGGTGGGGGGAATCGGTATCGGGTTGGCTCTGTAGGGACTTGGGCGGGTAGAAGAGAGCCTTGTCTAGATGAAGGGCTACGGCTAGGGAGGCTAGACACTGCAGGAAGCTACTGTGAACTAGCTGGTCACCGCACAATACATGGACCTGGAATAGAAAAGCCAGTTAAGATCAAAATTCTGCGTGAAGGAAATTTGTTAAAAGTGTTGATGAACATCGAGATGGAACTACAAATGTTGACATCATGACAATTGCTTTGCTTATGCTTTCGCAGGAAATGAGAACGGACCCTAATGTGTACATTTGGTTAAAGGGAAGGTACAACATTTGCAAACATCAAAAAACGAAATAATCAAATTATCACGAAACTCTTACTGGATTGTAAGGGAATGACAGTCTAAAGCATCCTGTAAAGTTGTGGCTCCTGGTGTGCTGACATTTTCAAGAAAAACTGTATTTTTCCAACACTGGTCAGCCGACCAGCATTGGAGAAAACTGGCTTTTTTCAAAAAGTGCTCATAATTTTTCATATTTAGTTTGTCTGCATTTCTTTGCAATTGATTACACACCTGTGAAGAATACAAGCCTGCTACACTGATTCTCTGATCTTACAATTCCTCTAAGTCTATAAATTACTCTGTTTCATCTTAAGTGGGGTCAGGGAACCAGACTATAAGAATATGATTGGTTTTCTTGGTTTTCCAGCATCTATGAACCCAAAACGTGAAGCAAGTCAGTGTAACAATATTTGCTATAACGTACTAATCCTCCAAATCCATTTATTTCTGAAAATTGCAGCACAAGCAAATGTTGTACATTCCCTTTAACTTTCCCTCACATAAATGTAGGTCTGTATAAAAAACCAAACATTGTTAAGGTGCAGTTTTTGAATGAGGAGCATCTAGAAACGCATGGGGCATTGTTTGATGACTCTAAGTGAGTGTGGAAATTGGGGATCAGTTCTCTACCTTAAATTGATGCTAAATATTGATCACATTATCTGGCTGAGGTACATTTGAATTTCATGATCCCTTCAAGGACAGAGCCCAATTTCATCACTCTGCTTACCATTAGCAAAATATCCCCGCTTACTGTAGCAGAAAATTCCGTACTTGCGGTATAGCTTACAAGCTTAAGGATAGGGAGAAATTTTGGCTTCTGCCCATGCATACATCCTGCAAACTAAAGGATTCTGTGCATACAGGGTTAGCACAGAATTTTCTGCTAGAGCTTTCAGCACAGATTAGGAATGATGTTAGTGCGGAATTCTGTGGTTTAGCAGAGCCATAACATTGGGCCCTGAACTCAATGGCAAAATCTGTTTAAAATGCCCGTTGGTCATTCATGTTGCTCATGACATGAATGACAAGTGTATTACATGTGAATCACACGTCATCCAGTCCCAACTCACAAGCTATTTAAAACGAACTGAGACAAAGGCATTATTTGGTTATTGTTCATCCTTGCTACTTGTGACTGGACTTGTGAATTGACCTGTGATTGACTTGTGACCAGACTTGTGATGTGTTTCTCGTCATCACTTGGACTACAACACCGTTACCTTTTCATAGGAGTACTGGTCTTGCAGTATCTTGGGCAGGCGCTCCAGGAACGCCCGCAGGCACGGCGCCTGGTGCAATCCCACAATGCCCTGGCTCAGCAGCGCCATGCGGGCTGCGGCGTAGACGCGGTTCTTGATGAATGCGTTCTCGTTGTAGCCCAAGATGACCAGTTGTTTGGAGCGTTGGAAACAGGCGGTAAGTCCGGCGGCGTCGCTGACCCAGCACAGCTGTTGGACTGGACCGTCACCCTGTAGGGTCTGTAAGACGGCACTCTCCTGAAGAGGACAAAATTGAGAATACCGCCATAAAAACAAGGTAAATAGGATCAAAACTTTGACAATATCTAAAACTATTAGTGAGCTGATGTATCAGCTCAGAATGGCATCCTCTAGAGATGACCAGTGTCGCAGCAATTTGCAAACTTATTTTATTCCTTGGCATAATTATGCCCGTTTCTATTTCGTGATTTTAAGAAAGTGTTAAAAAAAGGCATTGCCTGTTTTGGGAAATGCATTTCTGGAATGAACATACCTCTACAGATCATTCAAATAATAACATTACAATTCGAAATTTTTGACAAACTTTCTGTAGTGTTCAGACTAAAAGTCATATTTTCAACATTGGTTACTGATAAAATTTGTCATCTTTTTGGTTGACATTGGTTACTGATAAAATTTGTCATGTTTTTTGTTGACCAGGTATACAAAACACGCTCATGCAGGGATGGAAACTCGGAATGTTTGCAACTTTAGAAACGCTTTGTTCAGCTATATTTGTACAAACATACTACGTTTGTATGTGGCAACAAGCACACCAAAAGTCATTACATTCCCGAGATGGGGGGAGGGGGGGGGGAGGTGGTGGACAGAATCCATGATTCTTACGCGAAGTGCCCAGATGTTGATGCAGCCGGCGACACAACCAGAGGCCAGGAGCATTGAGCTGGGATTGAAGGCTAGCTGAGTGACGGCCTCACTGTGACCTCTGACATGGAAGACCTCAACGGCGCTGTCTGATTGGTTGGTGTCCCCGCCTTGACCCTGGACACACAAATACAAAACAAGCTAATGTGTCTGTACTGCCCAAAGCTGCCCGCATGTTACACCCTGTACCACCCCAAACTGCCCTGCCTGTTACTCCCTGTACCACCTCAAACTGCCCTGCTTGTTACTCCCTGTACCACCCCAAACTGCCCTGCTTGTTACTCCCTGTACCACCCAAACTGCCCTGCTTGTTAGTCCCTGAACCACCCCAAACTGCCCTGCTAGTTACTCCCTGTACCACCCAAACTGCCCTGCTTGTTACTCCCTGTACCACCCCAAACTGCCCTGCTTGTTACTCCCTGTACCACCCAAACTGCCCTGCCTGTTACTCCCTGTACCACCCTAACTGCCCTGCTTGTTACTCCCTGTACCACCCCAAACTGCCCTGCTTGTTACTCCCTGTACCACCCAAACTGCCCTGCTTGTTACTCCCTGTACCACCCCAAACTGCCCCGCTTGTTACTCCCTGTACCACCCCAAACTGCCCTGCTTGTTACTCCCTGTACCACCCTAACTGCCCTGCTTGTTACTCCCTGTACCACCCCAAACTGCCCTGCTTGTTACTCCCTGTACCACCCAAACTGCCCTGCTTGTTACTCCCTGTACCACCCCAAACTGCCCTGCTTGTTACTCCCTGTACCACCCCAAACTGCCCTGCTTGTTACTCCCTGTACCACCCAAACTGCCCTGCTTGTTACTCCCTGTACCACCCCAAACTGCCGTGCCTGTTACTCCCTGTACCACACCAAACTGCCCTGCCTGTTACTCCCTGTACCACCCTAACTGCCCTGCTTGTTACTCCCTGTACCACCCCAAACTGCCCTGCTTGTTACTCCCTGTACCACCCAAACTGCCCTGCTTGTTACTCCCTGTACCACCCCAAACTGCCGTGCCTGTTACTCCCTGTACCACCCCAAACTGCCCTGCTTGTTACTCCCTGTACCACCCTAACTGCCCTGCTTGTTACTCCCTGTACCACCCCAAACTGCCCTGCTTGTTACTCCCTGTACCACCCAAACTGCCCTGCTTGTTACTCCCTGTACCACCCCAAACTGCCGTGCCTGTTACTCCCTGTACCACCCCAAACTGCCCTGCTTGTTACTCCCTGTACCACCCAAACTGCCCTGCTTGTTACTCCCTGTACCACCCCAAACTGCCCTGCTTGTTACTCCCTGTACCACCCAAACTGCCCTGCTTGTTACTCCCTGTACCACCCCAAACTGCCGTGCCTGTTACTCCCTGTACCACCCCAAACTGCCCTGCTTGTTACTCCCTGTACCACCCCAAACTGCCCCGCTTGTTACTCCCTGTACCACCCCAAACTGCCCTGCTTGTTACTCCCTGTACCACCCGTAACTGCCCCACCTGTTACTCCCTGTACCACCCCAAACTGCCCTGCTTGTTACTCCCTGTACCACCCAAACTGCCCCACCTGTTACTCCCTGTACCACCCCAAACTGCCCTGCCTGTTACTCCCTGTACCGCCCAAAACCGCCTTGCCCATTTACAGATACAGGGATCATGCCCAAAACCCTGATGCTAGCAACATTAGCAATGCTGCAAACCTGGGAAATAGCATATGGGGAACACTCTGAGAGGATCCAGCCTCCAGTCACCTTCTTTGTTCAACTTTTTAATTGTGTAAGACAAGGTCAGTTTTCAGCAGTACCTCATTTGGTGAGACTGTTTGTTGATGACGGCTGTCCTCGCGTTGGCCCAGTCTCGGGACAGTCACGTCCACACCGCTGTGGGGAACTCTCCAAACCCTAACGCTTCCATCTTTGCATCCTCTGTTAAAAAGAAGAAGACAAAAATGCTTTAATGTTGCTCTAAACATTACTCTTAACTCTCAAATCAGTTGGAACTTTACCGAACCCTACAAAGTCTGACACTGCGAAAGAGTGGAATTGCACCTCACTTGTGCTTGGATAAAACTAGGACCTCAAGCTCTTTTTAAAAAATCCATTGAAAACAGTTTGGGATTTGGGCAAATGTGGAAAGAGTGGAATTGCACCTCACTTGTGCTTGGATAAAACTAGGACCTCAAGCTCTTTTTAAAAAATCCATTGAAAACAGTTTGGGATTTGGGCAAATGTGGAAAAACTTGGGCCGAAGCTAACTTAAAGTGAGCAATCTCTCTTTTCATATGATTCACCACTGCCAACCCCATATTACTGCTTTGATATCATGTAAAGTAACACAAAGAAGGACAGAAAAATTACAACAGGAAATTCTGACAAGCAGACTTTAGAAATCCTGATTTTTCACATTTTATTGATTCACAGATTGGTAATTATGAGTAAGGAGTCTGAAGCCAGACGAACAGTTTCAACAGGATGACCTTTTTTCCCAAAAGAATTACTGCGAAAAGTTCTAAACCAACCTACAACCAGTCACCTTTCCACCTTGATAATATTTTTACAGACGAAACAAATCTGAAGTCATTTTAAGCAAAATGTCCCGATTTTTTCCTCAACCCTCAATAAGCCACACTTTTTTTACACATGGGTATTGCAGACCCTTACCACCCTACTACTGTTCGTATTTGTATCTGTTGAATTTTCATATTTCAAAAGCACTTTCCTTGTGGGCAAAGACCAACTTGGGGGGTCCCGTTGTCCATAATGTTGCTTTTTGTTTTGCAACCCACAACACATGTATAATGTAAAAAAAGCTGGTACTTGCTGTTGGTACAAACCTAATAAACCCTTTTGAGTTCTAATAACTTACGTAGCAAGCAGCAGGACTGGACTGTTAGGATGGTTCAGGTAGGGGCACCAGTGGATAGCGGATACCGGGCAGCCGTGTCGGAGGACGTACAGGCACAGCCAGCGGTTGGACTTTTGTGTCCAGACCTTGACCTCGTGGTCCTGGGAGCAAGTAGCCAGAAGATGACCGGTAGGGTCCCAGCTCAGCTGATCAATGGCCGTCTGAAAGGGGGAAAACATTAATTTGATACTGGGTTTTACCTTTGACCAACACTGTATTCTCTGTCTTGCCTGAGGGCATGTGAGAAATAATTAACAAGCCTACTCTGATTGCTAGTGCAGATTTCTTACCACTTGACCACTGAGCTTGCAGGGGTCGGCTGGCTGGTTCAAACCTCCAACCAGACAATTCATAAGATGGAATTTGCGATGGGGTGATATAAATTCAATAGTGGGTTTTGCCTTTCACCGACATGTGTTTTATAAACACTATATACTCTGTGCTGTTCCAGTGCTTGAGAGAAAAATTCACAAGCTTACTCGAATAGGACCTGAACCCAAGACTTCCCGATTGCTAGTGCAGACGTCTTACCACTTGACCACCGAGCTTGCTGGGGTCGACTAGCTGGTTTTAATCCTCTAGCATCGGGGACCACATTCAATCACAATTTCTGTGCATGTGAATTTACATTTCCCAAACACAAAACTTCCACAATATCAATAAAAAAAATTGAGTAAAAAATACAAACTACCTTCAGGATACTTTAGGGGAAAACATTTTTTGTAACTATTTTATCAAGGTATTTATTTTTTTCAAATACAGCACTGTCTTTAGTGTTTTTAACATAGAGGTGGTTGTGGTAAGTTTGTTTCTGCATTCAATAGGGGACGTTGAACAATAGAGGACAATAGGGTCCCCAATTCCCGAGAGGTCCCCAATGTGGTTTCGTGTACAAAACATATGGGAGGTCTTTCTCAAAAGTTAAGGCACAAACAAGAGAGGGACAATAGGGGGTCCCTGATTGCAGTCAAATACACACTTGCGTGGGGGGGGGGGGGGAGTGTGTTGGGGTTGGGGTAGTTTACCTTGTGTGCATTGAGTGTTATGATGGGTTCTGGATCAAAGGTATCTCGGCTGCACAGGGCCAGAACTCCGTCTGAGTAGCCTACAGCGAATCGCCGATCCTCATCGTACCACGTCAGGCAGGTCACAGCAACTAGAAAAGGTTCAGGAAAAATATCAAGATTTCAGGATGAAAAATGCGGCGACTGTATGGACACTACACACTAACAGCTAATGACACTGTATTACCATTCAAACTGGTTTGCACATATATCGATATTTCACAAAACTTACATTATGAACAATTTTTGGAATTTATTTTTGAGAATTTCTCACCCTCCTGTCGGTAGCACTGCTCCAGCTCCACCTGGTGATAAGTGGAATGGTCCAGGACCTCAATCAATCCCAGGGTTCCATCGATGCGACCCACTACAAGCATCTCCGTTGTCGTGCCTGCGCGTCCCTCCAGTAAGCCCTTGAACTTTGGCCAAGCGAGGGCGGTAACCAGCTGGGGCTGAAGCTCAAGATGGCCTCTGCCTCCTAACAAAGCCAAAAAAAATGATGTACCGGTAATTTCTTCAGTCGACTTGATGTTTTTTTCCGTTGTATTTAAGAAAATTCTTTAATGCGGCATACAAATTTACTATAGCGGATTTGAATTTTTGGAAAAACTCATATCCAAGATTTTATATAAATATATTCTACTTCAAATTAACAAACTTTAAGTCTTGATACTGTCCTCATCCAGGCATTTGAACAAATTTCGCCGGTTCCCGCTTAATCACGAATGTAGAAACTCACAGTTGTCAACCAGTCAACAGGGCATAGCACACGGCATTGTCGCACACAGACACAGCGCGCAGCAGGGTATGTGAGCACTGATATCAACAACCACAATGGCGGCTTTGAGCGGCACGAAAGTTGCTTCGGTAAGTGAAGAACATTCGACAAAATTTGATAAATAAAGACAGTGTCCTGAAATGTATTTCTTGCAGATCAAGACAGCCTGATATAAATAATAATAATAATAACATTGGATGGCTTTTTTTCAGGGGATACAAGAATTTACTGCATATAACAATATTGCACAAGTCCAATTCTTGTAGCTCATGCAATATATTCTTATATCCCCCTCAAAGCCATGCAATATTATATAAATATGTTACCTTTTGAAGCTGAGCGAAAAATTCTCAACTCATCAAATTTTGGGGCTTAGCACCTGAATGATTTGGTTCACAGTCCTTTGAAAATTAACAACTTCAAGCAATCCCATACTCCAATGAAATGACTCCAGAAATCCATTCCCTTACCCGTGACAAACCACACATTGACCATGTGTTCAAGCGACGCGGCAAAGACCCTCCCGTTGGCGTTGTAGCAGAGATTGGTCAACGGTAAGCCATGTCGGTTGGGACTGATGTAGGCCCCGTACTCGTCGTTATCTGTGAAGGAACAGGATTGCTGCAGGAGGGGCTGGGAACGAGTCAGGGAACCCCACAGCCTCACAACTCCATCGCTGCCACTATATAACAAAAAATTGAAAAATGGGGGAAACAATGTTATCATTAAAATGTAAAAACAAAAAGGTATGAAATGCCAGTACAAAAATTGAACACATCCACAAACAGAAATGAAAAACAGGATAAAACTATGTTACCAGCGAAATGCAACAAACTGATAAAAGATATGGACGAAGAAAACAATTTTCAACAATTACAGCCAATGGAATTCATGCAATATTGTTATATCGTGTGCTTGGATACTGTAATTTCATTGGTCTAGGACGGCCACGTGTCTGGACAATAACAATGCATGTCACACACTGAGGGTGATATCCCACTGCAGTCATTGCGCGCGTTGCGCACGCGTGTGGAATCTGCCGGCGCGCTATAGCTTTGCGCAGTAAAACACTGCAACGTCAAACGCTCACTCTCATGTAATATGTCCGGCAGGACATCAGAACCTTCAGTTATCAAAGGTTACATCGCAGTGATTTAATGTATTTTTCACACAGTAAGTTACAACCATTTGCATAAAAGGTATTGGCATGATATAACGTAACAATTGTTGACTGCAATGTGGAATATGTGGTGTTAAAAATGCCATATCCCACATCACAGCAGTCAACAATTAAATTAGCAGTTAAAAGCAGTTAAATAGTAGATGGCACTTCGTGACCTCTTTTTTGGGCGGGACACATTGCATGCACACAGCGGTTCACACGCATATGGGAAGTACACGATTGATTTCCAGAGAGGTGAGATATGGGGGAAATGAAAAATCCACGAAGTAATCGGCAGAGGGTTTGAGGGTCGCGGAGGGCCCCAGAACAACATATTAGGGTATATTATTATTATTATTATTATTATTATTTATTCGGCCAAATTACAAACATACAACAAGCAATCCACAAAAAATAAACAAATCTAAACAAAAACAACCCAATCCAAGCTGGCCAGGATTGACAAAAGTATAATAAAACACTGTGACTCGAAAGCCTGTCAATCCTAACTCGAATGGCGACATACAAAAATAAATTAAAACGTAGATAATTGTGTACGTATTTGCCTAAAAGGTAGCCCTGAAAATACCCATCTCTTTTCAGAAACCTTTACGGTAAATCTAACAACTTTCAGATGTCAAAGGTATTTGTTTTTAATCCAGAAATCAGGAACGTGACAAATCTCACCCGTGTTTTAATGTTACCACGCACAAACAAATATAGTGACAGGCATATTGCAGTAATGCATTCGAATCCTCCTAATTCTCTTTTTATTACCGTTGAGCAGGTAATTATGCAAGGAATCTATACCTAGTTGCAAGTAATGCCTTCCCCTGGCTCCACACACAACCAGTCAATACATCCTGGTGCGCGTCTATGCGTGACACAGGGCACGGGGGCATGTCCCCATGTAGGTCAGCTGTGATGACCGCCGGGCTTGACGATGGCCGGGCCTGGCCAGACAGCGTCTTGACCAGCTGTTGGGCTGCCCACTCCCTGTGCTGACTGGCAAGCCGGCTGGACAGGCAGCAAGCCGCCAGGGCATTGGCTAGCTGGAGCGGGGCTGAACGGGTCACTGCCGGGGCCACGGGGTCAGCTGTCGGGTCCTTCCTGGTTTGGTTGGAATCTGACGGGAAAAAAGAATGCAAACAACAAATAATGAAGGGATAAAAGACCTTATGCTTTGGGAGTGTCTTTTTGTTATTTTTTATTAAGCATCAAAAGGTTACTGGTGTCTATCCAACCTATACAAAACAAACGCTTCCAACTCTTCATTAACCCTAACTCCCTAGGGTGATTTGCTAGGAACCTTCCTCATCCTTGCAAATCCCAACACCATATGGTAAAATGTGCACATGAACAGTTGGACCCTGTTTATTTGTGGTATGCCTAATCCCACGTAAAGCACAGTCAGTTTACTAGTGCAGTACTCATCCTAACAGATTCAAACAAACCCTGGCGTTACAAAACACGGTTTGGGGGAAGTAATAAGGGAATAATAGTGTGGCGGAACAGTATAAATGTCTGGTTTAAAACCGGGTAGGGGCCTGGTTGCTGATAATGGCCGGGACGAAGACAATGGTTATAAATAGTGGGAGCAAGGTCTGACACGAATCTTGCTAAGCCGCGGTGTATTCTGACAGCAACAAGACCGGCCACTCGTGTGAGACTGCGAGTTCATGGTTTTGTATTGTGCGCACATTATACGTACATATAGCTCATACGTTTTTAAATTTAAATGTCGCAAGTAAATAGAGATTTAAAAGCTAATTTGAATTATAATTTAACTCATTACTTCCAGTTCCACCCCAAACCGCCCTGCCTGTTACTCCTTATACCGCCCCAAAATGCCCCAGCACCAAAAACCAAAAACCACAAATTTGTAATATTCAACATTCAAATTTCTCCCAAATAAATTCACATATCAAAAGACATCACACAATGGGCTACAACTGCATCTTCACCCAATCCCTTTTGTCAAGCTACCAACCTGAGGCAGTCTCCAGCTGTTGGCCCTGGTTGTTGCTCTGCTGTGCCTTGGGTCCCTCGGCGAGTAGCGAGACCAAGGCTTGGGTGACAGCAAAGCTTGGTGAGGAGAGGGCTCGCTGATCGGACGAGCCGGGGTCCTCCCTGGTAGCGGTGGGTGCCCGGCGGGTATCAATGGCCGCTACGTTGAGGCCGCATGCAGCTGAGAGCAGGTCCTAAGGTAGGCCAAATGGAAGAAATAGGACGTAATCTCTGAAATGGGCACACGTACTCCTAGTGTAGATAATATGGAAACATTTCATCCGACAGGTTTAAAATGGCAGAACTTTAAAACTGAACACAAGATGGGTTGATTTTAAGGTTAACAATGCTTTTTATTTGAACCAAATTTGAGCTGCAAGACCAACATTGAGGCCACACGCAATGAGTGTTCAACTTGCAAAATTGCAAAAATTTAGTAATGTGCTGCAGAAAACACTCTATGAATTAATCTGAAAGTTGTTAACTGTGAAAAAAAGTTTTAAGCTTGTAATTTGAGCTTAAAGAGTTTAATTGTCCTAAGGACCTTTTGACAGTTTTCATGACATCAAGCTTTTCCATAACAGTACTGGAAATACAGGTGCCCAGCTAACCATGTTTCAAATGTTCTCTTCCCTTTGAAAATGCTTAAAATAAAAAAAAATTACAATAAACAAAATATCTGAAATCCAAACCTTAGTGCAGAGTTGTACTAGCATCTTAGCCGCGCTGGGGTTACACGCTGCCAGGGATCCGATGGCTGAACTCAGGTAGGCTAGACTGGATGACATAGCCACCGTACCAGTGGACGCTGACTCTAGTGGGACCTGACTACCGTATACCGCCGTGGGGTGGTTGGTGGTGGCTGCAAAGTCCGTCCTGCCCGCTGCAGCAAGGCACATCAGCCGGACTACAAGCCTGATGTCTGAGAGTCCTAGTTGCTCCAGACCCTCGGAGAGATTGCAGGCCGAACCGCTGGACATGACACAGACAAGTATGTTAATGGGTATACACTGCAGCCAATTTTATGGCACTGCTCTAAGGCATGATACACATTCATTTATGATAATAATGTGGAGTGATTATATAGTGGAATCCGGCAACCAGAATTAGAAGCTTTTACTGCGGTGGTGTCATGCTCACAAGCACGCTGCAGGCATTCTCAAAGACGAGGCGCGCGCATTTCTATTGGTTGAAGGAGCCTTGCACCACGGCAGAAAATGGCTGCCAACCGATTTGTCTATAGTACTTTCCACCAAAGGTAGGTCTCAAAGCTCTTCACAATTATTATGCCTGTTTATCAGACCATGAGTCCACTTTTCGGCAGTCGAGATCAGTGCAACTTGGTCTCTACCTTCACAGGTACCCATTTATACTCCTGGCTGGAGAGAGGCAATCGTAGTAAAGTGTCTTGCCCAAGGGCACAAACACCATATTCCCCGTCAGGGTTCGAACCCATGTACCATGGCATATGGGACTTATAATGGGCTTGTGATTCCATATTTGACTGACTAGTGCTTTACTTGTGATTTGACTTGTGATTTACATGTACTTGTAACATTCTTGTGAATTTGACTTGTAATTTGACTTTCAAGTTGACTTGTGATCCGACTTTGGATTTCACTTGTGTCAGACTTGTGATATACTAGTGACTGAATTGTGATTCGGCTTGTGATAGACCTTCAATTGAACTTGTGATCCAAGTTTGTGATCTGACTTGTGATTTACATGCGTTTTGACTAGCGCTTTCACTTGTGATTTACTTGTGACATTCTTGTAGTTTGGCTTGTAATCCAACCAGTGACCTGATTTGTGATTGGACTATTGATGGGTTTTGTAATTCGACTTATGACTGACTTGTGATTTGCGTGTATTTGACCTGTAATTTTACTTGTGATTGACATGTGATTTTACCTCTGATTTGACTTGTGATCTGACATGTGATTTTACCTCTGATTTGACTTGTGATCTGACATGTAGTTTGACTAGTGATTTGACTTGTGACATGAGTTGTAATTGACTTGATAACAACTGTCTTTACCTGACAGATAAGAGCGAGAGCGCCCTCATGACCATGGAGCGAGCTAGCAGGACTTGGGCAGCCGCGGTGGTCTTTCTCAGGGCGACTGCCCTCTCATGGGCGGTGGACAGCAGCGCGACCTGCTCCCCTAGGCTCATCCGATTCATGAAGCACGAATCGCGGTGGCTGCTCCCATCTAAAGAAACAATTGTAACACACAAAAATTGTCCACATGACTTTGTGGTAACAAAAAAGTGCACTCATTTCAATCGCTAAGATGGTCAATGCACAGGTTTTCCTACAATTTGTAACAATGCTCTGTCCAATGAAGACACTTGTAGGCAGAGCTTGAAGTGGAGATACAAAAAAAATTTGAAGTAGGGAGTATCGTTTTTATTTTCATTTTTTTTCAATTATGTGATCCTTAATATTTCTAAAATATATTGTAAATGTTTCAGACCATAATAATGCTTCTTAAGATAGTTTTACAGCGAGTCCCGAAATACCCGCAACTTTTTTTGGCAAGGCTCTAGCGTCGGCGCGGAATCACGTATCGCCATTATTTTTATACCATTTTAAAGCTTGGAATCTTAACTTTATCCCTGGCGAGTATTGGTTTGATATTTAAAAGAGCTTTAAAATTATTTGTGCTCAAATAAAGGCATGTCGAAAAAAAAACTCAACCGATTTCAAGAAAAATCGATGATGCGGTACATCAGATGCAAACTCGAGTCAACAAGCTGCTGAAATAACAAAAAAATCCAGCTGATTTATATTAAAAACACCTTGAACTTAAAACAAAGAACAATGTTGTGAATTTATTTAAGGTGTAGTCTACGTGGATCAAAAAGAAAAGGAAACACAGAAAGTAAAAGGCAATGAGATCGTCACATCATGAACATGATGAAGCATTTCCACATTAGAAAAAATGTGCGTGATTGATTTACCTTGAAGTTGGTTGTGTTACGTTTTTGACATGCCTTTATTTGAACACGAATAATTTCAAAATGCTTTTGAAAATCAAACCAATACTCCCCAGGGCTATAAGATTCCAAGCTTTAAAATGACATAAAAATAATGGCATTTTAACATTTTCTGTTTCCCCTTTTTCATATTAAAAAAAAATAATTCTGGCAACTTTTTATACTTTTTATGGTTGCTTATACAAATTCATATTATACACTGACCGAGACTGTAGGTACCTCCAGTACTCCTACTGACGCCTGCTGAGGCACTCCTTGCACCGAGGGGGTCAGGCTCAGGGAACTGGACCGGCTCAGGGATGGATCGGTTCTCAGTCAGTCCCAGCCGACCCATGATCTGATCAAATGTCTCCTGGCCTGATATCTGATTGCTGTCATCCTCTGTCACCAGGTCGTGATCGTCTGGCGAGAAACGGAAAAAAAATGAATTTTGTACACCTGGCTTACAGGTAATATATTTGCTTTTGCTGTACATTTTCAAAAATGGATGGATTTGGGGGTTAGTATTTTATAGCATTAGTATTGTTACACTGACCTGTTTAAAGTTTTGTGTTCATAGATGCTGGAAAAACTTAGAATATCTTATTGTAGTCTGGTTCCCTGACCCTACTTCAGACAAAATGGAGCAATTTATAGAAATCGCAGAATTGTCAGGTCAGGGAACCGGACTAGCTGGCTTCCACCCATTCATGGATGTGTAACCAATGTGTAACAAAATGAGGACTGACTAAGTTTGGCAAATTGAGTGTAGTATTTGAAAAATGACTATCAGTGGAAATTGATACAAAAATTCAACTTTTCGTGAAAATGACAGCACACCAGGTGCCATGATTTCATAGGATGCTTGAGACTATTATTCACTTACAGTCAAGTAAGGTAGTTATAATAATTTGGCAGTTTTGGTTTTTTATGTTTGCAAAATGTTGTTTATTACCTGTAAGACTCAAATGCACCAAATATCCACCTTATACATATTGAGGGTGCAAATAGTTTGAAATTTGAAAAGCAACTATTCAGTATGGGTCATTGTATACATTTAGGGTCCAAAGTGTGAAATTTTTCCTGTCCTTCTGACCTTGGTTCTTTGTCATATGCCATTCAAGTATCATTAAGAATGACTTCAAACAATGTTATAACTGTTAAGCAGGTAGTTTGCTATTTATAAACTTTCTTGGAGGACGACTGTATTAAGGAGTGTATCCAGAATTACAGATCCAGATGTACGATGTACCAGGGACAGGGAATGGACCCACAATGTATAGAAGGACCCATGTCTCAATATAGGTGGATTTATTTTAATTCAATGTCTCAAGGACAGTGACTAAATTTTGTATTGCTAGAAATATATCAATTTCAAATAAATCTTCTTTGAGGAGAGGAAGATTAATGGGCTTGTCAACTCAGGGCTTATGAACATGTCTATCCCCAATGAATATGCATAATATAAAGAACTTGCTGTAATTGCCCTTCCTGTGACATATGCGGTAAATCTTTTGATCTTGTGAGGCACTACAGGAGAAAAAACAACATGCATTATGTTAGGGGCTGCACCACATAAACAACTTTTTTCATTGACAACATTAGCTTTCTCTTGATTTGATATTAAAGGACGAAGGTTTGCTAGTTTCTGATAGGAACTCACCATCAACAGGGCCCTCAGCTGTCGTACTGAAGTCTGACGACATGCTGACCAGTCCCCGGCTCCCTGACTGGTACTTCTCCCTGCAGTCGCTGCACATGAGATAGTAGGGGTTACCGGTGCCACAGGCCCCGCCGAACCAGCCCCCGACGTAAGCCCCATTGCTACGGTAACCCATGTGACCACAGCTTTGCCGGCAGCCTGGGTGCTGAAGCCGCATGTGGCGGTTGAACTGGGTGGTGGTCAGGCCGCAAAGGTCACAGGTCACCTGGCTCTCGCTCTCCTCCAGCTCACGGCTTAGCTGATTAGGAATGAGAGACCAGTTATGAATGAAAAGACCAATTAGGAATGAAAGGCCGCAGAGGTCACAGGTCACCTGGCTCTCGTTCTCTTTCAGCTCACGGCTTAGCTGATAAGGAATGAAAGACCAATTAGGAATGAAAAGACCAATTAGGAATGATAGACCAATTAGGAATGAAAGACCAATTAGGAATGAAAGACCAATTAGAACTGAAAGACCAATTAGAAATGAAAGACCAATTAGGAATGAAAAACCAATTAGGAATTGACTGCTATATGTACATGTGCAATAAGGGTCATTTCTCAAATCTCGGGTATATGTTCAACTTTGGCTTCAGGCTTCAAGTCTCCTGATTTGAGGGTGGTTTACGAAATCACGACTTGTCTTCACAATAGTTTAGAAGCCGTTAATGTGGAAGTACTCATACCTTGTAATAAAAAGCTTGATTTGGAAGTCTTACAATTTGATTCAAACAAATCAGGCTTACATATGGTTCCAGAGCCAAAGATGAAAAGCCAAACTCAAAGTTTGAGAACTTGCCTCTGAATGTTAAAAGTTAAAATAATGCTGGCCAATCTATGAATGTGAAATCATGTCCAATTAGGAATACTTGGGAGTCAGCAGTAGTTTCATGATCGGGCTGAGAAACTGTGTCTACTATGAGGCTAAGAAGCATTTGGACTATCTATCCCAGAACATTACTGAGCCAGGCCTAATTTTCTGGAGCCTGAAGTAGAAAATAACAATCAAAACTGTATCTATTGAGAGAAAATCAGCAAGAATCAGTCACATGGAGTATCAACTGTATGACATTTTAGCTGGTAACTTGTTTCTGTGTTTCATGAATTTCTTAGCTCAAGAGCTCCATGAAATTGACCTCCAGTTTGTCAAGACTCTACATTCTTTGCCAACAGAAAGAGCTAGGCAACACCAAGAAGGAGATTTTGATCTCCTGTCATAGAAAATAAGTTCACTTACCTCAGGGTACCATAGACCCAAGAGCTCCCGGTCCCCTGCATTGTCGGTAACCAGCGTATCTTCCTCCTCTTCGTCCAAGTCCATGTCGTCATCTTCAAAGACGATGTCGTCTTGCGGGACTTCGTACCTCAGGTCCTGCCTGTCCGATTCACCAAACAAGCCATCTGGGTGGACATCTAAGATATAACCGAGGTACAGGATAACGATACGAAACCAATTCAATTTCAATTCAACCAAATATATATTTTCACATTTGAAATGACACTTTTCTGAAGCAGAGGCATTTCATGAATATAATTATTTACAGATGAAATGTCCGTGCACTAAATCAAATTCTATTTTTGTCCTCCTAACTTTCTCCGAACTTTGATCAATGCTGTAATTTCACAGGTTTTCAAGAAAAAAAATGTGTTTTCCCCATTTTGGGCATCTGCAAGATTCTGTTGTGTGTTGCTTTTGCGCGCATAAACAGATCTGCCCTAATTGTGGGCCAAAATTGTGGGCCAATATTCTGAAGTAAAGACTTCTGTACTGCTAGAAAACTAGCAATTAAAAAAACAATAACAAATAAATAAATTAAAAACCAGTAATTTTTAGCCTACAAGGAGCTATTGAAACATATGAGGTTTCAGCAAGATATATCATACAAATACTGTTGATGAGTCTTGCGAATCAGTATTTGTGGCGTTTGGCTGTATATCAGAAGTTGGCTAGAAAATTTTGAAATTTTTGGCAAAAAAAATCCTGGCGCAAAGTGGTTAAGGTTGTGGTGTACCTTAGTTTGGTCTGTAATTGTTTTCTTCTCAATAGACGTCAATTATTAGTGATGTATCACATTCACTTTCCCAACAGCAGCTCATAAAAGTGTCTGACATGTACGTCCGAATTTACGGCATTGCCAACTTGTAAGCAGAAGGTTGTGGGTTCAAGTCCTACCCGAGTAAACTTGTGAAATTTTTCTTCTGACAAACTCTCTGAGTGCACAGTGTTTACGAAACACTGTCGGTGAAGGGCAGAACCCAATATGGAATTGAAATGAGAGGTGTTAAGATCAGACTCACAGGGTGTTCTGTCCATGTTGCGAGCCATGGCGTTGGCAAGGGTGGACAGGTCCGCCACAGCCCGGTAACGCTCCAATCTGGACGGGGGACGTTCCACGGACGGCGTCCGCCTGAGACGTCGGGTGACATCTTCTGTCTCTGGGTAGCTGGAACTGCGCAAGGAAATAAACAAGCCTACTAAGAGCTGGTTCCAGATCACACAAAATGTTATTCAATTGATACAGAAGGCTCTTCACGAGCGGTCTCTTCATGCATCAGGGCCACTGATCTCTATATAACGACTGGATAGCGTACAGAAAGCAGCAGAAGAACGCCATTTGAAGCCATATTGGAGAGACCGGATCGTGGTTCACCTGGTTTACGTTTTGTCCACCGCCACTGACCACGGTTCACAATTTGTCAAACGTCATGGTTTACTTTTGAATGCCGCAGTTCAATTTTTGCGACATTTGGAAATATACTCACTACAGAAATTTGTCCTTTTCATCACAATACATGTACATGATCAAAATGTGCGTCAACTCATGATACAGCGCGCGTTGTATGCACGTTGTATGCACGCGCAGAACGTTTGTATGTAAGCGGCCATTTTTGAAAGACCGGGGGCGAACTGGTCAAAATGTAAATTCAAGCCTGTGACTCGTGTATGGGTATCCGCTATCAAGATTCTTTATATAGAGATCAGTGATCAGGGCCCAATTTCTTGGCTCTGCTTACCATTAGTGAAAAATCCATGCTTACTGTAGCAAGAAATGCCATGCTTACGGCAAGCACATTTCGCGGGTTAGCGAGGAATTTTGGCTTCTGCCCATGCGTACATCCCGTAACTAAAGATTTTGTGCTTACAGGGTTGCGCAGTATGTGCCGTGCACACGCCAATCTCCATATAAGGGGATTTTTAGCACTACACGTGCAAGGCATATACCATAGACATGGCCAGAGGGGTGTTTCACAAAAAGTTAAACTGTTGAACAAAATCGTTAGAAATTTGTGAATTTTTGACTTGTTGTGACTTTTTGACTGAAAGGTGTTTATGAATGGGAATAAATCTGCACTTAGCCGGTATCAAACAAGAACCACTCCTAAGTTGAGAATGATAATAGCATGAGTATCAGCTATAATTACATGCCCCATCATTTTTGAATGCCGTAAAGTAGTGCCATCAAATCCAGGGCCCAATTTTTTTTGGACTTGTAAAGCAGAATATGACACACTAAGCTAAAAAACCTTGCCCACTCACTCTTCATATTCGTCATATCGTCCCGCCGGGCTGTCAGAATCGGTAGGTCTGGACGGCCTGTTAAGTGCAGCTGCCGACTGCTGCCTGCTGCTGGTCTGCTCTGCAGCACCCTGCGATGGCTGCTGCTGTTGCTGCTGTAGGGGTGAAGGGTCATCTTCCTCATCCAGACACGGGTGCTCTAACATCCAAGTCGCTAGGATGTTGATGCGCTGGGCGTCCAGGTCCCCACGGGTGTCTGCAAAAAAATTAGGCAAGTATTTCTCAGTGACTTTAAGATGTTGATGCGCTGGGCGTCTAGGTCACCACGCGTGTCTGCATAAAAATTAGGCAAGTATTTCTCAGTGACCTTAAGATGTACTGCCTGCGCTCAATTAGAAAACTAATTATCTATCTATGTGTTATATTCTGGGCAGTTCCATGATGTCAGACGTACATTTTGGACAATTCAACAGTGTGCATGATAAAAGTTATAATCATAAACCGGACTTTAATTATGATAAAACTTATCAGTTATTTTATACAATAATTCTAAAAAGGAACTATTCATGGTGTTGGATGTACTTAGACAAATTGATATTTTTGTGTACTTAATTAATTTTCAATTAATTTTTGTTAATTAAATTTTCAGATAGAAGTAACAGCTTAAAAGTAAGCTTCAAAGTTTTTTATTAAAGTTTATCATTCCGTGAAACGCCCTTTTAGAAAACAGAAAAAAAAATTGTTTTCTATATTGGCCATGGTAGACAGTATAAAAAGAAAATAAGGAGGAAATTTCATTTGACCAACAATAACCACACGTATCCCGCTGACTTACTTGTTGCCGCCATTGCTTTCAGCACATGATGCATACTGAAGCCCATTTCCAGGAGCTGAGCTGCAATGGGCGGGGACGGGGGCGGGCGGGACTGTGAAGCTGAAGAAACAGACAACAGAATAACACAAAAAAAGACAATTCAGAGAACGGAATCAATAACAAAAATACTCAAACTATTCATTTGTTTAACCATTGACCATCCATGTCCTATTATTAAAGATCATGTTAAGATTATGTGCACAGATATCTCCATGAAAACCCTTCCTCTCTGGCTGGCAATTTCAACAAGGCCAGCACAGCAGTCAAAATAAATTAGGTGACTGTTTTTGATAGTTGCCTGCTCCCTGCCTTCACAAAGCAGGATTGACTGGCTGTGATTGTTATGAAACCTGATATAGCTACATTTTGAATGTAGGAAATTGATAAGCCAGCTGCGACTACCAGTCACCTGCTTTTGTCCATTGATGGAATTTGACTGTCACAGTGCCTACAAGAAATATGACCAGACTGTTGGTGACTAGCATGTGTAAAAGGCATGGTAGGAAAACAGGATTGATTTCTTGACCTTTGATACTGACCACTGACCTTAGATTCTTTGACCCTTGATTCTCTGACCCTTGACCTTTGATTCTCTGACCTCTGAACTCTTTACCTTCACTATGGGCGTCTTCCTCGGGTGAGTGGGGAGAATGGGGTGGTGAGCTTGGAGGTGAGATGGCAGCGGCATTTGTCCCCCTCTGCGAACTGCGGGAGAACAGCATCCTCATCCCGACTCCCCTCAGACGATTACGAGACGGGAGGGAGCAAGAGGGGGTGGGCGGGGCCGAGACAGTGGTAGAGGAGGAGGAACTCTGGCGGTCCTGGCCATCAGTTTGGGCTGCGGCTGCCGTGACCGTGTCCCGGTCCAGACGGCGGCCTTGGCTGGCTAGCATTTCTGCGGGAAAACAAAGACAAGGTCTTTTTGGTTAATCCTATGATAGCACTGCCGTTCTCTTTTCCCCAGTCTATAACATTCTAAGTCACAAGTGACAGTCAGTCAGTCAATGAGTCAGTCAGTCGGTCAGTGGCATAGGCACTTAGACCCATTGGATGGCCACAAGAGGATTGCCTAAACTGCCTAATGGGACCATTAAAATCCGTTTAGACTTTTACTCATGAACAAATCCATACTGCATTAGTGTTCCTAAACTTGAAACAGTCTTGTTTCTCTTGAAAATGTTCTCATTGGGAACACACCGTGTTCCTTTGGTACTATCAAATAAAACAGTCCAATTTTCGAAAGTCCTTACAATAACAAGTCATTCACAAGTCACTCAGTCTCAAGACATTCCTTTATCAATGTCTATCCCCTACAAATTGTGTCCAGACTTTTGACTGACTTCTGATGGACTTGTGATCGGCTTGAACTATGACTGGAAACTAGGACAAGCCCTTGTTTATTGTGTACTGGGCATTCCTACGAGAGGAAGCGCAGTGAACCCAAGCCTCTTTAGTGTTGTTTTACCATTTGAACAGGCAGTTTTCTCGCAGGAATGTTTCGAGCATTGTGACTCTTGAGATGCTCCCTAAATAAGGGTAGTTAATCAATACAAATGCCATATACCACAAATTGTATTGCTGACAAAATGATCAAATTACCTACCTAGTTTAGATGTAGTGGTTTTACCATCTGTGTAGGGAGCCTGAGCTGTGAGCTTGATCAGCATAGCATGCGCCCTCTCGAGCTCTGTCATGCATACCACACGTCTGATTGGAGATGGCATGACAGCTCGCTTCACAAGCTGCCTCATGATGGTACGCATGGCTACCCGTAGGCCTTCCAACTCCTCCTTAGCTCTTGCCTGTTCCGCCTGGTCCTTGTCGCTGCCTGAGCTACCCTTCCGCTGCTTACCACCAGGTGGAGCCTCCTTCTCTGGCTTTTCTGTCGTTGGGGTTTTTGGGACCAGCAGCATCTCGATGTACTTGCTGCAGCCCATCAGGACGCTCAGGGCCTTCAGGGCACCGACTTGCAGGTGAGCCAGCATAATGCTTTTCATCTCAGCGTCCGTCTGCCTAGCCAGGTCATCCAGTTTTAGTCCCGGTTTCGGAGCGGCAGCGGTGTCCCTGGTAGCAGGGATGGGATGCTGCTGCTCCACCTTAGGCGTCTCAGCGGGGACGGAGAGAGTGCTGGTGTCGGACAGATTAGCATCTGTGGGGCTGAGGATAGGGGAACCCCGGCAGCTAGAGTCAGTTGATGTGCCTTCCATCTCCTCCCCGATGCAAGGCTCTGGGGTCTGATTTAACAGGGACGACCTCCTCGGTCCGGGATCTTCTAGTCCCTGGGAGATGCTATCCAAGACCTCCTCTACCATCTTCTTGGTGATGGATGCCGAGACAGCTTGGCCTTCTCTACCTGAAGCAGCAGCACCTTGGTTTGGTTTGGAATCTGGTGATTCCAGATGCAGTTGCAGAGTTGATAATTTTGTAGCAGTCACAGGCTTTCTGTCTTTCAGAGATGCAAGGCTGTCCACGTCTGTCCCCTCAACGCTGGAATCGGACTCTCTGACTTGGGCAGAGACTTGAGATTCTCCGGTCGCCTCCTCCTCTTCCTCTTTCATCGCCCTGGCAATTTCTGCATCCAGGGACCTCTCAAAGGCATCAGTCTTGGCGACATCGCCTTCCTTCTTCTCCCTCTCTTGCTTCTCTTTCCCAGCTCCAGTCTGTGCCTCGCCGACATGCTTTGGAGGCTGGTCTGCTTTGGCCGCATCTCTCTGGGCATTCTCGTCAGCGATTCCAGACAGCAGGGCCAGGTCACTCAGCATGGTTGAGTTGATGCCCTTCAGATGAGCTGGTTCGAACCCCACCGGCTCTAAAGGCTCCAGATTAGATATAGCACAGTCGCTGATAAAAAAGAAAAGAAATCAAGACGAGGCAAACTTAGTAAAGTAAAAGCTGGTTCAAAAGCACACAAAATTCTGTCAACAGATTCAGAATGGGTATTCACTGGGAGTCTTTTCATGCAACTAGTCTACAAAATGGGCCAGATGTAGCCCATTCATTCCCATTCATTCATTCCCTTTAGTTTTCCAAGCTCGAGTGCCACTTTCGAGGAGACCTTGGTATCTTTAACAGAAGGAATTACCCCTGTCATAGTTGACTCCATCACATTCATTCATTCATAAAAGGTTTATTAAAAATTGTCATCACAGCAAAAAAACTGAATTGCAACAATTATTACAATATTGAAAAAACATGAAGAAATAACATTCAATATATATTTAAAACATTTAAGAAAAGTAAAAGACTAAAATGCACCAAAGCGCAGACGAACCAGCGCAGTCTCGACACCCGCGCAAACTCACTACACTCCATCCCGACCCAATCATCCCATGAATGGAATCAATTCCATGGACAATTAAGCCGGGACGGAGCACAACAGTCCGCACAAGTGACAAGCATTCACAAGTCCATCACAAGCATTCACAAGTCCACCACAAGTCATCATAAGCCATCACAAGTAAAGTACTAAGCTAAAGCTAAGCTAAGTTAAGTTAAGTTAAGTACTAAGCTATTCAAATGAACTGTACTTGACAACAGCACCGCGAATTACAATTAACCTTCCTGCTATTTGAACAGCCAAAAACAGTCAAAAAATCAATCCTCTTCTCTTGCCATGCCTTTTAATACACATTCACCAACAATCAGATCATATTTTAAGCAAGGACTATGACAAAACAGACAAAAGCAGAAAAGTGGTAGGCACAGCTGGCTTATCAATCACCTGCAGTCAAAGCATAGCTGTATCAAGTTACATAAACAGTCACAGCCAGTCAATCCTGCTATATGCAGGCTGGGAGCTCTTAACTGTTGAAAACAGTCACTTGATTGATTTTGACTGAAAGGACAACTTTGCACAGAATGCATGTCTGCATAGGAGGGTTAATGAATGACAAAGCAAAAAGACAAATTGACTAAATCTTGATTGGATGCAGATAGTTATGTGGTAACATGCCGACACATACCTGATAGTAGAGTCTGCATCCTCCCACTGCACCTTGGCTGAGGTCCCGCCCTCTTTGAGCATGCCCAGTAGGGTGGCCTCTCTGCATGTCTGTTTATGCACGCAGCGGCCGCCGATTCTCAAGCCCCTATCGATGCCTCCGATGACTGCCAGGACTGGTAGAACTGAGTTACACAACTGCATCCAGTCTGTAGAGTCCGAATCTGAAAACATATCGCCAGCATTTAAAGCCACCGATTTAATGACAGAAACCTTCAAAGTGAAGATTGGACTGGTATCAAATACCCTGTGAAATTATTCCGTCTGAAGTGGTATCGTTTGGAAGAAAATTAACAACTACCACAGGTTAGTTGTTATGCACCCTATTTAAGACTTTGAGCAGTTTTGTCCAACTGATCGTTCACTTTTTCAATTCTAATATTGATTAAACAAACTTCAGCTCACTAGGTTTTTTTTAACTGCCCTAAGTAAATTTCAAGAAATGAATGAACACCCATCTACAGTTCTGTATCACAAAATTTGACTTACATATACTTGAACTGTAAAGTGAGTTTGTTACAAATTTAATCAATTGATATCAATTTAACCTTTTAGTCTCTATACTGCTAGAAAACGCCCTGCCTATTTCTCCTTATAACGCCTCAACTCTATATGGTTTTATAAATTCATCAAGGAGTAACTACAATATAGTACAATGTAATACAAAACAAGCAATATTTTGAGATATGGCAGAAATCAGAAGCTACTGCAAATTGCAAAACTTTAAAGTTCTGTAAACTTGATGTTTCAATCCTAGTAGATTCTTTTTCCAAGATAAAAAAACAATAAATTTGACACAAACCTTTTTCTTTATCATCCACAAGTTCCTCCTTCTTCCCTGCCTTCTTGTCCTCACCACCATCCTTCTTTTCTTGGGCCTTCTTCTCAGCCTTGGAGTCTCCATCTTTTTTCTTTGTTGACTTGTCTTCTCCCTTGTCACTCCCATCAAGAACTTTCTTGTCACTTTTCACCGGCTCATCCCCTCTGCTTTCACTCTTCCCGCGGTCTGGGGTTTTCTCCTTTTCCTTTGAACCGTCCGGTTTCTTTTCAGCCTCGTCCGATTTTGTTTTGGCGAGCTCTGAATCCGACACACTCTCCCTCTTCAGGGGCTCGCCATCCCTGTCAACCTTCTTGTCGCTCGGCTTAACATCATCACTTTCCGCTTTCCTGGGCACCGACTTCCCACCTGTCGTCTCCGATTTCTGATCGGCGTGTGACTTCTTGGACTTGCTTTCAGCGGGAGTGCTCCCGTCGCACTCTGGGCAGGCAGATCCCAGCGCAGACTGGTGGAGTTTCTGTATCTGCCCCAGCCTTGCCTGGATGCCATGGTTGATGGTGTCTCTCCAGGACGTCTCGCGATGGAGGGATCTGAGTAGCATCACGTGAGCCTCAGCCAGGACGGAAGAGGTGGGTGCGCACAGGGGTTCCCCCGGCTGCAGGTCTCGCGGCGCTCCTCGAACCTGCATCTCACCTATTTTTACCTATGGTGGCATGAAGGAGAAGGGTGATAAACAATTAAGTTTTCTTAATGGCTGTGCATTTTCAAATAATGTAGTATTTGATTATACAGACTACTTGATTGAATATTCAACTATTCGAACTTGATCAAGTTTAACATGCGCCAGCCTAAACTCGGCCGCCGATCGAGATCTGCGTGTGCCTGCGCTTGCTGAAAATTGACAATGACCCTGATTGACAATGACCCATAGCCTACCTTCTCCCCAGGGTTACTGCTGTAGAACATGACCACTGGATACAGCTCCGTCGCTTCGACATCATCAAAAGCTAGCCTGGGCTCCTAGAACAATTATGCAGTAAAGAAAATACTGGTGAAGAATATCTGAACAACTTTTCAAGACTTTTCCGTGACTTTTTCCCTTGGAATATAAATTTTCCATGACTCCTAGTAAAAGTTACAAAATTCCTTAACTTTCCATGATTGTGGGAACCCTGTCAGTTATCTCACCTCCCCGTTCTTGCCAAACGACAGCGTGCGCGCCTCCATGTCCAGCACGCAGGTGATGCAGTCCCCCTGGGTGAAGCCAGGCAGCGTCAGTGAGTGCTCCCCGTTGTGGTACAGGTTGCCGCTGTAGGCCCGGTACAGCCACATGTCCGAGGTGGTCCGGTGGCTGAAGTCGCGGACGGGGTACCGGGAGACTCCAACGCACGTGCCCTCGTTACCCTTGTTTTCTTTGACAATGTGAAACTGAAGGGGGAAAAAAAATAATCTAGCAATTTGTTTTTTTTAACAAGGGACTGCAACTCCGAGTTGAAGTCAAGTGTTAACAAATAAGTGCCATGTCATTCAAACATCTATTACAAGTTGTCTAATCTTAAGTTGAATGATTACTTTGGTCGATTTAACCAGTTCGCGCCGGGATTATTTTGAAATTGATCGAACCCGGGCGCGGGATTGTTTTTCATGAACCTTGATGCCAGACGGGTTCAGGCCATCATCTGCGGGTAGCACACCCTGATATTTCCGGCCTCGCTCGCTCGCTGTGAGCGGGTCGCAGACAGATATTTCCGGCCTCACTCGTTGCGTGTTTATCCGTCATCCGTTCCAAATACCACAAAACCTTTGCGTGTATACACGTCATCCGACGCGAACTGGTCAAAGTGACTTCTAACTCACATTGGTTAACACAACTAACATTATTCTGATGACACTTGCAATTTGCATGTTAAGAACACGGTGCCAATATGACTACCTCCAATCCACAATTTTAGGCAAAATACCATATTGTTTTTACCAAAAAAAATACCATATTCCATCTCACTGGCACAAATGAAAGGCCTCGTTGTCCCCTTCAATTGGATAGCACATTTGTGACCTGTTCTGTCAAAAACAGATGCTTCTGGGCAGAGGTTGAAATTGAGATAGGGCCAAAAAAATGCTGCGGGGTGATTTTTTTCGATTTTCAAATTTCTGCATATTTGTAATCCTGAACATGTTTAAAATAGACTATACAATTTTGAAATCCTTATTTGAACTCTAAATATAGCATTTTTGATGATTTGTTAAGGTATATCAGTAAAAGGAATGTCACTTGAAACAGGTCTTAAACTAGACCCCAAACTTTAACTGCCATTTTCTCTGTTTTCTACTTTTCGGCATGATGAACTTCAAAATAGCATAACTTTGCCCAGGAATGACCGGTTTCAAAAATAAACCACCTATTCAAAGGAAAATGTACATATTTTAACAATATGCAAAAATCTCATTTTTGACCTTATGTCTAGAAAAGTCTGATTTTGACAGAACGGGTCACATTTGATGTTAAGGTGCTTGTAAATTTGAAGATTTCATAAATTTTCTATTTTTCATCAATGTCCACATTCTCATGGAATTGCCCATTAGCTTTTACTGATTGCGCGAGTTCTACGAAGGATTCTTCATTGTGAGTGCTGCGCATTGAGAGTGTATTTCCAGAACGATGCGACAACCGTAACATGTGACCCACCTTCCACTGGTAGCAGCCGGCGGTGATTCCCGTGGCCCCCAGGCCGTAGCCCCGCCCACCGGAGCCGTGGACTAGGGTGTGGCCTCCCTCCACGCTGCAACACACCGCCTTCTCCGCGTCAAAGACGGTGTCCTGCAACGCGATGTCATCGTCACTGTCACTGTCATCGCCATCGTCCCCACTCTCCGAGACCGAGGACGATGGTCGCCTGGCGTTGGCGTTGTCATTGCCGGGGTTCACCATGGGGGGCACGGTGCCAGGGTCAGGGGCAGGCTTCTGGTGGGATCGGTGGCGAGCCAGGGCCTGCGGGGCGCGCCACATGCACTCTGAAAGGTTATTCAGAAGTTGCTGTACCACCTGCAAATGTACAATGTACATGAAGAAGGAAACAAGTGATTTAAGCGAACACGGTTCCCAACAAACAATGCTCAGTATTGTATTTAGAGTTTGTAACCCGTATATCAATCTGCCCCAGCTCTCTATGGTTTTATTGGTTTATAGCAGAGTAAACACAATGTAAGACAATTTCGTACAAGTGCTAAAGGGTTAAAATAGGACAGTCAAAATAAAGGACATGGGACAATATTTGAACAAACAAGCCTACACTGAAATATCTGCCAATCAAGTCCATTTCCATGACGAATATGAACACAGTATTTCATGATAACAATTGACAGTCAGTCACTGGTACCCTGACCTGATACTGGTGCCCCTCCTGAGTTTCCATAGGGCATGCAGGAAGGACAGCCTCCAACAGATGCAGCGAGAGTAGCCTGGTGCGGATGTTTTCAATCCTCGGTAAACCTACAAAAAACACAACAATGAAAAACTTCAGAATATACTGACGTAGACTGAGATATTGCTCAAGCATTTTTTGCAACGAGAATTCAGCATAGTGGTTAGGGCTGGTCATTCATGATCAAATCCTAGCTGCTGGCTGTATGTTGTGTCCTTGGGCAAGCCACTTTACACTTGTCTCTTTTGACCCAGAGTACAAGTGGGTGCCGGCATTACCCGAAGACTAAATTTGTGATGGGCTTGAATCCTATCCAGTGGGGAATTGAAAACATTCTCAGGTTTTTTTCTCAAAACTAGACATTGGTGGGAGACTGATTTAACTTTCTATTACTTTGTTATTTACAATGTAAAAGACTGACAATTATTTTGAAATAAAAGGCTAAACAGTATAATATTTTTGCTGACTCCTGATTTCTGGTTACAAATCTCTGTGTATTTGTCAACACTAGCAGTTACTTGGGCCGATGGGTCACAAAAAAAAAACAATTTTTAATTCTACAACGGCACGGTTCCATCCCTGGTTACCAATAGCTGCACACATCATAATGTACAGCAGGGGGCCAGGACCCCGACATTTTGTAATGACGTTTAGACAAGTGTTTGACAAGAGGTGCTCGCACATTGATTTTAGTGCCCAGGCTTATAAGTTACGTCACAAATCAACCAGTAGTCAACAGATGCCCCTCACCCCAACTTGCTCTAGGCAAGCCTAATCTTGTTTTATTGTCGGTACCTGTGCTTGGCTGGTGTCCTGCAATAGCGAGCAGTACCGATGTCCAATCAGACGAGGCCATGTTCCCACAGACTGGCCTACTGAGGGCGACACGGCGCAGGAACACCAGGAAGTCGCCCAGGGCTGTTTGCACCAAGTGGCGAGAATGTCTCCCCTTACGCTGCTTGCCTTTATGAAGACGACAGAAATAGGTCAAAGTTTGAACACAAGTTCAATTCTTTTTTTAGTTATGAAACCAAGTTATGAAACCAAGGATTCTTCTTAGTGCCAGGCACTGCAGCTTGTTGGCCTGAAGAAACCTAGTTGGGGGAAGATGAAGAGGATGCTTCAGTTTTAGAGGTGATAGGAAAATCTCGGCATAATCTTCTACGGAAAAACAATGGAATCAGGTATAGGGACTGAAAACCCATGGAGCGAGTCATTTGTGTTAACATGAGTATACTCCTGAGTGCACACATTGCAAGAGCATGACCCGCAGGTATGGGAGAGTAGTTGTGATCAGCAACTGTATGTAACTGGTCCCCTACCTGGCTGGTGCCCCGTAATATGCTAAGCAAATTTCTGTGATTGGCAACTGTATGTACATGTACATGTAACTGGCACCCTACCTGGCTGGTGGCTCATAATATGTTGAGCAAATTTCTGTGATTGGCAACTGTATGTTACTGGTTCCCTTCCTGTTTGGTGACCGTTAACTGGCTAAGCACATTTCTGTGCTAGGCAACTGTGTGTGAAGTGCCCCCAACATAGCTGGTGTCCCGTAATTAGCATACAATTTCTGTGCTTAATAGCTCTATGTTACTGGAGTCTTACCTGACTGGTTCCCCATAATTGTCTAAGCAACTTCTGTGTTTTGAAGCTATATGTACCTGGTCCCCTACCTGACTGGTGCCCAGTAATTTTCAAAGCAATTTCGGTGTTGTAAGCTATATGTAACTGGTCCCCTACTTGGCCGGTGCCCAGTAATTTGCTAAGCAAATTTCTCTGCTTTGCAGCTCTATGTAACTGGTACCCTACCTGGTTGGTGCCCCGTAGCGCTCGTCTTCTTCTCTTTGCCACCTGCCCCTTTGCCTTGGGTCTTGCCCCTGGGGGTCGTGTCGGCCAAGGTCTTCCATTCACTCTCCCCCGAGGCCATGGAGAAGAGACTGCAGAGCTGCTCATGTAGAAGACTGACCAGGGCTTGGATGACCGACTCGCTTAGCTGGTCAGCGTGGGTGCTGTCAGGGTTACAAGACAGAAAGGACTTATAAGTTCTGTTAAGGACAGACTCTCTGGGCAGCTGGTAAAATCGGTGAGGGGCCTGGCCGCCGATAATGGCCCAAGACAAATAATCAGCTACCAGAGCACAAACTGGTTTGAAACATCAATTTTATACCTGTTCTATCACCATTCATTAGTACCTTTTTGGTCAAAAAGCTATTAAAAGTCAGAAAAGTTTTTTAAAAACTTCCAATGATTTTGTTTTTCCATATTACTTTGTGTTTAGGCCATTTCTATGGTGCATGTGACATACATGGTGTACTCAACAGAAGATCGTATTTGTGTTTCTTAAGCACTTGGTTGTTATGTAGCCGGCGCACGAGGCGTGTACTGTGTGCACGTGGGGGTTTTAACATCGCTGTTTAATCACTGAGCAGTGTTTTTAAGTAATTATTTTTAGTTTTCAAGTAGTTCTTGCACATATTATTCTTTCATGTGATGATTACACTATGTTCAATACTTACTCGAAAAACTTAAAACTGGTCTTTCCAAATATTATCGTTACATGGCAGTTGGGTTTTAGAGCCAAAAATGAAGCATTTATTTTATGACAAGTACAAAGGCTCTGTAAACAGGCAATTCCGTACAATCCAACGTACGTCCCACCACATGATGCACATGTATAAGGTCATTATAGGTGGCGGTACCTTAGTTTGGTGTTTTGGTGTACCCTAGTTTTGGTGTTTTCTGCGCATTAGATGTCACATATTAGTGATGTGTCACATTCACATTGCCAACAGAAGCTCATTAAAGTGTCTGACATGTACTTCCCAATTTACAGAAATTCCCAAACAAATAAGTTCTGTGCTATCGCAAAAGGCCCTGCCTGCTACTCCCTGTACCGCCCACACCACCCAAGCAATCTATGGTTTTATGGATTCATCAAGGAATAATGTAACACAATGTAATACAATGTAGTACAGGAGTTAATGGGTTAACTTGCCTTGTAGTTATGGCCAGTATCTGCAGCAGCCTCATGCTAGCCACCTGCAGCACGCAGTGCATGGAGGGGATACTACCGGTCAGCATGGGCTGGACAGGCCTAGCTAGGACCGCCTGGCTGCCCTCCCCACACAGCCTGGCCAGTAAGGGGAGGATACCGCTGGAGACGGCTAACAGGACATCTGGCGGCTGGTACTTGACACTCAGGGCAAAGATGGTAACCAGTAGCAGTCGGTGCCAGGCACCTGTCGAATTGAAAATACATGAACATGATTCTAATACAACTGGCTGATCCATTAGGCCGGCCTTAGGTCAACCTGGGATTTGCTTGCGCCACGACGGAAACGTCGGCATCAAGCAGAAAGGTAATGCTCAGGTCACAAAACTGAGAATTGGTATGATTATTGTGAAACAAGCGGCATCTCAACACAGAAAAAACGCAACCATGCTTAAGCCACCAATGACCTGATGACGATTCACAACAAAATTAGATGATCGGGTTGAGTGCACGACGTCGTAGCATCACACATGTGGACTGCGATTGATGCCTGTCAGCTGGAAACATGTGCCGTTGAGGCGCAGAAGTTGAAATTTTCTTGTTTTGAGACTGTCGATACTAATGCTGACTCTTGCGGATCGTCTTAGCATTGTCGCAATTGCACTCAGGTCGTAGCTCAGACACAGCTTGATCCTGAAAAGTCAGTCCATTCTCTATTGTCGCAAGGTCGACTTTAGAGGCACATAGAATCATTGCTTTTTATTTATCTTTTTGTTTGAAATGACAAAATTGTTCAATATCTAAAGTAAAGATGCATGGCAACTTAACCTGTTGCAGTTTTAGCTCAGTGAATACTATACATTTTGAACAAACAGTGAAAATCCATGCAAATCTTTTTGTTATCATATTAAACGTGAGTGCAGTAGGAATTACACCCATCTTAGAGTGGCACGATACACAAAGTGCAATATGGACCGTGATGGGATAATACCATAATTTGGTTACCATGGATTGACCAATCACGATGAAGGATTCAAGATTGCTTGAAGATAACAATGAGTATCCCACCTTTACAGGCCTTAGGCTCCTCTACGTTGCCAGCTAGCGTGGTGACAAGATGGTCATAAATCTCATGGGCCACTGTCTGGATCTCCAGCTGCGTGGTCTTATTGGCTGCTCGGATACCATCCTGTGAAGGGGACAAGACAAGATATGTCTGGTAAAGCGCATAAAAGTCTATTCGAATGAGTCAAAGTGGCTAAAATGTTTGAAAAATAAGCTGTAGTCGTTACGTGACAGAAATGAAACAAAAATCCACTTTTGCCATTCGTATGGCAACTTGACTTATTGCCTACACATGTATTATGAAGGTAAATCAAGCAAGAGTCACCAGACTAATGCACATCTGGTGTAGGACGATACATCACTGACATGAAAAGGCAAGCCACGTATGGCTGGTCACAGACCAGTCTAATTCACAAATGACAGTCAGTCAGTGAGATAGGTAACAAGTCTAATTCACAAGTGAAAGTCAGTCAGTGGGATAGGTAACCAGTTTAATTCACAAGTTATAGTTAGTATTAAGTGCAGAGTTGTAACAAGTCGTTGAATTTTGTTATTCAAGTCGAGTCGAGTCATTTCAAGGAAGTGACTCGAGTCGACTTGAATCATTAGGTCAAGAAGGTCAAGTCAAGTCGAGTAGAATCACAGTGTGTGGTTGAGTCGAATAGAGTCGAGTTGAGTCAAATTTATTTTAGAGTCACTTCGAGTCACTGATATTTGAACATCATCTAAAAAATTACAGAATGGAAGAATGAACACAAGGCACCAGTTTATCATGAAGATCAAAAGACTTAAATTGTGCTGCTTGGACGTTTCTACCAAAGATATATGTAGCAGTTTACAAGAAGTGAAACTTTGGTTTTATCTCTGATATGGCTTTGGGTCTGGAATAATTTTGAAGCTGACAACGTCAAAACCATGAGGTGCAAAAAGGACACTGGGCTGGCCCTCTGGAACCACAGCAAAAAAACCAAGGCTCTCCCTACCCTGTAATGATGCAGCTGTGCGGGCGGTCGACCCTCCCCATTCAGACTAGGGTCCAGGCAGCTCAGGCCAAACGTCCCCATCAGAAATTGCAGGTGGACGGACGCCAGCAACGACATGGAGCTAAAGGGCGCCACCGCGTGGCCAAAGATGTCCAGGGTGGTCAGTTTTTTCGTCTCGTCCCCCTCGTGGCCGTTCAGGAGGGACAGGATTTGGTTGAGTGCATCCAGTCTGGTCTGTTGGACACAAATTAAAGAGGTTGTGGAATACTCGAAGACATTTCCGTCATTTTTTGGGTATATGTAGCCTAAGGTGTGATGAAATAAAAACGACTATTGTTTCTGTCATGAAATGAGTACAAAGGGTACTTTTGAGAGCTATTTTTCAGGTCCTGTTTCGACCCGAACGTGCAATTTGTGTAAAAGTCGTCGTTGCGGGCAGCAAACAAAACACAGTAAATCGTGACGTAATAAACAGGACTCGTTTATGCTACTCTGCATCGGGAGTCCTGTTTATTACGTCACGATTTACTGTGTTTTGTTTGCTGCCCGCAACGACGACTTTTACTCAAATTGCACGTTCGGTTCGAAACAGGCATGACAGGACTTGAAAAACAGCTCTCAAAAGTACCTTTTGTACTCATTTTATGACAGAAACAATAGTCGTTTTTATTTCATCACACCTTAGGCTACATATACCCAAAAAATTACGGAAATGTCTTCGAGCATTCCACAACCTCTTTATAGAAACGAGTGTTGCTGTGTTAACAGTTATGTAATATTTTACAAGACCAATTTGCTCCAATTTGTGTTAACATTTTTATGCCAACCGTACTAGCTTGACTACTTTCACGAAAATGTTTCCCTTAAATCATGCTTTAATATATTTTCTCTGAGAAGTTATTGCCATTACATGCAATGCTGTGCTGATGGAACTGGGACATGTTGACAGTATACAAATAATAAATGTTTATGAGTGCAATGGTAAGAATAATTTAGTGAGGTGACAGAGGGAATGTTCCATTCTAAGAGGTGAAGCCGAGTGGAATGGAACATTCCATCTTTCTCCGAATTAAATTATTCTTTTCATTGCAGGAATGTGAAGCATTCATTATTTGTTTTATACAACACCTGAATAAATCCTCGTCATCTGATTGGTCAGAGCTGCCAAATGTGTGACCGTGCAATGGAACATCCATTTACCATGGAATGGTTCCATCTGTATGTGTTGTGCAGGATTCCATGACTTTTTCTTGGAATATCAAGTTCCCACGAGTCCTTGTTTAGTAACAAAACAATAGGACTTTTCCATGACTTTCCTTAGAAAATTCCAGGATTTTCCAGGATTTTCCAAGAATTTCCAGGATTTTCCAGGATTTTCCAGGATTTTCCAGGATTTTCCAGGATTTTCCAGGATTTTCCAGGATTTTCCAGGATTTTCCAGGATTTCCATGACTATGGGAACCCTGTAGATGTAATCTTCAATTGTGATGTGAATACCTCAGCTCTACACTGCTGGTGTTCCATAGCCAGAGTGATGGCGGCTGGCTCAGTGCAGTATAAGTACTGCTCCTCATCTGTGGAGGGCTGGTGGGTGTCAGTCAGCATCTCCCCGCAGGCAAAGCCTATGATGTCACTGCTGATGTGCTTCACTGAACCTAAAAAAAAAATGAAGATAACAACGATTCATTGCAATTCGGTCAGCACTCGCGAACACAAATTGGACTTGGACGAAATTCTGTTTACCAAAAACAGTCCCAACCAATCTATGGACATTCTGACGGGAAATAATGCGCCTAAAGGTACAAGGGATTGTTTACTTTTTGTGTATTTTTATTTTTTCATTTGAAGCAACAAAACTTCTCAAAATCTGAAAGGTGCATACGATCGTTTGCCAACACTCAAAACCGAAACTGCCAAAATATTATGAAATAGCCCTCTTGATTGTAAGTAAATGAAACATCCTGTGGAATCATTGAGCCTGGTATGCTGTCATTCTCAAGAAAAGAGGAATTTTGTATCAGTATTGACAATGAATAAAATTAGCTGGCCTGACGTTTCGGTCTAATAACAAGACCTGCTTCAGAGGCAAATAAGCAGGTCTTGTGAAATTTGTTGATTTGCATATTTCAGATCAATCCAGTGAGTAAGCAGTTTGCAGCAGTTTTATTCATGTTTAGCGTGTATTACTTTCCCATGACAGCGCTGGTACTCGGGCACTCCCTGTGACCTATTGGTTCTATGCACAACAGATTCGCAAGCTGCACCTTGACGGCTGAAAATGAATATCGCTTTTTTGTGTTTTTCCAGCACCAATGGACACACAACATTGAACAACTCAGTGGAACGATGTCTGCTATAAATTACTAGCCCTTAAATCACTTCATGAAATTATGACAAATGCAAATGATCCTGATGTATCTTTAAGTAGGATGCACAACAACTTTACCTGTGAAAAGTTCGGCTCAGCGGATACTATACATAAATGCGCAAAATGCAAACCTTAAAGTGAATATTGAAGTGTGTTTTGAGGGTGTTACAGAGCAAGGCAAAATAGAAAAGAATGGTTAAAAATGATGATTTCTTTTATAGATGACTGACCTAGAAAGCCATGTCCCTGTTGGTCCGTTGACTGGACAGACATGAGGGAGCCATTCTGGTCCTGTCTCCAATGTAGACGTCTCCAGGTGGCTCGCACCACTTCTAAGGAGTCCAGATTAGCATCCACTTGGAGGTCAGGTAGAGGCTCACTGCGGGAGGATTTCAGACTTCGCATGGACTCCTGAAGAAGAAGCAAAACAATTGCTGTTGATGGTATATGGGATGATTTGGTATAAAAAGGTTGTATCACAATTAACAATTGTTGACTGCTGTGATGTCGGATATGGGTTTTTTAAACACCCAAGGGGCACACAGGACCCGATGCAACAGCTGCACTAGTATCAGTGATTCTGTATGCTGCATACTGGTGGTCTCGATCCCAAGACTAGCAAAATATCAAGACTGTGATGTCTGCGCCCGAGACCAAGACTGAGACCATGAGATACCAAGACTGAGACAAAGGCCAGCAAACACTGGTCTCGAGACCTACAACACTGCTTTGTACCAGGTCAGATTCGAACCATTTACACTGGAAATGGAAGGGAAAGGGCCACTTCACAAACCTAAGGCTGGATCCCAGGCTACGGCTTGTCATTACACACGTGCCTATGGAGGTGACTGAAGCCATTTCCCATAGACTGTGCATTACTGTTAGTAGCCAAAGCCAAGTTATTTGGGTGAATTCTAACAATACCATGATGTCCTTTACCCTGTTGCTGGATGGCAAAGCTTGTACTTCATCTGTCTGCCCCAGGTCCGGCTCACTCAAAGAATGGCTCATTGATAATGCTGTTAAATTAACAAGAATGAAGATGACTTATTATCAGGACTGTATAGTGGAAACCAGTGACCAGAATTACAAGCTTTTTCTGCGGTGGTGTCCCACTCACGCGCATGCTGCAGGCATTCTGAAAGACAAGGCGAATGTGCATTTTGGTATTCCTATTGGTCGAAGGAGCCCAGAGTGCAAGTGTACTACCCCAGCGAACCTTGTAACACCGCAGAAAATGGCTGCCGTCTTTTAAGGTCATCTTAAAGTAATAGATCAATATGCCAACAATTATGGGCTTGAACACTGTCACATTGATTGCAACTAAAAGGAGGGTTTAACAGCTTGTATAATTATTCTGCCTACAATAATATCGTTCTGAAGAAACAATAATTGAAAGGTGGTTGCAAAAAAGTGCGTCCGTGGGCACACTTTTTTGTGCATTAGCAACGGAATCCAGTTATGAGACTCAAATAATCTAGCATACATTTTCTCTGTTTTCTCAATAATGTACAGTATCCACTGAGCTGGAACTCCAACAGGTTATTTGTTATGCTCCCTGCTGAAGACTCTGAGTATTAGTTTGAGAGAAAAAGATCCTACGTACCGTTAAATATAATAATAATAACGGCAATTTATAACGCGCCGGTATACGCCATAAATGATGCTCATGGCGCAATACAATAATTAGATCAAATCAGAAATAACAAAACAACTAAATTTAACTAAACAAGAATATTGTGAGTGATCTGGAACAAATAGGTCTTTATGTGTACCATAAACTAGTAAAGGACTTTGTGAACCAAAACAGAAGATTACCTGGAGAGGTTTCAGAACTGTTCTCCTTGAGCTCGGCAATGGGGAGAGATTTCTCGTCTCTGTCCTCGTTAGATGGGATGGCCGCGCTGACACCAAGCAGCAGGAACATGCAGCGCGCGATCATGGACTTACAGGTCTCCGAGAAGCTGTACTGCTCGCGCTCCTTGGTCTTCTTGTCCGGGGGAGGTGTGGGGGCGCTCTCACCATCCCCTTCGCTCTCCGATTGGTCCACGTCTGAGGGTTCTGTGCACACACATGAATGTTGGAAATAGCAGAATTTGAGAGTCACAAAGGAAAATGGGCCAGAGAAGAATCGGAATTTGTCCGAAAAATGTGGGGATCTTAGTACTATGTATTGACAAGTGACTTGTGCGTGACTTGTGATAAGCTTGTGATTTCAATTGTGACTTCACTTGTGACAGAGCTGAAATTTACTTGTGATTCAATTGTGATTGACCTTTGACTTGACTTGGGATTTGACTTGTGATTTGAACTTGCGACTGACTCATGATTTGACTTGTGACCGACTTGTGATATAACTTAAGATTGACTTGTTATTATTTGTCTTGATTGACTTGTAAATGACTTGTGATTTCACTCGGGTTTGACCTATGATTGATCTGTGATTGACTTGTGATTTCACTTGTGATTGACCTATGAAAGATCTGTGATTGACTTGTGATTTCACTTGTGAGGTGACTTGATTTGTAATTTGACTGGCAATATGACTTGTGATTGACTTGTGATTTGACTTGCCATTTGACTTGTGACTAACTTACAATGTTTTGACTTGGGATAGGCCTATGATTGACCTTTGAACGACTTGATTTCACGTGTGACTCACTTGTGAGTTGTTTTTTTTGATTTGTGATTTGACTTGTGATGAAAGTGATTGACTTCTGATTTGACTTGTGATTGACTGAGCTGTGCTTGACTTGTGATTTACTGAGGATTAACTTATGATTGACTAACGACTGACTTGTAATTTGACTTACGACTGACTTGAGAGTTGAGTTGCCATATGACTTGTGACAAAATATGTGATTTGACTTGCGATTGACTTGTGATTGACTTGTGATTTGACTTGTGATTTGTCTTATGATTGATTTGTTCTTTGACTTGTGATTGATTTGTTCTTTGACTTGTGATTGATTTGTTCTTTGACTTGCGCGTTAACTCGTGATGGACTTGTGTACCACTCTGAAAGAAGCCACTCACCTTCTATGGCTACTCGAGGGAACACTTTCTTACTCCTGGACCCCCTGTGTCCCCTCTCCTCGTCTTGATCCATGGCCTCTGTCTGACCCCTGACCTCGGACGTGGACGGGCCTGGCATAGCTCGGGCCTCTGCCGCCGTGGTTGACCTCTGACCTTGCATGATACGCACCGCCACCAGTTTTCGCCGGACTTTGTAGACGCTGTGGTAGACCTCCACGATGGCTCGCCAGTGCTTGGTCCCAGACCTGCATGTTGGGACAATGTGTATTGTATTTCCCCCTCAATATCAGGCCAGAAATTAATGAACACTTCATATAATGCCAACAAAAATACCACTGTTTATGTGTGGAAGTAAGTTCCAAGTTCTCCAAGTGTTCCATGCACGTATGGCATGAAATACGTAGAACTGAATGTACACAAACCTGTTATGACCCACAATGCAGTGCAAAGGTTACGGTCAGCAGCACAATGGGCTTCGTGCACTAGTACCCCCTCACGGGCAAGAAAGGGAGACTTGGGCGAGACCATCGGAAGAGACATTCGAATGCATTGTCGACGACGCCTATCACTCACACGAAGATGCTATGGCTTTGTTGACATTTAGAATAACATAAGCGAACCAGCAAGCGCACACAGTAAAATGCACCCTCTCTTGTTGGGGCACGGACCCCATAGAGCCTTTGCATCTGACGTGACAAGTGAGGGAACGTCTTTTGCTATTCTGCGTTACACACGAGTAGACAATTTGTGCTTTCACTGGCGCTTAATTTAAACAACAAAAGCTATCCTCCTGTTGGATCTATTAGATGGGGTCTACTGGATAACACTGGGGGGACAGGCAAAGCTGTCAAAGCACTCAATGTGCCAAGAAAGAAAGGGGAACAACGTCCGTGTGACCTCACCCTTGCTTGTGTGCAGCTACAGACAACAGGTTACAATGCTTGAGCAGACAGGCTAACAGACACCGCGACACACGGTCTAATAACTCCTCCTGTACTTCTTCACTGGTGTCCCAATCTACAATAAAACAAAAAAAACACACAATCTTACACATCTAAATCAACTCCATTACTGAAATAAATCTAACCATTTTAAATGTCAAATTTACAAAAATGCACACAAAACAAATAAGAGATTCAGTTTCATTGGTATCCTAGAGCCTCACCCTTATTACGTGCATAGTCCTGCATGCTGTTCCATATGGACAGCGCCGGTTCCCTGCCCCTGCCTGTGGCCAGGTCAAGTAAGGTCGCCAGGTCAGGGGTCATCTTGAAGTCAGACAGGTCGTAGTCATCATCACCGGATATGGCCGCTTCGGAAACCTTGCTGACAAGTTTCACTGTGGTGCATATTTCCAAAAAAAACCCAACTTTTTAACAGTAATATTTTTTAACTAACAGGTTTTAAAATGTGCTGATCAGTGTGAACTAGAATAATTATCTACTTGTTAGTTTCCAAATTTATGATTTAATAATTTAACAAATGTTTTCACTTCAGTAATTTCATAAAAAAAAATTATTTGCTTCCACATTCTTGTTTCTAAAAACTTGCATTTTGGAATTCCTTCTCTCCTGAACTTCAACAAATTATAGAAAATACAGAAATTATCAACTGTGACATCCTTTTGCGGCCCAATCCAATGAAATATGTTAACAACTTTTTCAGAAAACAGTTGTTCATTTTGATCTTTGACTTAATTTGACAACCCAATGAACAGTGACACTATTATGAGTGAAAATACCACAAGGTCCTATTGATTACTGCTATTGCAACATGTGACATGAAATCTTTTTTGTGAGTTCGGGAGGTTCTTGAAAGAACCGGGGGAAACTCAACATTTTGGACAGTAAGCTCTGCCCCGTCATCAGGAGACAGCTTCGCACTGTCAAAAACAACTTTTCCACTCAAATGAAGTCAGGGGTTCAAATCCAGCTGCTGGTCATATGCTGTGTCCTTGGGCAAGCCACTTCATCCCCACCTGCCTCTCTCCACCCAGGAGTATAAATGGGTCACCACCATTAGCTGGGGAGTAACTTGCGTTGCACTAGCATCCCATCCACGGGGAGCAGAAATATTCTAAGTCGTTTCATGCTACAGAAATAGGACATAAATGCCGGCCTGATAGACCACATTGGCTCATGACAGACTTTACTTACTAACGTCACACAATACACAACTTTTTACACGGTCTTGTCCAATTCAAATGAGGTTTTTCTCTCTTCCAGTAACATAAAGACCGGTGACATGATTCTTATCAAAGGCCTACCCAGATTTTTGATGTTGGTCTCCAGACCGTTACTCAGTAGCCTTGACACCATCCAGCCGCTAGTCTCGCTCTCTTCTTTGGAGATTGGCACCCAGGCTAGCATGCCGGCCAGGCAACGGCCGACCACCAAGGCACAGCAGCGCTCCAAGTCTACCAGCCACACCCACCCCTTGGCTGGCTGGGGGAGGGGCAAAGCAGCCGGCTCAACACTGCCTGGGGCTCCTGGTAGAAGAGATAAACAAAGACAAGGCAAGTCTAGTACAGCTGGTCTCAGAATGCGCAATATTCTACTCAATAGATTCAGAATGGCTATTCACTGGAACACTTTTCCTGCATGTGGCCTACACAGTGGGCATTACAGGTAATCTTGTTTCAAATTTGTGGGCCAAGATAAGACTTAAGCAAGTCTAATTCACAAGTGCCAGTCAGTCAGGTACAAAGAGGCCTGTAGTGGAATCCAGCAACCAGAATTAGAAGCTTTTACTGTGGTGGTGTCATGCTCATGCACATGCTGCACACATTCTTAAAGATGAGGCGAACGCGCATTTTGGTAACCCTATTGGTTGAAGGAGCCCAGAGTGCTCGCGACCTACCTGAGCGCGACTCGCGTGAGCCTGGTGCCACTTCAGAAAATGGCTGCCGCCGGATTTAACTATAGGCTCGCCCTCTGGCACCAGCGAAAACATTTTGTTAGTAACTTTAAGACAGCTTTTATGTAATACTATGCGAATGCGAATTCAAGAAGAACTTGATGTTATGAAACATTTGATTAAGTCGAAAAGTATTCATAATTTGGAAATTCCAAACACATTCACATCCATGTGTGCATGCATGCTGAAGAGTTTCATATTTAGATTTCTTTATATCAAAATGTGGGGTTTGCCACCCAAATGAACTCCATATGACCTTCACTGAGCAAACGTATTGAGCAAAATAGGTCTCAAATGGCATCCATTTTGAAATAAAACATGGCTACCGAACGGCACATTGCAAAAAATATGTTACCAATGGGATTCCTGCTTAAAAAAGGTCAAATCTATCTAAACATCACAACAACTCCTTCTTTAAAAATGTCATTCCCTTTTTATGAGATTTTGTACTATCCTAGAATATGAATATGAATATCCGTCCTTAAGTTTAAGATTTTTCCTGACTTTACCCTTACCGTGCAGTGGCCACTCCAGTTCATGTTCATCCAGTAGGGCCGCTGCGGGTAGCAGTCGGTTGAGCTGGTCCAGCTCAGGGAGGAGGGCCAGCAAGCACAGCATGAGGGGGCGCGACACACTGACTGGAAGCAGCAGCAGGGAGTGCAGAAGCTGCGACAGCATGGCTCCGGCTGCTGAGGTGTACAAGACATCTAAGGAAGGGAAAGAAACAATAAGGAATCAGTTAATCTAGGTTGGTGTGGATCCATCCGAGTCAATCTTGTTAACGCAGCCAGGCTGTATCAGGGTTTGTGTACCACGCCCAGGTGTAAGACATCCGGGGGAGTAAAAAGGACAATGAAGTCTTAGCATGATAACAATGACCAATATCGATCACCCCCTACCCTCCCTGCCCCCTGCCCTCCCCCTTCCTCCCTCCCGCCCCCCTCAGATTTGTTCTGCACACGTACCCCTGAGCTTGTTACGGACCACCTGGGCAGCCATCCCACCACTCTGCTGGAGAAGCTTGACAGATCTCTGCAGGACCTCCACGGCATGGGGCAGCAAGAGGTTCAGGTGTTTGTGCAGAAGGCCGACGCTCGCTGAAATCTGTTCGGAAAAAAACATATTAGTAACTCAAATTTCAGATAAGTCTATCTACATAAGGCCAAAAAAAAAAATATTTGGTCCCTGGTCAGACCAAAGTTCCGGAATTGACGCGGCGATGCGGCTTTTTTTTTTTTGCTTTTTTTTTCTTCAAGCTTGGATTGTACAGACAAGGTGGGGTACTATTTTGCTTTTTTGGTGTCCTCATGTACATTGGTGTCCTCCATAATTTGCCTTGGTGCTTTCGATCATTTGCCTTGGTGCAATTTCCCATTCTTTGGTGCTCTTTGGTAAAACAAATTGAGGAGGTGCAGAAATAGAGGGCGCTGTTGGAGCTACCGCGGAACATTTTGGAAAAAAAAAAGATCGACGCGCATGATTAAAATCGACGCGCGCGCTGACCAGAGACCAACTTTTTTTTTTTTTGGCCTAATACATGAAAAGAGCAAACTGATACAGCAGTATGGTGAACATATAATTTAAAAACTGAGGTCTATGGAGTACATAAGTGTGCTAGGCATAGAATACATTTGATTAGCAAAAATAGAGTACCAGGTTAACCCTAACCCTCCAGGGTATTTTGGCTAGAAACCCTGCCAAACGCAGCAACATGCAACATTTGTCTATTAAAGTGACAAGCCTGCCCAGTGCAGCAAGATCCATCAGGTCAAAAATCTCAAGGCCAAACTGCCTCAGAGTCTGTGGTCACCGCACGCAACAGGATACAACTGTGGCATTGTTCAATGGGACTAGCTTTCAATGTCTCAGAATGGGCCGTTTGTGCACTGGTGTTGGTAGCTGAAAGTGCACCAGACTTTTCCACCTGATGCGCTGTGGTGCGTCTATCAGGGTTATGGTTAAAACAACTCATACAAATGCATTGCTTGTGTTAGGTTTTCAGCTGGTGTATGTTTAGCACATAAATTTTGTAAGTCATGTTTCTGGGCTTTGCAGCCTACACAATGAGCGCCTTTTACTTGAGAAAAGGAAAAACCCTCACTGTTGAACAAAATCACTGCAGGAGTGAGATTGCGAGAAAAATGAAATATCCACAAAACAATCAGCAGAGGATTTTGAGGGTTTTTGAGCAAAGTAGGGTATATTGTTTAGATTGGAATTTGCCTAAAGGCACCCCTAAAAAAAACATTTTCTTTTGTTCTATATAAACTTTTACAGGTAAAACACCTTTACGTTAAAACCTCAGGAATTCTAGACTTTCAAATGAGAATCTTTAAAAATCCTGAAATCAGTAAAAAAATACTGGCAATCTCACCCCTGTCACTGTTGTGTGCTTACTAGCGATTTTCTCGTGCTTTGAATCGAGATGGATTTGACTAAGTATCTAAGATCTACCATCTACCATCTACGATAATTCAGATCCATTCAAAATGTCTGCATCCAGAACGCATTCGGAAGCATTCCATGTAAGGAAATGAGGAGTTAGCACTCTAGTCATTTAATATAGCTTGACTGGGTTTACCTCATCCCTAGCATTGATGTGACAGTAAGCCACCAGATGTTTCTGCAGTGAGGACAGTAACTCTCTGAGGTGGGCTGGAGGTGCTCCATCGTCACAGGCCATGGACTTCTGGGTCTTGTCACTGTTCTTCTCTAGCTCGCCGAAGGCTTGTTCCTGATCAAGGCAACAACAAAAAAACCAAAATATAATAATTGAAATTGGGGTTCGTTCTAGGCCCTTCATCGAATTTTATATGCACAGGGTACTCGGTGCTGTCTGACGCAAAATTCCTTTACGCAATATAGCAATTGATGGTGGTACCCACTGCAGATTAGAACCAGCACACTCGGTTGGCGAATGGTTAGACATCTGCACTAGCAAGCAGGAGGTCGTGGGTTCGAGTCCCACTTAAAGTGAGCTTGTAAAATTTTTCATAAGCCATTGGACAGCACTGAGTATGCAGTGCTTATGAAATTATGTCAGCGTAGAAAAGAAAAAGGAAAAACTATCCGAATAATGTGTATTTATAAAGCGCACGTATCCACCAGTATTAGTGCTCAAGGCACTACATCATTATTACCCTGCTCATATGGCCAATGAAACATTCCAAAGACCATCTCAGCTCCCTGGGGAGTATACAGCGCGATGCTGCCATTTCGGCGCAAAGCAGCTAAAATCAATCACAATAACCATCTCCGCCCTCACAGGTACTCCTGGGTGGGGAGAAGCAATGAGTGACAAAGTGCCTTGCCCAAGGGCGTGCGCACTGTAACCCCAGGCTGGACTCAAACCCGCCACAACCTGCAGAATTACACACAGACCATGAATTCAATGCTCCGCTCCACTCAGGAATCTGATCAGGAATCAATATGAACTCTTTGCTGAAGTACCCTCTCAACGAAGACAAGAGATACACATATGGGCAAATCCACGGTTACTCACATTACATTTTTGATGTACTTTTGAGTTTCCTTGGGCTGTAATTACCTTACTGAAAAGGTTTAATAACTGTTATCCCCATGGTAGATAGAGTAGACCTAGACCTACCTTAGCACCAAATATGATATCCAGAAAAATGTGTTATGTATGATAAACAAGACACACAAAATCGGTTACTCACGTTAAGAAAATGTAACGTGAATAACCGTGGAATTGCCCATATGAGTGCTATTGCCAGTGTGCGCCCATACTCATGCTCCTAAGCTGAGCAAAAATTGTTCGAAGCTGATTTTTTCTAATAGAACAAAAGTTTGCTGAGCAATCTTTTACTTCTTAGCATCTCCACGAAACTGGAACCTGAAATGGAATGCAAGATTTGCGGTTCCCTCTGCATTTTTTGTCATTGTAACTTACGGTGTGATAGCCAAGGTTACGTAACAGCGTCTTCATCAGCACCTCCGCCAGGTGCATGTCCTGACCCGGGGCTAGGGTCAGAGTTGAAGGGTCAGAGGGCTCGGGCTCCGGCTCCCAGTCTAAGGGGGAGGTGAAGCCCAGGAGGGAGGCCACGTGGAGGTTCTCCTGTAGGCTGGTCAGGATGATCCCCAGCTGCATTCTCTGTATGGGTGAAAATAGAATAATAATAATGGAACAAATATGTGCTTGGCTGGTTTTAAACAAGTACATTTAAAACTGGCTATGGGCATTTCGGTCAAAAAGTTAAAACAAGTCAAAAGTCACAATTTCCCAACGATTTTGTTCAATAAATTGACCTCATGTTTTCTGAAACACCCCTCTGGCCATGTCTATGGTATGTGCCTCGAGCACATAGTGCTTATAAATCTCCATTTATGGAGATTGGCGCATGGCGTGTACCGCGTGATGATGCGCGGAATGCAGTGTTGCAGGAATAAAGTGTTTAAAAGCAGCCGTTGTTTCCTCAGCGGCTTAAAACCACCCACGTGACGGGCTCTCGAAAAAGTAGGCAAGAGGAAACCGTCTTAAGGTATTTTTGAATGCAGAATTTATTTTTGCGCACTTTATGGAAACCACAATAATAATAATAACAATAACATGGTGCTTATATAGCACTTTATACCAAAGGTCTTAAAGTGCTTCACCATTAGTACCCCCTCTTCGTCAGGCTATGAGACCATATTTTTTTTCTACAGCAACTCAAGATCAGTGCAAGTGGTCCCTACCCTCACAGGTGCCTATTTATACTCCTGGGTGGAGAGAGACAATTGTTGTAAAGTGTCTTGCCTAAGAACACAAGCGCCATGCTTCGACAGGGTTCGAACCCATGTACCATAGCACCACTCGATCGAACACCGTACTCATTGGACCACAGTGTTCCACAAAGACAAAAGGTATCAATAACTGTCAGTCTGAAACTAAAATGTTGCAACGCAAACAGAATTTGATACGCATGGCTATCGTTAGACTTGTACCTGTCCCTTGGAGAGGCTGTCCCATCGATCGGGTCCCTGTGGGAGCAGTGACTGTAGTAGCTCCATACGTTCCCTCAGTGGTGGTAGGAGTAAAGGGGCACCAATGGACAGCGTTTCACTCACTGCCTGAGAAAAGTAACCAAAGTTGGACATATCGTCACCGTTTTCACAAACAGCCACATACTATATATATTATGTTGATTTTGAAGAAAAGTGTTTTCGAGATAATCGCAAAAGAAGTTTCTCATATTTTAAAACTGCAAGAAATACTACTTTGCAACAACTTTGTGCAGTAAAAAAAACTTCACATGATTCTATGAGAGCTGAATTTTTACATGAACCCAGTAATTAGAATAAATACTACTGTATTAATTAGTTAATAAGTGAAATTAATTAGTAAAGATATGTGGCTCTTTGTGAAAATGAAAATTCAAGTTTCCTACATATTGGCCCTTTCTGTTCAATAGGTTTTGTACGCGTTCAAGGGCCAAAATGTATGTGGCTCTTCGTGAAAACTCAAAACTCAGTTTTCGAGATATCTGCCCCTTGCATCATTAATGTTATTTGGAAATTAATGATGTAATGCTTACAGAAACATGTCAAAATGGTTAAGTACAATGTTTCAAAGCAAAATAGTGAAAAAAATCAACTCGAAAAAAATATAAATTTTTTTTAACATATGTGGCTGTTCGTGAAAACGGTGACGATATTTGGCCAATCTTGTTTGGGTTCTTGCATCAGGAACAAAACTTGTTTCCAATTAGGTCTAAGGGATCATGTAGTCATACAAGTCAAATTTTTGGGCCAAGATGGGACTTACATTGTAAGCAAGTCTAAGGCCAAAAATCCATGTGTCTCTGTAATGCGTTAAAAAACGTAGTGCGCACTGCGTGATGAGTAAAAACCAGTTGTTTGAAAACCAACGCGCATACATCCATGTATCCATATTGCGCATTGCGTTATTCGTACTGCGTTATCCGTTGAAATTGTACACGCTTCAGGTAGCATTTGAAATGGATAATGCATACAAAAAGCATTTTAAGTTTTTTGTGTGAAACTGCAAGAAACGATGTAGCGGTGGGGTAAAAAGATAAATATTTATGGTGGGCTTCAAAACAAAGCAGTTTCTATGTGAATGTTATTGAAACAAAATAAGGCTTGCCTCAATCTTAATTTTCTAATCATCCGGTGATAAAACATTGAATATTCATACCCTTTGTATTTTATTGGGAGAAGTTAACTCTTGTCAATATTTATTTCATAAAATGTGTACTTTGCCAAAGCTATTCCAAATTTGATTGAGACTTGAATTTTTTCTACTCGCAAAACTGATGCGTACTCTCTATTTGAGCTTTCAGGTCCATCGTTTTGCAGAGAAATACGTACACATGGATTTTCCGGGTATGCGTCACGCACATCGAAATCGGACACATGGATTTTCGGCCTTATTCACAAGTGAGTCAGTCAGTTTGGCCTACCTTCTGAACCGAAGTTGGAGTCTTGGAGTCCATGAGACGAAAGAGCAGGTGCCTGAGGGGCCTGGCCTGGCTCCCTAGGATGCTGCTGGACAGTCCCCCTGCCAGGGCCAACTGGAGATGGGTGCAGAGCAGTTTCAGGCAGAGTAACACGAAGTGTTGGTGCTCCCTAGCCAGAAGAAAAAAGTATCAACTGAGGTTCTGGAATCAATACAGGACTTGATGGAAAGACTGTGACTATGATAAAACCTGAGCAGCCAGGGAGTTTGAAACTTCCGGCTTCTTTGCCGGCATCATCTCTGTCTCCAGCCTAACACTCACAGGAGCTCTGCAGCATTAAAAGCCTAATGAAAATACACCAACCAATTGGCCTTGTGTAACGGACTTTGGCATCTTTTCACAACAAAACGAGTCGTAACAAGCATTTCACTTCTTTTTCTCTCAAAGCAAACATGCGCTCCCCACTCCATACGTGAACAAAACCAAGGTCTGGTGAAACTTTTAACAAGATCTTGGGGAAGCTCCTGAGGAGTGGCCACGCTCCACTCACCTCACAGTCGGAAAAGGCGCTGGTGGATTCGGGTGATCGAAGCCGTCGCAGTAATGCTCCAGGAAGGAGCGCAGGTAGGAGAACGTGCCTTCCTGTAGATCCACGCAGAATGGACGGTGCCAGGCTACCACTTGCCTGACAAGTCAAAAGTGAAAACATTCGGATTCATCAGGGTTTATAGAGATTGACAAGAGTTTTTTTATTCAAAATGAAATCGTATACATGTATTCATTTTTCCCCCATCTCACTCATGCAGTCTTTCAGTGTTTTCTTGAACTTTATTGTGACCAAATGACTGAAGATTTATTTTTCCAAGAGTGCTAGCTAGGTCATTTTTAAAATGAACGCTAACCCTGCCAGATGCAACACAGTGCATCAGATGCAGATAAATCTGTGGGACCTTCTTACATCGGGCCATCGCACACCAGTGCATGAACTGTAAATTTGGAAACAATGAAAGTCCCATTGAACAATGCCACAGTTGTATCCTGCTGCACTTGGTGACCACAGACACTAAGGCAGTTTGGCCTTGAGATTTTTGACCTGATGGAAGTTGCTTAAACAAGTGTTGCATGTTGCTGCGTCGACAGAATCTTTATCCAGAATACCCCAGGAGGTTAGGGTTATTAAAGATTACTGATTTCTTTAATCCAAGCACATTCTCCACAAAACTACATCCTTGACAACTTCATATCTTATAATAAAATCACAAAGAAAAATAAACATCGGACGAAAATAACAGCAATCTTGGCAACATGCAAACAGTCTTTCAGCTATGATAGATCTTTATTGCAGGTCTTGCTGATTTCGAGAAACCAGAGAACCATATGCACAATGTTGTTCAAGATTACCTTCAATTATTGTTTTGTATTCGTCAATACCATTTCAGGCAGAAGAATTTCATAGGGTATTTGGTACCATCCCTATCTTCATTTTAAGCAAGTTTTTTTCTTGTTAATCGGTAGGTCCGCAATGTTCCTGACGTGCCTTTAAGAGGTCTGCAACAACAAGCAGAAGTTCAATTCAAATTTACATTTTACAGTCCAGACATGACCACAAACTAACCTGTCGGTTGGCAGGGCAGTCCAGGCGATACTGTGAGATGTCCCAGCCGATATTTGGTGGACAGTGACCCCTTCCAGACCAAGGACCTTCTTGGGTCTCAGGACGGGGCTGGTGGTGTGACCCTGCCCACACTGACCCATGGCATTGTTGCCCCACGCGTAGACCTCATTGTCTTGATAAAAGCAAAAGAAAAAAGTTAAAAACTCTGACCACAAGACGAGGCAGGCCTAGAAAAACAGTTTCCAGAGCCCACAAAACTTATTTTCAATCATGCTAATAAATTCAGAATGGCTATTCACCGGAAGTCTTGAGCCCGGTTCACACTGCATGCGAATGCGAAGCAAATTTGACGTCATGAAACATTCGCTGCGAAATTTGCCCTGTGTTGAAATATGTTCAACTTTTACAAATTTGCAGCACGAATACTTGCCATGACGTCACAAATTCGCACTCGTTTTCGCGCCGAGTATGAACCGGGATTTAAGCCCTAAGTCTTAAGAAACTACAGGGTGAGTCAAAAAAGGGTAACCGGAACCCCAAAAATTATATTTCATATTTAAAACCTCAGTTTAAAAGTTAAAAATATTCAACAAAGTCCTTTTGAAGGCCGATCTTTTAAAAAAAAGTGGATTCTATAAATAATGTGGTTTGTCTAACAAGGGTTGTTAATAAAGATATTGTGTACTACAGTGGTTGACAGTTTTGAAACAAGTATTCTGTGTCATTTTCTTTGTTGTTCCAAACAGTCAGAATACACAATAAACTGCTTTTTTTGGACGAAACAGGTTTTAGTGTCAATGCGTTTAAATGGTGATATTCTTTGAATACATTGAGCAATTTCAGTAATTTTTTCTTCTAAAAGTAGCTTATGAAATTGGCTTTCCAGTCATTATTATGTTTGGTGCTACACATTTTTTTCAACATGAAATATATTTTTTGGGGTTTGGGTTCCGCTTTTTTCGACTCACCCTGTACGATCTATTGTGAGACGTCAGGATCGTCTGGTCAGGGAACCAGGGAATATTGCTTGCTTACCGTGACTGAGGGTCATACAATGGCTGTCCCCGCATGCTATGTCGACGATACGTGTGGTCTGCAGATCATCTACTAGCTTTGGGCGAAGGGCTGTGGTCTCGGCGGAGCCGCACCCTAGACAAGCACCGTGACCCCACGCAAAGACCTGGATGCAATGGTGATGAGGCATAAACACAATAAGCCAGTTCCAACTGCACATGTGCAGAACAGTATCTGATTGTGAGCAAAATCATACGGGGAACCAACATAGCTGCCAACAAGCTTGAAGGAAGGTTCTTGGTCTGCAGTCTTTACAAAATATGGGAAACTATTAGTAGTAATTACAGTATTTTTTTGTTATGTTCAAACACACATGCCAACCATACAGTATATCCAACTAATAAGATGAACTGAACAAAATTGCAGATTGAAGACGTGATTACGATTGCCCCCAAAGAACTGTGTCCATTTCCCTTCCATCAAATCATCTGCTTATAAATCAATGTTAAAAAATTCTATGATACGCAAGATTTGGCAATTAATTATGCAAAACAAGACTGCGTCTTGACCTCCAGATTCTGACTATTCAGCCGGTATCTTCATGTTAAATCTTTGGTAACCCGTTGTTGTACTACAAAAACATGGCAGTCAAATTGACCAATCGACAGCTTTAATAGTCCACATTTCTGATCGAAATGACGTCACAAGTTATAAAGTCGACTCTGACTGGCTTGTGAGTGGGGTCCCATAAAATTTGCATTGCTCACATATATGAGAAGTACTCGTTTGTGCGCAAATAGTGTAAAGTATGCACTATTATATTCTGAATGTCCACAAAACCCAAGGCGTTGATGCGTGAGCATCAGGTGCTGTCAGCAATCCATGCAGGAGACTCTCCCAGTGGTCCCCCCTAACTCTCCCTTTGTAACCATCGAGGAGGTACTTGTGTACTGAATCCACAATGAGATAATCACTTTACCTGTCCGGTGGACGTGAGGGCGAGAGATGATTGGCTGCCGCAGGCTATCTTGCGTATGACTAGACCAATCAGGGCTTCGATCATCTTGGGCTTGTACACTCGGTTGGTGTCGCCGTGACCAAGTTTGCCTGCAAAACAGAACAAGTTGCCACTCGCATTAAATGTTTGAAAGGTAACACTAACCCTTCTCAATCCTCCAAAATCAACCAGGTCCTGTTAGAGGATCTTTGAGGATTGAGTGTCTGTTTATTTTTTGAGGATGCATTGTGTCAAGGTCATAAGCTGTACTTTCCGATTGTTTATTCTCAGCCATGCGTAACTTTAATCCTTCAATGTACTGGATATCATCCGCACTGCTTTTGGTTATCATCAGCACTGCTTAAGGGTAATATACAACATTTGTAGACATCAAAAAGAAACCTAACAAATTATTATGAAATACCTTATTTGACTGTAAGTGAATAATAGTCTCAAGCATCCTGTGAAATCATGGCACCTGGTGTGCTGTCACTTTCAAAGAAAGTGAAATATTTGTATTAATTTTCAATGATAGTCAGCTGACCATCGTTGGAAAAAAGTGACTTTTTTACAAATACTACTCCCAATTTACCAAATTTAGTTAGCCCGCATTTTGTTTGCGATAGGTTACACATCTGCTAACAGGTGCAAACCAGGTAGCCTGGTTCCCTGACCTCACAATTCCCCGGTATCTATAAATTGCTCCATTTTGTCTGAAGTAGGGTCAGGGAACCTGACTACAAGAACAGCATTTTTTTCTTGGTTTTCCCAACACCAATGAACACAAAACTTTAAACTTTAATACTATTTTTATTAAATCTATCCATTTCTATAATTACTGCACAAGCAAATGTCGTTTACTCCCTTTAAAATTGAGTTGGAGGATTTTGAAGGATTGAGGCATTTGGTCACCCTCCACTGAACAAAGTCAAGAAAGAACGGGTGATTTTGGAGGATTGAGGCAGTATCCAAATTTTACCTGACATTGAACAAAAAAATTGTTTCAAGTTACCGTTATCGCCGCCTCCGAATGACCAGACTGTCCGTCCGTCCTGCGATATGGCTATAGTATGTGAGCTGCCACAGACTACCTGGCCAATGTTACTGATGTCCTTCACCAAGGTCGGTATGTTTCTACTGTTACTGTCTCCATGTCCTGCGAAAAGAAAAAAATAACAACACAAAATTGAATTCAATGGATTCAGAATGGCTATCCACTGTAAGTCTTTTCATACACCTGGTCTACACAATGGGCCGGATGTAGCCCATTCATTCGCATTACGGGGTAATGCACACATGTAGTCGTGTTCTCACCGACGATCGTGGACTCCCTATTGTCCCTCTTTTGTTTGTACTCTAACTTTTCAGGAAGACTCTCATATGTTTTGTACACGACCCCAATCATGGACGTATGCTGGGAATCGTGGACGATATTGTTCTCTTTTGTTCTCTGGCATTTTTCGTCCACAGTTTGAATAGATGAACACGCCCATATATGCATGCGCAGGATTTCGGTTGGTACATTGGTTACCATGAGTATTGTTATGTTTCAGAGCAAGGCAGTGTTTTAGGCAGTCTATAGTATTTTGTCCATTCATAACATGTGACACGCTCTTGGTCAATCATGAAAGCAAATCTGTGGGTTATAATGCGCCCAAAATGAATGCACTCTATGCTATAAAACACACATATAAACTGCAAGCAATACATAGTGCACTCTGCAATACAATACATATGTACTTCCTACGCTCAATAATTTTTAAACTTTGACTAATGTGCCACACAAGCCATTCAGCTTAATGTCTGGGACAGTTTGACAGGCAGAAAGAGATGTATGACTCGTATCTCAAACTCGGACTCAAGTCCGACTCATGTCACATTTTTGATGACTTAAAACTCAGACTTGAGTCAAACAATAACTTGGACTCGGACTCGAGTTCCACTTGAGGCACACTCTTGAAGACTCAAACTTGGACTTGAGTCATTAACACTAATTTAGACTTGGACTCGGGACTACGACTTCATGTACATGTATGTGACTCAGACTTGACGGCAAAAAGAGAAATTTGCTATTTCTAAAACCTTTTGCAAAGTAACAGGGTTTTATTTTTAAAAAATTAATTTCATAACAAAATTTTACCATGCTTCTTCCAAAATTCCTCAACCATTGCAAATAAGCACATTGCGGTCACTATGCCGCTCTCTACAATTTCAATTATTTTACCTGTTCTTCAATGAGTTTTTTGTGTCAGGTTTTTCTCGAATTTTTCTCAGTGACTCGCGACTTGACTCAGACACAAGACTAAGAGCCTTGAACTGGGACTTGTGGTTTGAGGACTTGAATACAGCCACTGCTTTGTTCTTGATAACTCACCTAGTCTCCCGTAATCCCCTTCTCCCCACGTGTACAGCTGTCCGTCCTCCGTGACGCAGGCGCTGTGCCGGTACCCGGCAGACACGCACACCACCACCTTGCTGGACAGGATGCCGGGTACCAGCTTGGGGTACTTCTGCGTGGATGTGTTGCCGTGGCCCAGCTTACCGTAGTCGCCGTCGCCCCAGCTGAAGATCTGACCCTCGGATGTCAGGGCGAGGGTGTGGCCGTCGGAACCCTGTTCCATACAATGACACATTTGCAAAGACACAAGGGTTTCCTTATTAAACACATTTTTTATTGACTTATCTCTCCCCAGAACCAGATTGCTTGCTCAGTCATTCGGAATTCACTAGAGCATGAAAAATGGACCACAAGTTGAAAACTCACTATTTTCAACCCAGATTTCACTGCCAATGAGTGACTAAAATCAAAGGTGTTGTGTGTAAAGTTTGTTCCTTGAACTTTATTCTATGATGTGTGATATAAAAATCAAGGCCATATGTTCAAAAATAAGAAAGTTATGCCTGTTTGTTGATCTGGTCCAAGTTAAAAAACTGCAAGCCATTTCACCACATGACCAAATGGCACTCCATACCTCAAATTGTGCGTGGATACCTCTTAAGCACTTTTCTGAAGTTTTTGTAATGGTAACACTGTGAATAAACTACACCATTAGAAGGATCTGAAAACACTCTTTCAGTTCAGATGGTACATGGTTGCCTCATGAATATGTATTATTTAGGCATAGAAACCCTACAACCGTGGCCTACCTTTGATGAGGATATCTTTGCGATGACATGGCTTTCAAAGTTGAGTTTCTTGAGCTGTGTTTGGTTGTTGGAATCACCCAGGCCTAGCCTGCCATAGCTGCCTTTCCCGCAGGCCCTGACGGCACCGTCAGCAGAGATGACAAACGTGCAGTACTGGCCTGCTTCCACCTGTTACAAAATTCATAAAGAAAATACACTTTTGTCTGAAGCAGAGCTCAAAATAGGTATTCGTTCACAAAACTGTGTGCCACAGAGTGTTTGTGTCTCAAAGATCTAACATGATGCTATTATTAAAAAATTACATTTTTACAATCTTTATTTGAAGTTTTTGAAGTAAACTTATGCTATTGCTTCTTTTTTTTTAACACGATATTTCGACTGTGCAAAGAATTCAGCTATCTTTGGCTGTAGGATTTTCTCTTGGACTGAACCAGAGGTTCCCCATTAAACTCTCTACAGGGTGAGTAAAAAAAAAATGAAACCCAAATGGCAGGACCACTTTTCGAATGAAGTTTTGCCTGTAGCACTTTTACAATCAAGGATATAAAAACCCAGTCACTAAGCTTTCTTTTAGTACAAGAATCATTCAACTTGCTCATGTACTTTTCAAGTTAGGGAATTGTCAACACAAACACCGTTTCCAAGTTTTGTCCACGGATCACAAAAAAGGTAAGCTTTCTTTCAGCAAAACGAAATGGATTCACACACATCCCTATGTGAATTGTTTTCGTCTTGCTGAAAGAACACTTTCAGAGTTGATCCTGCCATTTGGGTTTCCTTTTTTTATACTCGCCCTGTATAGTCTATACTAAACTACTCCAAAGGATATCAATGCAGCCTTTACCTGTCGGCTCTGTGCAAAGAGCCCAGCCATTGTGGGATGCAGGATTTTCTACTGATTTGAGCACAGAGGTACTCCATTAAACTCTGTAGAACCTCCTAAAACCTCAAGGTAAACCTCGAGGTACATGTACTGCCTATTAAATGTTGTGGTCCCTCTAACATACTCCAATAAATGCATCTTTAACTGTTGGCTCTATGCAAGAGTCCAGCCATTTGTGGGCTGCAGGATTTTCTACTGACTTGAACCCATAGGTACCCCACTTAACTCTGTAGAACCTCCTAAAACCTCAAGGAAACCTCGAGGTACTGCCTGTTAAATTTTGTGGTCCCTCTAATATACTCCAATATATGCAATCTTCACCTGTTGGCTCCATGCAAGAGTCCAGCCATTGTGGGCTGCAGGATTTTCTACTGACTTGAACTCCAGTAAACTCTGTAAAACCTCCTAAAACCTCCAGGTAAACCTTGAGGTACTGCCTGTTTAATTTGGCAGTCTCCCCTAAATTACCCAAAGAGATTCAAAACCTTTACCTGTTGGCTCTGTGCAAAGAGTCCGGCTATTTTAGGCTGGAGTATCTTCTCTTGGCTACCCTCGGCTAGCTGATGGCTGCTGTTACTGCCCCACACGTAGACCTCGCTGTTCTCCGACACACTCAGACTGCTGTTTTTCCTCTCGCTAGGACAGACGCAGGTACGAGCGTACTCCATGGCCAGGCGGGACACCTTTGATTCAAGACAAAAGTTAAATAATGTCACAACACCACAACCCTGGCAAACAAAGTCAAGGTTGACATTTGTGGACATGTTCACTTGACCTAGAATATCGGTATTTACCAGAGCTACATTAAAGTGCCCATGTTATTTTGTTAATGCAACCCTTGAAAATGAACCTTTGTTTCTATTAAAGTTCATTTTTAATGTTCATTTTGCCTTTTTTTAAGGTATTAAGATGCCTTTTTGGTTTCTATGCTAATAAAAATTTCCATATTTATGAGCAAAAAAGTCATTTTGGGCAGAAACCGCAAAGCTACAGCTATTTCAGCACAGGAATTTCGGATATTTTGTCGTTGTAAATTTCTGGTTTTGTGATTTGTTTGTTTCAGTACATGACAGCAAGGCAACGAGCAAACTTTTCTCACAAATGTTTTCAATGCGCAAATATTTGGGTTCGCAATTTGAACAAAAAACCCCAAAACTGAAGAGTTGAATGACATCAAGCAACGGCGCCCTCAGTTGCCAGGAAAAGCATGGAACAAAATTTCACTTTCGAGTGCAAAACGTAAAAATAAATAAATAAATAAATAAATAAATAAATACAAAACAAGATAAGACAAGCCTTGTAAAGTAGCTATTCACTAAAAATCTTTTCATGCATCTGGTCTCCACAATGGAAATTTAGCCCATTCATTGGCGTTGCAGAGTAATCCTATACAATAGCACTGCCGGGCTAACAAGTGACAGTCAGTCAGTCAGTCACTTAGTCAGTCAAGCAGGTGCAAAGAGGACCCTAGGCTGGCCCTCTGGGACCAGCAAACATGCTTTTATACTTGTACCTCTTCAATGAGACACAGCGCAGCTTGGTAGAGCGGGCACTGACCATCCTCTTGCTTCAACTCCGACAAGACAGAGCCTCTGTCTGCTGACGACCCCTGCAATGTGTCAAAAGCATTGATTTAATTTTAGAAGTCTGCTTCAAAATCTTATATGTAGGACGTCAAGATATAAAACATATTCTGGGCTGAATTTGAATCTGTGGCCAAGTTCTTAGGAATTCTCCTGATGCCCAGTTCAAAGCAACCACAAACTCTAATTTGTGAGGTCCTGGCAAGTTTTTTTTTAACAGTTGAGTGCTCTGTGCCTACATAAAGCAGGATTGACTGGTTGTGGCTGTTTACATAACTTGATACAGCTATACTCTGACTGTAGGAGATTGATAAGCCAGCTGCATCTACCAGTTAAATGTTCATGTACTTGCTTTTGTCTGTTGATGGAATTTGACTAGTCACAGTGATTACAAGAAAATGACCCGACTGTTAGTGACTGGCCTGTGTACAAGTTATGAGAGGGAAAGTGGATTGGACTGTCTGTGACTGATCAAACAGTAGGAGGGTCACTTATTACCCATATTCAACTTACTGTGGCTCTGCGCATCTGGCCAAGCACGTTGGTGAAGAAATCATAGGCGATCACTCGAAATTTGGGTCTGTCGCTTTGTTCGCGCACGTGGGAAGCACCGCTGCTCACTGCCGCGGAAGACCCAAGAGCCATCTCAACCCAGTCCAAGAGATGCTGCAGTGACCCGCGCTGGGCTGCCAGTCCTATCACGAGCTGGCAGGCTAGCTGCTTGCCGCAAGCATCTGCGCCCGAGTTGGGCATGGTGGCGGACTTGAGGAACATGGTGACCTGTTTCAGACACTCGGTGCCCAGAGATGGGATCTTACTCTCGTTGGCCAAGGATAACGGAGGCAGAGAGTTCAACACGTCCATGGCCGTCTGGAGGACATCGTTGCAAATGCTGGGGTTGCCGGGGGGCTGGGCTTGCATCCAGCTCTGCCGGAGGAGGGCAAAGAGCAGGCTGAGTCCCGTCCGGACCCCCATCTCAACAAGCGCATCCGTGCCGAAGGTGACGGGTTTCAGAGCAGTCTTCTCGTCGGCCGCGCCAGCGTGGGCCTGCTGCAGCCGCAGCTGCTGCTTGACCTTCTCCTTGTCGTGGAACTTACTGGAGATGGCGTGGAAGATGCGCCGCAGCACAGCCAGCCGCTTCTGGAGCGCCGACGCGAAGGGCGACTCGGAACACACCGTGCGAGCCAGGCTAAGCTGGTTAGACAGCAAGGCCTCCAAGAAATGCTCCTGCTCTTCCCGCGACGGCGACTCCCGTTCATAATCCGGTAACTGGGGTCCTTGAAGGTGCAACGTCTGGCGCGGGGTGCTGATCACCTCCTTGTTGGTGACCAGGCGGTCGTATAACTCCAAAGCACCATCTCTGTTTGCTACCTGGCCCCAGTCTTCTGTCACCCAGGTAGCGTTCAGATGCTCCATCCATTTCAACTTCATTGGCATGTTGGATGACATCATGCTTTCCTGATCATCACAACTCTCAAGCTACAGAAAAAAATGACAGAAAAAAAATGTACGTAGGCCCCCTACAGCTTTTCAACTTCGCGCCACATAAGAAAACACAAATCCATGTTTAATTTATTGTACTTACTAAATTATTTAGCAACTTTTTAACCCCACAGAAGTGTGATGGACAGAGGGCAGGGTTACAATTTTTGCAAGAAATTTCGGGGTAAGACAACTAGTGAAGATGACAAAAAGGAATACGAAAATAAAGATGGGGATCACCGCGACGCACAAATGCGGAAGAAATTTGCAATTTGTACCAAAAGATACTGTTCAAAATTACCCAAAAAACGTAGTGTCAATAGAATTAAGAGAAGTCTGCTTTTGCAGAAGTCATTTGGAAAAGATAAAAAACACTAAAATAAAAACTCCAGAGGGAAAGATTCCCATATCTGGCCATCACTAATTTTCCCCTTCAGTGACAGAATCAGCCATCAGAAAGTGATAATTTGTCCCAAAAAGTCAGATTTAGCAGGGAAAATATTGAAGTAGTTACTGAGAAAACAATTAGAAATTTTCAGACCAGTCTCAAACGGTTTGTGCACAGGGTGACAAGTGATGGCCATATATGGGAATCTTTCCCTAAAGAGGGCCCTGTAACTACAAAATCACCATAATCTTGAACATCATAATGTTGGGCGCGATCGGTCAATCGATCGCGCCACCATCGATCGATCACACCGCCCGTTGATCATTTCTGCACAATCGAGTGATAGCGCAGATCCACCGATCGCACCCAACAATTAACATGTCAATTTAATAACATTGCCATTGTTAACTATTAGTATTTAATTAACAAAAAAGATTTCCTCAATATTTATTTAAGTTTGATTGGTTAAATCAGCTTGAGTCGTTGAGATGTTTAGAATTTTAGTAGGCCTATAGGCCTAATATTATATTTCTTTCGCTTCATTTTCAAGATCTTCAGAGTAACCCACACTTTTAATATCAGCCCTTTGTTTTGCAAACGTTAAAGTTAAGGTAGTGGATATTTTGCCGGAGGTAACGCCGGCAAACTAACGTTTACTAAAGGTTTGCCGGCGGCAATCCATATCAACAGAGGGCGCTGTACTCTTTAAGATAGGGCTGAGTTATAACATGTATTAAATTCCCACCAAAAGTTGTGTAGCACGTTTGGTGTAATGGTTAAGCAAAGGCTCTAGTAAGCGGGATGACTCGCGTTCGATTCCGACCGCACCACATTCTTAAGTTTTTTGTTCTCATCCCCAAATAAATAAGAATATTCTTCTTTTATTATTTTAACATGTCTCAAACATTTTTTGCAGAGTATTACATTTTCTTTTTCAGATTTGTGGCTCTGGAGGATTTTTTTTAAAAGGGAAATAAAGTCCGAAATTATAAAATGGTCTGAATCCCATCTTGTGAATACGAGGTAACAACGATAATTTTGGCATGGAGCCAGACTAAAACTTTTCACCGGAAAATGTTTAAGTACAAAAAAACAGTAACTGCGCATGTTCAGTGCATATCCGGCAAACTAACGTTTACTAAAGGTTTGCCGTCTCCGGCAAAATATACACTGCCTAAAAAAAATGCCAAAAAAAGGGTGCGCCAGTGTTTGGAATAAACTCCTCAGTAGTACTGGAGAACCTGGCGTGTGGCCAGAGATTACAGCGCAGCAATACCGAGGCCACGCTAGTGGGGCTACTTAAACCGAGACTAAGTTGTGTACAAACATCACTAGTCATTCATTGCAAGTTGAAGTTGGAATGGAATGGCAACCTACGGTCGACCAAACTCAGTCGCAACGTTCCATACTGATCACAAAATCAAGATTTCTGAATATTTTCACTTACTGGAATCAACTTTACATATGTAAACGCCGCCTTGTCCAATGGATAAGGCGTCAATATTGCAGGAAAGTTTGTGATGGTCGTGTGCGGTTTCAGCCGACGTCCGCCATTTTGACAATGACATTTTCACCCGGACCCATCGCTGCTTTTTATTTTTGTGTACACTGTCACAGCCGGCCGGCGCTCGGTATTTGATGGAACGCCGAAGAGGAAAAATATACGATCACGAAATTCTACCGAATTGGAGGTTGACAGGTAGGTCGGCGGAGGGGGGAGAGGGGGGGGGGGGGCAAGGGTGTCACTTGGGTGCAAGAGAGGTAAATCTCCCAACAAACAGGGAAAGATAACATAAAATTGACTAAAAACCAACTTCACCCTCCCTCGCCTTATTTTTTAGCATTGTATTAGTTACAGGTACCTAAAAACACCAGAAAACACAAAACACAAGAAATATACCAGAACGCAGTGGCTATTGTTACGGCAGCCGTAACGCATTTCCCATTTTCTATCGTTACGGTAGACTGCAACCTGGCAACTTTTATAAAAAAAACATGACAAGAAAATATAAAATTAGAAGGAAAAAAGTGAATTTGAACTTTATGAAATTCGGACTTTATTTCCCTTTTAAAAAAAATCCTCCAAAGCCTCAGGTTAGAAAAGGAAAAAAATTCGAGTGCAAAACTGAAATTCGAACCCGCAACCTCGCGGTGCAAAATCCTACCCTCTATCGGCTGAGCTGGCGCACTGCTCGATAAAACGTGGGGAAACAAATAATTATATACCTGCGTGCGTATCAAAAAAAAATCGTAGAGGGCGAAACAACGAGTGCCGTAACGATAGCCACTTCGATACCAGAAAAGACCTGAAATCAACTAAAAATCATCAGAAATCAATAAAAAAAAATTAAACACGGAAAACAACCGGAAATCACCGCAATGTGTGAATTTGTTTTCTTTGTGGTTTTTTAATGTATAGTTTTCTTTATAAACATTTATGTTTTGATCCATGGCAATTTGGATGATTTTTCTTTAAAGGAAATATATAAGTCCGGGAACTATTTGGTTTATAAGAGCCAAAGATTCTGGGTTTTTTGGGGGGAGGGGTGTTTTCTTGTCGGGGTTTTTTTTGGCTGGATTTTTTTTTTGGTTGACTTCACAGGTGTTTTCCAGTTGTTTTCTGTTGTCCGGTTGTTTTTCGGTGTTTCTGGTGTTTCCGAGTCTGGTTGGTTTTTCCTTTTTTTCCTTTGTTTTCCAGCAAATAGTATCACTCCTTTTTTTTTTAGTTCTATGGCATTTGCATAACTTCCTTGAATTTCTCATAGACTACTTTTCTAAAACATCCACTGCCTTTGTAGTTTCAGATTTCACAGAATTGTTTGCAGCCTCTAAAGTTAAACTATCCCCACCCAATACTTAATTACATTAAGTATTTTATAATGCATATCAGGGGCAGATCCAGGCTTGACTCTGAAGTGGGGGGGGGGGGGGGATAGCTGTCAAGGGGGTGATGATTAGCAGGCATACAATGCTATTTTGTTATTTTCCTTTTTGTGCTTCCAAAAGGGGGGTAGGGGTTAAACCCCTCAAATTAAAACACAAATGTGATGCGATCAAGCTAAATGAGTCGTTTGTCGACCCTGGTAACAATTTTTTGTTTTTACAGAATTGAAAAGAGCACAATCTCAGCATTACTGATGTGAAAACCACGTGCTGATACCATCTTTAGTTCAAAAATTATGGAGGTTGGCACACCAAGAGATATGATGAAGTGATGTGATGAAGTGGCCCTATTTTGGCCTGAATCTCCAAATGAAAGTTCCAGACAAATGACTCATTTAGCTTGATCGCATCACTTTTAATTTATTAATCCAACAAATGGCAGACAGATAAAAAGCCACAATATGAAATAAAAATTATATTTTTATTTGACAAAATATAAAACTTTTTGGAACACACAAGGCTTCTTTAATACACACTATATTTACAAAAATAGTTTTATCCTTGAATTTGCATTCTCGATTTTAATCTTTTCTTTTAAAGTTCCTGTAATCCAACTGAGAAATTTCTGTTTTATCTCAAATGAAAATATATACATTCACTAGGAACAAATTAAAAATTGAAGTTGGTTCAAAAAAGACTCCATAAGCTGACTGCATCAACAAATTATGGCGTACTCACTTGGGATAAAAGTTGTTACTATAATTATTATTATTATTTTATTTCTGATAATGAAACCAAGGAATCCTTAAGAGTACCCTAGGTAATGTAGCTCGCAAGCCTGAAGAAACCTGTAGAGAGAAGACAATGAGACGAAATTAAAGTTTTAGAGGTGGGAGGAAAAGCCCAGAAGAATATTCTAGGAAAACCCACGAAATCAGGTAGGGACTGAAAACCCAATCCATATTATTGGCCCAGGCGGGATTCGAACCCGGGTCACAGCGGTGGAAGGCGAGGAAAGTACCACAATGCCAACCTGACTCCCCTGATCACTGGCAAAAAAATACTGATCTTACAAGTTTTTTTAACTTTTTCTTGTTGATCCCTTGTTTCTTCCAGGCTTTCATCAGTTGACAGGACTTGACACTATCTGACACTAAAATGTCGCTGCTGTTAAAGGCTGACTGTTGCATAATTTGCCAGTATGTAAGAATTAATTTTGCCAACAAAATGACACACACACGCCCCCCTCAGGCACCTCTCCCGTATTATATTCATTGTTGTTTTGTCCCTAATCGATAATCTAAAACAGTTTGTCCTAAGGAACAATTTTAACCTCCAAAGTGCATCATATTCCTTAAGCGTTAAGTTTGTAGTTTGCTCATAATGTGTACAATTTATCCCTAAAACAGACATAGCAGCAATATTTAAGGTGGCATATTTATTTTCAATAGGCCGTATTTATTAGCGAGTGTCAGGATGCTGTAATGACCTAATCTAGGGGTTTGAAGTGAAACTGTAGAAATATCACATCTACTGAAGCAAAATTGTACGAGCAGTCACTCTCCTTCAATCTAAAAATTTAAAACTGTGAAAGTAATGTTAAAATGACAGCAACGTGTGAGCTTGCATCAATAACCTTCAATTCACATCACACCCCCCCCCCCCCAACAAAAAATTGGTGTCATTACAGTGCCTTTTTTGAGACTTGACAATGAGATATAACTCTCGATCAAATTTGATTTACATATATAACTGTCCCTGCATTGTGGTCCTACGGAAGATGCGCTGGCTATTCTATTTGTTCAAACTAGAGGTATACTTTCGCTCTATTGGAAATCTCAAGATTCAGCCCAGATTGACTAAACCCTGAGATTTTGAAAACCTCTTTGGCACTAGAAAGAATCAAACATTGTTTCCATACCAGCATAACTCAGCCTTGGTTGGGGCATGAGCTGAGAGGTTCTACCCAGACACCACGGGTGGGAAAACCAATGTACAGACTGGTGTAGGTGTTCAATCGGACGCAGTTCTGCTCCCGTCTCACCTACACGTGTTGAAATCAACACAAGTCTAAAGTTAAGATCCACTTAATTCACACTGTGTTGGTTTGAACTTCTGGTTTTTAGTGTTGGTTTTCTTGGTATTAGTTTTTGGTCTGTTTGAAGTTTCTGGTTTTAGATTGTTTTGGTTTTTAGTCTTCATGGTTTTGGTCTCTCTTTTTTCTGAGTTCAGTCCTATTTTGGTTTTTGTTTTGGTTTTTTCACTTAGTTTTGTTAAGTCTTGAATTTGTTTGTAAATAAATTCCCTTTTTTGGTTTTTGGGTTTTTTTTGGTTTGAAATTTAGAATTTTGCTCTTGTCCCTATTAATTCACTTTCCTTGCAAATTTTCCCTTCAAAGATCCTAAGTTTAGTTTAGTTGTATTAGTTTGTGCAAGTTCCCCATAGTGTGTAATTTTTTTCAGGTTACACTTGCAGAGCGCTGGACCCATGTAGAACTGTGTTGGATTCTTGCTAGTATAAAAAAGGTTCTCAAACTCTCTGTGTTGGACACAAGAGGACTCACGAGATTTTGGATAATGTGAAAGGCCTCGGGTTATCGGGACCATAGTGTGAAAAGGCCTCATAGCTAGTCTGATCAGTCCCACACCGGATTGAATCCACTGTTCTTGGGCGGTTTGACTGGGGTGTCCTGCCCGATGGCCGGCCGGCCCCTCGGTATGTTGCCCTGGCCCTCCACCAGATCTCTGTAGATCCCAGGGTCGCTGTCCACACCCGTCAGGGCCATGTTGCGTAGGTCCGGCATCTCGGCAAACGGCAGGTAATCCTCACCTGGGAAGAAAAATGAGAAACGGAATAATATTGAGGCTGCCCCAAAAAATACTCTGCGATACATGAACTGTTTCAATTAACAGCTAGCTGAGCTAATTGTACATGGACAACTTAAAGCTTGCGGCAAGCTTGTCAGGATATGTGTGGGGTTGCAGGTGAATTTTCAAGGTGCGTTTTCAAGGACTGATTAAAGAAACATTACATGGGCCCTTTACTGCTCATAGTCATTTTTCTACACCTAAACAGAGGTGGAATAGGATCTTTGCTTACCGTATGGGATTTTTTTCTGATGTCGTTCGGTTTCTGTTTCGAACACCGTCACGTGATCCTCCCAGTGTCTGTTGCATGCAGCACACAGGAAGTTGGAATTGAACGCGCCGCACCCACAACCTGGGGAAACAGTTGATCAAATAAGTAAGTTTAAGTAAAGTATATGGGATATTTGTGCTTGAATGGCAGATGTCATCTCACAAAAGGAACCGTCAAAAAGAAAAATCACGAATTGCGCCTAGACGTATTAGTCCCTGTACCACCCCAAAACACTCTGCCACTTCTCATACCGCCCCAACTCTCTATTGTTTTATTAAAATTGTCAAGGAACAAATGTTAATAGCCCCCCCCCCCCAGAAAAAAAAAAGTTGTAGTCTAATGAGTCCTACAAAAAATATTTAAAAAAATATTCTGATTAAATGATGAAATTATTACGTGAGAAAATGGTTTTCGCTGAAGCTTGCCTTGGGTTAATGTGAAAAAAACAAAAACATTGTCACTATTGCTGTGTCTTTCTTGTTAGTCCGGCGCTAATAAACTTGTAGCATATCGATGTGCTCAGCATCATAGTCTGGTCACAAGTAAATCACAAGGCAGTTCACATGCCCGGTAAGTAACAATCACAAAGGAACGTCTTCGTCGCAGTTCATTCGAATAGCTTGTGACTTAACTTCGGACTGGAGGACTTGTGATAGACTTACGGGGACTTGTGAGGACAAGCCTGCCTAGGACCAAGTTCGGGCAAGGACCATTCGTCGACTAGTGGTTGATTTGTGACATACCTTACGCCTGCGCACTGATAGCAACGTGCGAACGTCTCTAGTCAAACGCTGGTCAAAATGTCATCGCAAAACTTCTGGATCCTGGCTCTCTGCTAGCGTTATGAATGCCCGCGGCTATTGGTTACCAGCGATGCAACCAGCCCCAGTAGGTTGGTTCCAAATAGTCGACTAGCGTAGTCAACCACCGTCGACTAGACAGAGTTCGGGCAAGCGTTAGTCGATCTATGGTTAACCATTGGTCAACTATAGTCCTTACGCGAACTTGGCCTGGAATGCTGCATGGTAAACCATTGTTGTAGTTGAGTCCATCACAAGTCCTCATGAGTCCCTCCTTGTGACTGGACTCATGAAAGGACTTGTGATTTACTTTTGAACGGAATTATGACAAACTTGTGATGGACTTAGCTCAATTAAACACTGCAAAGATAAACATACTTCTCATTCTACACCTCCTGATCCCAGTGCAGTCGTGATCTTCGTGGGTGTGTTTGCAGCGGCACTTGGCACGCCATGTCGTCGGATCAAAGTCCCGCCGTCGCTGGAACCAAAACTCCCCGATGTCCTCCGGTCTGCCGGGGATGAAGGCAAATGCCCGACAGGGGCAGTGTCGACAGGGGACCTGGACACTTCGACCTGGAAAAAAGGGGAGAAAAAAAAGAAACAAAGACTCAGAAAACTTCCTGGACAACCAAAATATGGGGGACCCAAATTGTTTGCAATGTTTAAGTTTTTGTACTCAACTTTCTGTTTAACATATGAGTCCCTGTACTGTCCAAACTGCCCCAGCACTCTATGGTTTATGAATTCAACAGTGAATAATACAATGTAATACAATGTAGTACAGGTGCTAATACATGGGTTAAACAATGGGTCAAAACATACAGGCAGTATACATGTACAGAGATTTAAATGCCCCTCCCAGTGGTCTCTCCAACTCTCCCTTTGTAACTGTTGAGGGGGTACTTTTGATATTAATATCGCCGATATCATTTTTTTTAAATATCGAAATTTTCAATATTGAGGAATGATTTCGAATATATTGAAAATGCGTCAGATTATTGTCAAAATAAATCTCCCGTTTGTGCTTTTACTTTGTGTTTTAACGTTTGCTGTATAATGAAATAAAAGCCGGCGGCAATCACGAAATGCAAAGCGGCTTTGTGCTCTGCGTTTGCTGGAATTCGTGGTCTCCCCAATGTAAAACCTCAAAAGAAACCGCCCGTTCTGGACAAACTCTCAGTGCTGAGAAAAAGTTTGAGCAATATGCTCCATAGAAAAGCATGGAACATTATGACTTACGATTTTTTTTTGTTTAATCCAAGTGTCTTCTATATGGTCTTTAACTTTTGCATGAGATACTCGATATATCGAATATTCTTGATATTGGATTTCCGATATATTGATTATTGAAAATTCTGATATCGATGGTGCTTAGCTCAGAGTCCATATATCCGACAAAGGACCCACCATTGTACGGTGCATGTTCACTCAAAATGTGGCCACAAAAGCATCTGGACTCCCTCCCAACTCGGATGCAATCCCAGGTGAACTCTGGACATCTCCAACCTATGTAGACCCCTGAAATAAAACAGATTTTTTTTTTAAGAATGATATATAAGTACAGACATGGTCAATAAGAATATTTCTTGTAGATGTATCTTCTTAAAGGGAATATACATCATTTGCTTTTGCTGTAGTTTTCAGAAATGGATGGAATTGGGGGGTTGGAAATATATAGCAAATATAGTTACACTGACTTTTTTAAGGTTTTGGGTTCGAAAATGCTATAAAATTCAAGAAAAACGATCATTTTCCTGTAGTCTGGTTCCCTGACTCCATATAAGAAGAAACAGAGCAGTTTACATACATTGGGGAATTGTAAGGTCAGGGAACCACTCTAGCTGGCTCGTACCCGTTCATAGGTTTGTAATCGATTGCAAACAAGTGCGATGGTCAATTAGGGCCAGTATTTGAAAAAAAGCCAGTTGTTTCCAACGCTGATCGGCCGATCAGCGTTGGAACTTGATACAAAAATACCACTTTTCTTGAAAATGACAGTATACCAGGTGCCATGATTTTACAGGATGCTTTACACTGTCATTCACTAACAGTCAAGCAAGGTATTTCAAAATGATTTGGTAGTTTTATTTTTTGATGTTTGCAAATGTTGTATTTTCCCTTTAATTACTACCCATCTTTGTCGTTCCTGCTTGATCTTTGATCACTGCATTTTTGCTAGTCTCAGAGGGCATTCCTGCGGTTCCCTTGTGGCTATCTCATTGACTGACTGACTGACTGACTGACTGATTGTCACTGGTGGCTTAGCCTGGCTGTTAGCTGATGAAGACGGCCAGACAGTACAATTGTGTAGGATTACCTTGTACATGTGATAATTTGCCTGATAATTGTGTCCAGTATTTCAGCCACATTTATGGGGCTAGGCCTAAGGAAGCCGTTATTCTTAGTGCTTACCGGTTTGTATAGCCTCAGTGGCTGCTTCTGTCTCAGGATGGAACAGTTTCTGGAGGCGTGGTCCAAACTCCTCGCGGTTCATGGCGCGGGCGACAGATATCAGCTCGGCCTTCTCAGCGGGGATGATGGGCCGCATACTGTAACCTGAAATTTGAAATTTGATGCACTACAACTAAAAAAGGTTTTGCTGTTTGAAACTCTTGCCGTGAAGTCATACAATTTCCTTTGCTGTTTGCATTCTCTTTCTCACAAAGTATGAACCAGCAAAAATGTCAAAAAAAGGAGTTTTAGCACCCCAATTTTCACTGGGTCTGTGTGAGGTAAGGAGTCCAACGAAAGAACTATGGTTCTAGGGGTAATCAGTAACCACGCAAAAGTAACGGTCTTCAAATGAATGTCTGATAATTAGTATTTTGAATGTTCCAAAACACAAAATATGTATTGTATTAAAGGAAAAGAAGTCTATCTTATATATTTAACTTTGGAGCCTGGAGGTGAGAAATTTGACTTCATATGTTGCCATTAGTTTGAGATATATTTTTGAAAATATTATCGAAATATTTCTTAGAATAAAATGTGAAGAAAAGGTGGTACGCCATATTACATTCGTACATAGCCAGATGAGACCTTTACACAATGCTACTGAAAATAATGTCAGCACATTTGGCGGAAAGAGTTCCCGGTATACCTGGACATCACTTGATACCCTGTGCACAAACAGTGTGCTGTATGAGACTGGTCTTAAAATAAAAAATCCAATTGTTTTCTCAGTAAATGCTTCAATATTTTCCCGGCTAAATTTGACTTTTAGGACATGTTATTCATTGTTATTGCTTTCTGTTGGTGCACAGAAAAATAGGCTCCATCTAGCCCCACTAGTGTGGCCGCGATATTGCTGCGCTGTATCTCTGGCCACACGCCAGGTTCTCCAGTACAACTGAGGAGTTTATTTCACTGGCGCACCCTTTTTTTGCAATATTTTTGCAATTTTTTTTTACATACCACTGTTCATGGTTGTATTCTATGATTTCTCATCTTTTGCCCTCCGGGTAGATTAGGTAATATTTCTTCTTTTTAGCGTCTTTCTGGAGTCCATATCATTGCATATGCGCCAGTGTTTGGACTAAACTCCTCAGTAGATTGGGAAACCAGACGTGTGGCTTACGTACAGCGCAGCAATACTGAGGCCACACAAGTGGGGCTAGGCTCCATCCAGTAAGGAATTAATTCTTGCCAAAAAAGGCAAAATGAGTAGGCCTACCTTCCGGATGGAGTAGGCCATTATGCTTGGACATTGCGATCCGCTTGTCTGGATTACGAAAGACTTCCATTGGGCCCGGCGCATTACGAGAGCCTCGTGGGACTAGGGCCTTGGTGCCTGGGCCCGTTGACTTGGGTTGGGCTCTGGCCGGCTGGGAACGGGACGCGCCTGCTGTTCCCACGGGCGGTTGCTTCGTCTGTCTGGTCATGCTGGTCGGCCCTCTATGCTGGACTCCGCTGCCCGAGGTCTTCGGCCTCGTTGCACCCGAGCCAGATCGGGCCTCTGCTTGGTACGCTTTGGGCTTTGACGACTTTGGCCTAGGTGAACTCATAATGTGTGTTGTAAACTATAAAACCCTTCAAAAACACCAGAATTAGTTGATTCAAGTTCCGCAAAAACTTTACACGAAACTGGGGGCTGCCATTTTGTATCCTATGACGCGCTTGTTGTCAGGTTATTCTATTCCAATTGATAGGGAACCCTTTTTTGCGAATTATTTTATTCCAGCTCATGATTGGAAATTATTGACTGAGCTTTCCCTAAATAAATACTGAATCGAATATAACAATGGAGTGCTTACACTTTTCTATAACAATATCTGGGATAATTATTTACTACTTTGATTTTGAATGTTATATATTTCCCTTTCCCCCTACTTTCTAATGGTACGGTCTACAACCCGGAAGTGCATGCCACGTTCTTTCAAGAGAGGGCGCTATTTGTAAACAATGCAATGTCTGTGTTCCTTAAAGGGAATATACATTTGCAAACATCGAAAAACAGAACTACCAATTTCTTACGAAATAGGATGTTGGTAAATGACAGTCTAAAGCATCCTGTAAAATTATGTCACCTGGTGTGAAGTCATTTTCAAGAAAAGTGGTATTTTTGTATAAATTTCCAATGGTAGTCGGTCGACCACTGCTGGAAATTACCTATTTTTCAACTACTGCTCCGAATGTACCATTTTTTTTTCAGTCCAAATTTTGTTTTCTATTGGTTACAAGTTCATGAACGGGTGCAGGCCAGCTTGACTGGTTCCCTTATACCTTACAATTTTCTGGCTTCTATATTGAAAATGTACCCATTTCATCTTTAGTGGAGTCAGGGAACCAGACTAATTTAACTTTTTTTGTTTGTCTTGGTTTTGCCAACATTTCGTTGATCTATTATACTCACCCGTCAATTAGTTCATTTCTGAAAATTACAGCAAAAGCCAATGATGTACATTCCCTTTAAATCCAGTGGGGAAACTAAACTCATGCATCAAGCTACAGCCAACTTTTCCCCAGTTCTTATAAAACATTTTTGTTTGGTCAATTTAATCCTTGAGTAGATTTCTTGAGAAAAAAATGAACACAAACACATGTACACAATATAAACATGCATTCTTCCTTCGAAAAACCAACTCGGTTTTATTCTACTGTAATTACGTATACATTTCTTTTTTCCCAAGAGACACACTTGTTAAAAAGTATAAAAATAGAGTAAAAATATTATGATTCAAGTATAAAAATATTTGATTAGTGAAAACTTTTGAAAATATTTTGAAAGCTTTTCCTTAACATAACAGTATTTTTAACTAAGTTTTGTTTATTCAAAGGTTCCAGGTAAAAACTTTTGAAAAAATTCTGTACACAATTTTCCATTGACAGATAAGATATTTAACTACCTCCCACTTATTAAAATTGACATAACTTAGGGAAATCACATGTTTAACTTCTTTGATCTTGGCCGTCAGATAATTGGACAGAAACTGCAAATGTGTTTACCGTGGTTAAATATATAAGCAATAAGCACCCGTACTATCCAGAGGCTGTCCCTCAATGTACATGACTATGGCTGGCTGTATCACACACATCAATGCGAAGTGGCTCTCAGCCGCTTCCATAGGTGCATGCGTAAATATGGAAGCCATAGCCATAGGAAGCCACAGTCATGTAATTTGGACATAGCCATAGTCTTTGGCATAAAAATCATCGGCCACAATCTTTATCATAAACTCAGCAACAGGGAGTACATGAATAGCGGCAAGACTAGGTTATCTATCTGCGTGGTCACGGCCTCTAAGACGGAGGTTAAGCTAACCACCCATAGGACGCCAGACCATCCTAGGGGATGAGCAGAGAGGCTTGGGTCCAGGTAGAAGAGCAGACGACAGGCGAGCAGTTGAGACAAGATGGCCGCACATGTCCCCTCCACAGTCTTCTTACTACCTGTTGGTCACAAGCAACAGGACAATAATAAACAATGACAAAAGAAATCGAATGCATTTATGTCAATGGAATAGTTGATTAGTTGACTGAGACAGAGGGACATGTGATTGACTTGGGCAGGGGGCGGGGGAGAGATTGGGAGAAAATGAACAATCTTAAAAATTATCGGCAGAGGGTAAGGGCTGCTGAGGCCCCCAGAGCAACATAGGGTCTGTGGCATATGCTTGTATTTGCCTAAAGCACTCCTTAAAATACCAATTTCATTTGTTTTACATAAGCCTTTATTGTAAAATGTCAGGAATTCCAGATTCCAAAAGATATTTTTTTAAAACCTGATATCCGAAACAATCTTGATAAATGTTACCCCTGCATGTCAGGACTTGACTTCAACTCTGGAGAAAACAAGTCTTTTTTTGGGGGGGGGGGGGGGGAGCTAATTATTGCTTTCATCAAGAGATGAGAAATTAACAACAATTCTCTTCATATATTGTCCAATGTCAATTATGAATGGTAAAGGTAACTTTTTTTGGCAACCTGTACTTCTTACAAAGCAGGTCACATCTTACCAACTTAGTAAATTATCAGTGGCAACTTAAGGAACTTCCAGCAAGAAATAAGCCCATACATATTAGGCAATTACTTCTGTTTGAAAAGAGTTAATTAGGCTAAAAAAAACAGACAAGTGAAGGAGAGGATGGAATGCCTAGCTACCTGGCCATCTGATCTTGCCGTATAGGGAACCTACAACAGATGCAGCCGTGTCACCAACGCCCAGGGACAGAACACCGCTGTAAATGGCCAACGAGGTCCCTGCAACAAAACAGAGTTTCAGACTAAGTTCTTGATGTATACAACAACAAAAGTCCAAGTTGTAATAACATGTTGGTGGTCCGAAAGGTTTTTAATGCCATTTGTGGGGAATTTTCAAGATGAAAACCTGGCTATACATGGAAAACCAAACAGATTTCATGTTTATGTGCACTGTAACGCGAGACAGATGACACTTGTAAAAGTTGCAGTTTACACCATAAAGCTAACCCTTCAGGCAATTTCCAGGATTTGGATTTTGGTTTGGGTTTCTTTTATGGGTTTCTGAGTATCCGTGGTTTACTTCAATAGGGTACCTGGTTCCCATACTACCAGTAAATGCACACCACTACACAAGGGGTCTATACACATTCAGATAAACACTACGCCGGCCAAATCACGATTTGTATACCCTCAGTTTCTTTCTCTCAATTGAGAGTTTCAAGTGGCCCCTAAACATGAGAGGATGTCGAAATGAAGGGTACCAGGTCTAAAATAGTTGTTTAACTAGTATTTCTGAGAAATTTGGGGATGGAATCGGACCCAAAAGTCGCAGTATTTTGCAATGGGATTGGAGGGATCATTTTTTCAAAATTGGCAATGGGCTTTCGGACTACTTTTAGGGGTGATCATCTCTGGAGGGAAAAAAATCACCCAGACTTCAAAAACTGTACTCAAAACAAAGGAATTCTTGGACACAAAAAGCCGTATTTCCCATTCATAAAGCTTTTGTCCGAATCTTCAAAGAATGTTTTGGATAATAAAATGGACCAGGTACCTCGTAGTCGAGTATCCATCACAGCCCTAACAAAATCCACTTTAGAAACAGTTATTGTTGATGTACCCTAACATGGCGCAGCCCCTAACGTGGCGCACTTTGAATTTTCGTCTGTATCGCCAATCTAGAGCAAAAGTTTTACCTGAAATTTCACAGAAAGTGAAATTTCATGAAGTTCTAAACACTCCTGTTCATGAATCACGAGTTTATCTACCCGTTACAAAGTTAAAAGAAAAATGTATTTCGGTGTGATTTTCCGATTTTATTTCGAAGTGCACAGTGAACCCTTGGAAAATGTCCCCCAAAAATAAGAAAATGATTTTCTGACAAACTTTTAGTTGGGTACGTAAAGTAGAGATAATAAAGGTTTATCAGAATATATTAACTTTACAGAAATTCTTAAATGTTAATTTGGAATTTTCCGAGATGTATTCAAGTGCGCCACGTTAGGAAACACTCAACCGATTTTGTGCACAATTTCCGGACGCCACTGTTTTTGAATTTCGGATCAAGTTTCATGACACCGAAATTGTTCACAGAGGTTAAATAGCAAGCATTACTTATAAGGTAAAAGTACCAGTATTTCACTGAATGAATTTGAAGTTTGTCAACAAAGAAGTTTGGCAACACTACATGAGGAAAGTCGGGGTAAACGTCGAAGTGCGCCACGTTAGGGAACACCACTATATCTTACCAAATTGACTGTGTGGGGACTCCATGTACAGCCAGACAGGTAAGGCCATTCCAAGCAGTAAGTAGATGTGTGTCAGAATGGCCACCCCACAGTCCTGAGCATCTGTGAACACCTGGAAGGCATCGTGTAGAATGTCACCGATGGGCCACACGCGGAAAATCCTTAGGAACTGCAATATTCAGAGAGATACAGAATTCATTAGAAAAAAAAAGCAAGTATAGACAAGCCTAGTAAAAACTAGGCCTAGGGTTCGCTCGTACCCCCGGCCCTGCAAACAGGACGCTGGGAAGGGCTGATCTCTTTGAGCTCTCATTGGATAGATTTTGCATGACCTGCAATACTGACATTTTTATCCTTGTGGAGACATTTCTTTGTTCTCGTGTACTAAAGTTTTCGAGTTTGAAAGTACAGTTTCAAAATGCTCTTATTTTAACCAGAATTAATTTCTTTGGCTAAAATGCGGACTTAATATCCCTTTTCTAAAACTCTTCCGTTTGCGACGGATCAACCCACCTTGGAAATTCCTAGTTTTTGAGTAAAATCCATATATCTATTTCGTGAAAACCTTGTGGAGACGTATACAATCTTTTGTTCCCTATTGTGTGCATGTCTCCAGAGGGCCCGGTGTATCAGATCTGTGTCGTAGCATGCAGCACACACACACCCTAGCTGCAGTTGTTTATAATACGTAGCGCATGCTAGCTGCATTTAATGCATGGAAAGGTCATGATAAGTTACCCAGAATGCCATCGTACTTCCCTCACAAGATTCTGTGAAGCTCATCAGCCCTTCCCAGCACCCTGTTTGCAAGGCGGGGGTACGAGCGAAGTCCTAGGGTACACGATCCCATAATGCAGAACCGGTTCCTGATATCGGTGGTCGGGTACCTGGGTACAGTCCAATGGTTTCGGATCATTTTCGCAAGTTGTAGACTTAGATTGATTTGATATTTCATTGAAAAACTGACCTCCAAAACAATAAAGATGAAAAGGGTTCCCGCCGATGCTAGATGAAGTAAGTGCACATCGTAAAGGATACCAGGGACGTAAATACACACAGCCAAGAGGTGGAAGTACTTTCTGACGACGGTAGATGAGGACCCCCACAGCGTGACTACGCCCACTGCTCCCATGACGAGAAGCACCCACAGACAGAACAACAGAATCTGGGAGAAAACGAAAAAATACCAAGACAACGCAAAACTAGTAAAGCTGGTCCCAGAGTGCACAGAATTCCATTCAATTCAGGCGATTCACAATGCAGTGCGCCACCAAGAGTTTGCCATGGAGAGTCCATTTTTCAGGTTTACAGTCGACAAAACATGGTCCATTTGAATGAGTGTCAGTAGACAATTTGAGCTAGTATGTTATAGATTGGAGCATAGCATTCTGCCGCCTTACAAAAAACACCATATTGATAAGAAGAAAAGAAAAAGGGCAAACAGATCCTCCAATCATACGCTTACGAAACAACTGACCGGAAAAAAGTCAAAACAATTTTAAATGTCCCGCGCTGCTAATTTGTCGACCATCTCCCACAATGCACTGGGAAAAATTAACTCTCCGTGGCAAACTCTTGGTGGCGCACTGCATTGTGAATCGGCCGAATTAATTCGGATTGGCTGAAAACGTTTGTAGAATAAGCTGTAGTGGTAACAATGCGATCGAAATTAAAAATTGACTTTCGCTGTTTGTATGGAGACTTGACTCTTTGCCGATATTTGTATCAATGGTTCCTCCACTGAAGAGGACAGCTTGAGTGTAAGGTTGTCCATTTTCGAGTAGTTTAGTATTCGATTACTCGAAACTGCATTTGACCAAATATTCGGATATTTGAAATAGCCAGATGCAACTGTGTTCCGCGTCAGTTGAAATTTGTGCGTGCTGGTCATAAGTTGCAAGCAGAGTGTGCCAGTTAAACTTTGTGGGCGGCCCTAGATATGGTCCTCTTGAGTGTTTTTCAGTAAGCATTTTACAACTGTCAAGGGCTTTAACTAGAAACCCTGCCAAACGTAGCAACATGCAACACTCAGAGTATGTGGTCACCAAATGCAGCAGGATACAACTGTGGCACTGTTTAATGGGATCAGCTCTCATTGTTTCAAACTGGCCGTTTATGCACTGGTGTTGATAGCTGATCCTGAATGCATCAAAGTTCACCAGACTTTTCCCACCCGATGCACTGTGTTGCAGTGAAAAATGACTACTTTTACATAATTGGCATTTCCTCAGCAACCCAAAGTGCTATTTTCATGATTTTTTCAGTATTTGAAAAAAAAAGCTCTCAGCTTTAATCTGATACCAAAAACATAAAAATCCACCAATCCCTTTTTTTTAAAGGCAAATGTTTTAGGGTTGCAATTTTTTGGGGGTCACCCGGTACAGTGATAGCGTACTTGGAATGGGCCACAGGTTGGCCCTCTCTGGGACTAGAACAGGTTTCGGAGTTTGTATTTGTGAGAATAAAAGTTAAAAAGTGTCTATGGATTTGGCATCGGGGTGATGTAAATTCGCTGTAGGGTTTTGCCCTTCACCCTTCTCATAGTTTATAATCACTGTATACTCAGTGTTGTCCCAAGTGATTGTGAGAAAAATTTCACAAACCACTCAGGTGGGACTCGAACCCACGACCTCCTGTTTACATAGTGCAGACATCCCACCAAGCGACCACCGAGCTTGCCGGGGCCGGCTGGCTGGTTCGAATCTGATACAGCAGCAGGTACCGCAACCGAACTGTTCATAACAAGTCCACTGTCCATCTGAGCGCGTCGGCGAAGGGCAAAACCTAATATTGATTTACATCACCCGGACGCAAAAATTCCATCGTATGAAGTGCATTGTTCTTACTCTTGTTTTGGTCGCAATCACAAAGAGTATGCCCCAGCGGAGCGGGCCACGTCCAAGCAAGTATCCAAGCCAGGGAAGAAGGACGAGAACGACGGCTGCTGCAAGGCACAGGTAGAAATATGCTGACAGCTTCAAGTACGCTATGTTGGCTTGCCTAGAAATTTGAAATATAAAACTAGTTTAGCAAAAGTGAAATACACTGTCCTGGGCCCAATTTCTTGGCTCTGCTTACCGTTAGCGAAAAATCCCAGCTTACTGTAGCAGAAAAATTCTGTGCTTTCGGTAAGCGTATTTCAGGGGTTAGCGAGGAATTTTGGCATCTGCGCATGCGTACATCTCGTAACTAGAGGATTCTGTGCTTACAGGATTAGCACAGAATTTTTCTGATAGCGTGGTTACCACACAATAGTGATCATAAGCACGGAATTCCGTGGTTAGCAGAGCCATGAAATTGGGCTCTGATATGACATGTAACAAGACAAGATTAGTAAAGCTGGTACCAGGGCACACAAAATTCTATTCGATTGATTTTAGAATGGCTTTTTTACTGGAAGTTTTTTCATGCATTTGTCGTCACAGTGGGACTGGTTTTCAGCGCAGTCATGATGGTATTACGGGGTAATCCTATATGATAGCACTGCCAGTTCACAAGTAACAGTCAGTCAGTTAGTCAGTCACTAGTGAGCGAAAGGTACAAAACATCTGGTCTACATTTTAATGGGCTAGATTTTGCCCACTCACTGACGTTAACCCTAACCCTGCCAGACGCAACACAGTGCATCAGGTGGAAAAGTCGGGTGCACTTTGATGCGTTTATCTATCAACACCAGTGCATAAACGGCCGCTTCTGAGACAATGAGAGCTAATCCCATTTAACAATGCCACAGTTGTATCCTGCTACGTTTGGTGACCACAGACTCTGAGACAGTTTGGCCTTGAGACATTTGACCTGATGGATCTTGCTGCACTGGGCAGGCTTGTCATTTAGACAAGTGTCACATATATCCTGGAGGGTCAGTGTTAAGGGGTAATCCTATTCGATAGCACTGCCCGTCTCTCAAGTGCGTTATTTAGTCAGTGAGCCGGTCAAACTCTTGCTTGATTTTGAGATTGTGTGACGTTATCTTTACTCACTTTGATGGTTTGCAGCTGGTACGCTGACCATGTGACAAAGTCTGTAATCTTGTTGCGACTGGATAAATGGCTATAGCAATGACTACACATCCTAGAACCAAAACCTGTACACACAACAACAGAAAGTCCTAAAGTCAGATGAGCATTTCAGTGATTGCAATAGTATTTAAACGCAGATGTGATTGTTGTGTTGTGTGAAGAGGGATGCCCATTTCCCTCCATGCATAGGGAAGAAGATATTTTCAACTCAAAAACAAAATTATACTTGACTGCACCTACAATGTATATGAGACCTCAGTTTTTGCTTGGATTATGAACCTTAACGCTTAAAGGTAGGTTGGCCAATTTGAGTCCAATACAGCATGGCCTACTGCAAACAACGACTTTTTGAAATGTAACAAAATGTTAGTACTCATAAGATGGAATTTTTGCGTCGGGGTGCTGTAAATCAAATCAGGTTTTGCCCTTCACCCGAGTGATTTTTTTCCAACTTTCACTCAGGAGGTAGCACACCGAGTATACAGCGTTTATACGTCGGTGAAGGGCAAAACCTGATTTGAAAATGTTAGTACATGTACAATAACATTAAACAAAAATTGAATTAACCCTCCTAGTGGGAAGTCACTTATTCAGAGCAATATGTAATTTATTTACGTCATCTTTAATGAGGGTTAACTCCGATCAGTGCAAAGCACTGCTTTCCATGGAGGCCCTCAATATGAGAAATATGAAACCCATTATGTAGCACCTTGGGTTACAAGGTGCTGCGGCGCATATTGCAGCCACTGCCAGAAACACCGGGGCAAACCCCTTCTCTTAGCGATAAGTGTTACTGGGTTCTTTATCGTGCATTACACAACACACGGGACCTACGGCTTTACATCCTTGCTCAAGACCACCAGCACCATGTTCCCACGGTCAGGATTCGAACCCATGTACCACGGTTCACGAGTCGAACACCGTAACCATTGGACCACAGCACCCCTAAAACCTTTAAAACCTGCAGGTCAGTTTCAGGTGAAGGGATACGAGGTGTTAAAGTAACTTGTGTCACAGAGAATCACTCAGCAGCACTGTGGAGAACAGTGATGCGTGACCGAATCTGCCTGCTTGCCCTGCGCTTAACTACACAAAAGACTTGAGCAGTGATTTACGTTATCCATATTCCACAGAAGATTACCTCAAAGGAATTTTAAAGTGTGGGTGTTAACTCTAGGGGAAAAAGTGGTTTTGTAAAACCTGAAGCGCAGAAGACTGCAGGATGGTTATTAATCCTAACTCCCCAGGCATTTTTGCTAGGACGTAACCTCAATTCTGCAAAATCCTCCAACTGCCTCCTTGTAAAAAATAGCATACGCCCTCAATCCTGCAAATTCCTCCATTATTTCTTGAATATGGACCTTAGATGGGTGACCACTGCCTCAATCCTGCAAAATCCTCCAGCAATCACTGTCAATACGTTGAGGCAGAGCCAGTGACATCCTGGAGCAGTGCGGAGGATTTCAAGTATAAAATGTATGCACGGCTGAGCATAAACAACACAAGGTCTGACCCAAGACCTTGACACAGTGCGTCCTTCGAAATCAGCAACACACTTTTGCCATGTAGCCTCAATCCTGCAAAATCCTCCATTTTGCAAAGAGGATTTTGGAGGATTTGGGATTATTAGGGTAAATAGCAATACAGAAATTATAAGGCGTCACTCTCTGACCTGTAAGCAAGCGAGTAGACTCCCAACCCCTTCCGTCAGTGAGAAAGCAGCTTGTAGTGTGAGTAGCGTCAAGGCCTCGGAGATGAGGACTACCTCACCCAATGTGAAACTCTTGGGTAGGAAATACAGCAACCGCGTCAGGAAGAAATAGGCTGAAAATAACAGCCAACAAAATGGACAATGCGTTAAAAACAAGACCCAGGCAAGAAAGTCTTCACATGCATCTGGTCATACACACTTAACCTGGTTTAGCACATTTATGGGCGTTACGGGGTAATCCTATACAACAGCACTGCCCGACTCTCTCCACCAGTCTACAACCAGTCTAAGGCCGTATCCAAAACGGGCTTCCAGAGCTACGGCTACGTCTATTGTCAGCGCGTCCCCGCGTATTTTCAATGGGCGCAGACCTAGACCTAGCTCTAGACAGCTGATTCGGATGCAGCCTTAATCACAGGAGTCGGTCAGTCAGTCAGTCCGTCATTGAGATGGGTGCAAAAGGACACTAGTCTGGCACTCTAGGACCAGCAAAAAAGTAAATGGGGTAATCCTATACAATAGCACTGCCCGACTCTCTCCATTAGTCTACAACCAGTCTAAAACTTGTGACTTTTTTGTTTTGGAAATACAATTAGGAGGTGCAACAAACAAAAGCTGGTCTAATTAATTTGAACTTTCTGCACAATGAGGTACTCAACGATACAAATTGTGATAACGATAAAATGATTAAAAACAAGCTTTTTCCATCTTCAGGAGACCAAAGACCAAGTCTCTTGATGAGTCTCCTGTCAGAGCTTACAATATTTGAACTGTCTGAACTGAAGCTTCGAGTCAGAATTACACAAAGTCACAAAAGCAATTTGACTACATGGTGTTACCACAAAACATCTTCTACTCTGATGAAACAAACTTTCATGCTCCATTACTCCGATAAAAGTTGTGTAAAAAGGACCAACCTGTCACGGCCAAAGCGACAAGGGACAATAACTGGTGTTCTGACCACGATGACCACACAAGAAGTCCGAAGACGGGAATGACCCAAAGCTGGTGTGCAAAACGTTGCTTCGAAACACCAGAGAGTCTGAAATTCTTGACTGCACACAGAAGCACGGCCACTGGTACCACTGCACATAGGAAAAGGACTGCTGCCACATACTGGTTTACTTGCGGAGCGTCGACCCGCAGAAGTGCGGATGCCGTTACCATGGGGGTGAGAAGGTTGCCTAGCAATAGCCCGGAATTGCTGTGCGGTCTGTCAAGAGGGTTAAACGAGGGTTTTTCTTAAAACCAAAAACTGAAATGTCGGGGTTCCCACGGAAATCTTTAAATGGAATTCCAGGACCTTTCCAGGACTTTTCCAGGTCAAAATAAGGGCTTTCCATGACCAATTCTTACACAGTTTTTAATAGCATCTTTGGAGCATATTTACAATACACTGGCCAGTCATCACATTGAAACTATAGCACACAAGACCACTGAGTACCACAAAAGCATTTACAATTGAACTGGAAGACTGCCAAGTATTACGCAATATCACGCATGGGTTACTTGTGCAGGGTTCCAGGACTTTTCCCTGGACTTTTTTCTCGGAATATTGAATTTCCGTTACTTCTTGCAAAATAATTAAATGACATGAAGTTACGGCGTGAAGTAACGAACAACTACTTTATGAATGCTTCTCAAGAGTCAGTATTTGTGGCGTTTGACTTTTTAAAGTTTGGCCAATGTCTTTTGGTTCTTTCAAAAATGGGTTTTTTTGGCCAAAAATACTCCCAATCAAAAAACTGAAGTGGCCTAATATTTCAGCCTTAGCAAGGCCTTCGCCATTTGCCTCCGAAGAAAATGTCATACCACATTAAATGTTTGCTTTGTATATTCACAGAGCAAGGACCCAAGGAGTCAGAACTCTTGGGCGATTTACATTTTGACCATTAACATACCAATCCCTCGGGAATGTCTATAGCTACAGCACTGTGACCGCAAGCCTCGACCATTCAAAGCGTGAATGCCAGCGGCCTTTGAACACGATGATCGTCGCCGCCTTTTTAGTTGGTAACCAACAACCTCCCTATATGCTGCATAATAAGTCATGTCACATCACTGCTCTTTTTTGAAAAATATATTTTACGACAAGATAGGTTTTTACAACTGCGCAGTTGTTAGATGTGAGTTATGAACTCAAGTTAGCAATGTGCAGTTGTTGGTGCTTAAAAGCGTTATCTGTCCCTGTAATTTGGAGATAAATTGGATTTCTTTCAGATAAGGTTTCATGTATTTTCAGACATTTTAATTGGCAATATATCATTGATGAAATGTGTTTTTTTGGAAAATTTCACAAGTTTTCACACTAAAGGTACAGAGCATTTTGTTCTTCATGAAATGATTGTTTCAGTGATGTTGACCACATTGTGAGCCAGTATTAGCCAACTCCGAACAAACACTTCAAAATCATTCATTTTTAGCGATGTATGACAACTGTGCATGCGTATTTACCATGGTACTGTCTACGAAGCCATGCAAACTCCTTTTTTTGGCATTAGTGAGCGCGGATCTCTATTGTGTCGAGATTAGCGTAGTGAGCAACTGAGCAAGCTGGCGCCAGGTGCTTTCTATTGTAGCTTTCGAACGCGGCGACGATCATTTTATATTTGAAGTCTTGGAGTACGAACTCCTTGGGTCCTTGCTCTATGGTATATTTCAGGTCAATCCAGTCAGTGAGGAGTTTGAAGCGGTTAATTTCTTTTCAAAATTCCATGCTTTATATTTCCTAACACCACGAAAAGTAGTTTATGTTGTCATGGTTTTGTATAATAATTATTGTATATGTACCTATCATGGATAGAAATAAAGTCAAGTCGAGTAGAAAAATAATTCTGGCATTAAGTGGTTAAAGATCTTGGATGGTTTATTGTGAATTAATGTTAATTCTTCTCACCTGAAATGTATTTTTCTAAACAGTGGTACCTCCCGTTCTTTTGCCATCTCTTGGATAAGAAATCCTACCAAAAATACTGTGGAGGAAAATGTAAAAACGTATTAATCCTTTTACACTTATTTCTTAGGTTTTGGTATTTGATTTTATTATTACGATTGAATAATTGGAAGACGTTAAGTGCAGAAAAATATATGCAAAACAAAATCAGGCCAACTTTACTCACTCTTTACTTTTGCTGACAAAATTCTAAAAAAAAAAAAGTTCATGAGGCAAAGACAAGGTCCTCTAATACTCCTCACCAGCCAAGTTTGAGGTATCAATTCAATTTTTTAACCCTAACCGCCCTGAATCCTTCAAAATCCTCTTTGCCAAAGTGAAGGAATTTGGAGGATTGAGGTAACATGGCAAAAGTGTGTTACTGATTTCGTATGATGTTAAGGTCTTGGGCCGGACCTTGTGTTGTTTTTGCTCAGCCATGCATAGATATAGGCCTGGATTACGCTTGAAATCCTCTGTACTGCTGCAGGATGTCACTGGCCAAGCCTCAACATATTGACAGTCACTGCTGCAGGATTTTGCAGAATTCAGGCAGTGGTCACCCCTCCACGGACCATATTCAAGAAATAATGGAGGAATTTGCAGGATTGAGGCTATATGCTATTTTTGCCATGAGGCCAATTGGAAGATTTTGCAAGATTGAGGCTACATGTACATCCTAGCAAAAAGGTCTAGGGAGTTAGGATTAAAGGAGACTTTTCTTTAACATTTTGCACCTGATCTGAGAGTAAAAAAAAAATCAATTTGAGGCTCAGAGACTAGTGTGTGTACATACATGTACATGTCCAACATTTTTTGGAAAGAGTGACCCTTGAGTAGTCTGGTGGCATGACTATTGAGAGAATGTGTAGAAATAGAGACTAGGCACCAGATGAGTTGATTGATGCAGTACTATAAAGGGGTGTTGGACTGGTCGTTTCATGTGCCAGTAATATCTTATGTTGCATGTTTTTACTATCTGAAGTTTTGGGAGTATATTGAGAGTCCCAAATGTTTGGATTAGGGTTAACCCATTACGCCCAGTACCGCCCCAAAGCACCCTGCCAGTTACTCCTTATACTGCCCCAAACTGCCCAAGAATTCGATGGTTGGTGGATTTATCAATTAGTCAATGTAGAACATAGTAATAAAAGTGCTCATGGACAAATTTCAAAATTGTTGGCTTCTAATTAATGACCATTTTAAATCAGACTTCATATACTGCTCAGTGCTTACAAAGGAGGCCAGAAAACACTGAAGTAAAACCAGTGCCGTAACTACGGGGGGAGGGGGCGGGCACGTCTCTCCCCCCCCCCCCCCCCCCAGCGGATGTTCGTGCCCCCCAGGTGCCCCCCCCCCCCCCCCCCAATTTGAAATCTTGAAATGAAAAAAAAAAAATTATACACCGCGCTGTCGAAATGAGCGCTTGGACTAGTGTTCATATCTAAAAGCAAGTAACGTATCAACCTGTATTATTACGTACGCTACGCCAAGTATTTACACTTTTTTCATGCCAAAACTGTTGGGCAAACGCCGCAATAATTACGCATAATTGCATAATGTCGAATGCATGCACTGTGAATTTCATGAACACATCAAGCTCGCCGTTAGTAGCATTTGTAGTTGCAAGTTTTGAAACAGTGAATGCCATACTACCGAGTGGGTAGGCCTATTCGCAAGAAATGTCTTCCCTGTGAGTATGTTTTTCATAAGTTTATAAGCTGATTTTTGTAGCTGTTCATAATTTCATTTATACATTCATTCTTGGGAGTGTGCTGTTTGAGGTATAGTTACTGGCTCTGCTCCAGGGATACTGAGAACAAAATCCACTGTTGCAGTCATACGAAACAAATATATAACGTTAGTTAGAGATAGCTTGAGTAACTCCGGCGCATATGATCATCAGGAATTCGACATATAACGCTGGAGTTTAAACTATAGGTTCAAAATGAGCCCAGGTTGGACGACGTCTTCATTGCATTACGACTGACCGTCGCGTCGGTACGCAACAGAGTCCAGCCTGGGCTAGCGGAGTCCCTAACTCCTTACAGGCATGAGAATATTCCTGTAAACAGGAATTCCTGGTTTTTTTGTTGCCCAAATGTCCACGTTTTTATTTATTTTGAGCCTATTTGGGGGCTTTTTTGCCCGATTTCACATCTTTTTTTCCCCTGTTTTTGCACAAGTTTCCTTTTTTTTTCACTGAAATTCATTCTCATGCCTGCCCTAAAAACCGGACTCCACAAACATCTTTTCCGGAAAGCACAACAATAGAAAAATCCAGTTGTTTTAATTTTTATTGGTAAGATTTGGTAACAACGGGAGCGTGACTCCCTGTGATTTGTGTTTCAGTAACAGCTATAGCATTTACGTCCATATATAGGCACAATTGCAGAAACCCCCGCCACTCAATCTATCCACCTCGTAGCCGGCTACGGAGTCACGGTTGATTGCCCTCAATAAACCTTCTCAGCGCTACTTGTATGCACTATGTGTCATGCTCCACTGCACTCCCACTCCGTATCCGCCAACAGGGTAGTTGGTTTGGACTTAGAATTTTTTCAGCAACTCCCATTCCTTTTGTGTTGCTTCGTTCTCAAGCATATTCAAGGGGACTCCCACTCCGTAGCCTCGTAGCCGGCAACAGGGTGGTTGGTTTGGACTTACAATTTTTTTCAGCAACTCCCATTCCTTTTGTGTTGCTTCGTTCTCAAATAATGGACCCCCACTCAGTATCCGCGTAGCTGGCATGGACTTGAATTGTTTCTTTTCCAGTGATTCCAACCGCCAGAGATTTTAGGGGTGTATTTCCGAGTGGCGGGGTATTCTGCAATTACTCCCATATATATGCAGGCAGACCTTTATCAGTCCAAAAACGAAAAAGGCAAGCCGCAGTTTAATTACTGTCAGTAACCCCTTGAAAGAATGTGTGCACCCCCAGGTACCCCCCCCCCTAGATGTTTCACCCAAGTTACGCCCCTGAGTAAAACACCAAAAACAATCAGCGGGAATTTCTCATTCTCTCTATCTAGTACCTGTGGTCAGCATTGCTCCAATTAATTCGTCCGCTTCGGAGAGCGCAATGGTCAGCACCCCAGCCGCAGTCACCACACTCTCCAGCCACTGGGGAGACAGGACCTCGGACTTCTTCACACTGAACATGTTGTCAATCTCTGCGAATAATGAAACAATCCGACTAATAAAATAGTGCTCTTGGCACAGATATGAAAAACACTCAAACTTTTAAAATGCATGAGACCCTTTCGACCAGATTTGAGTACAGTGTTGGTTGAAAAGTTCTGAGCCTTACCTTAGCCCTCAGAATGAGAGAACCCTGGCGTAGTCACAATTCATTTGGTAAAGATTCCCATATCTGGCCATCACTAATTTTTCCCTTCAGTGACCTATAACTCATGATAAGCCATCAGAAACTGCGGAAAGAATTGCGTATTGGGCCACTATTTACCTGCTGCCAAACGCATCAATTTTCACCTCACCTTGTACTTTCACCCAAGACGAATCCAAGAAGCTCTGGCAATGCGAACAAAATTTCAGAAAAAAAATGTGTTTTTAAAGCACATTTTGGAAGCACACGTCGTGCAGAACTAATGGAGGCAACCGGTCACATTGTTCGAAGAGTCTGGAAGACAGCAATACCTTATACGCATGACATCGCCAACCATGACAACGCATGAGCCGGCCAATGACAGTGCAATACGTCATTATGAATATTTAATTTCTCATGACCAGTGATGACTATTTAGTTTATTCCAATGCATACTTTAAATACGTCCAAAGATTGATCATTATATAAACAAGCAATCGTGTGCTACGTAGCAAGTAGCTAGCCCCACTTGTGTGGCCTCAGTATTGCTGCGCTGTACGTTCGGCCACACGTCTGGTTTCCCAACCTACTGAGGAGTTTAGTCCAAACACTGGCGCACCTTTTTTTGGCATTTTTTTTGGCATTTTTTTTGTTACATACCACTGCATACAGTTGTATTCTATGATGTCTTATCTTTTGCCCTCTGGGTAGATAAGGTAATCTTTCTTCAATTTTAAGAGAACTTTAGACATCTTTCTGGAGTCAGGGGTGTGAGTAACCACTGATAAAAATAGCTGAAAACAGCTGGAAAAGGTTTAAAAAAGCTGAACTTTGGAAATCTCCTATACTTTTGTACACAGCAAGTAGGGAAAAAAGCTGAAATCCCAAACAAAAAAAGCTGAAATCAGCTTTAAAGCTGAGATTTCACACCCCTGTGGAGTCCTGATGTGCAAGTTTCTCAACTCCTCAGTAAGATTGGGAAACCAGACGTGTGGCCTAACGTACAGCGTAGCTGGAGTTACCCAGCCCTGAGTTTTATCATTGGGTTGTCTATAAGGGCTGGAGCGAATTTTTCTCGTAACTTGTAGTATTTGCAAAAAAATTTGGAAAATGTTCAATTTTGTCCCCGTTACACACTAATTGCAACTGCAACTCACCCCAAACTTGCCTGGAATAACCATTACACAGGTCCTTGAAGTAAAAAACGATCCACGATGAAGATTCAGCCTACAATTGCAGTGAAAACAGGAGGAATAACCGCTAACTTGACAACCTTGCTGGATTGGCCAGGACCGCAATTGGTTTGTGCACAAAAAAAATTGTGTACAATGAATGGCGGTCGATTAACAGGCACAGAGAGCGATCGCTGTCAACTACTCGTTTTGCCGGCTGCGCTGGCTGTTGGCGCATGACGTCACGCAGAAGCGTAACACCCGATGACTGTTTCATGCACTATTGGTTGCGGTTCCAGTACCAAAGCTGTGATGCGAGTGGTAAACCTCATATTAGTGCATGAAACAGTCATCGGGTGTTACGCTTCCACGTGACGTCATGCGCCAACAGCCAGCGCAGCCGGCAAAAACGAGTAGTTGACAGCGATCGCTCTCTGTGCCTGTTAATCGACCGCCATTCATTGTACACAATTTTTCTTGTGCACAAACCAATTGCGGTCCTGGCCAATCCAGCAAGGTTGTCAAGTTAGCGGTTATTCCTCCTGTTTTCACTGCAATTGTAGGCTGAATCTTCATCGTGAATCGTTTTTTACTCCAAGGACCTGTGTAATGGTTATTCCAGGCAAGTTTGGGGTGAGTTGCAGTTGCAATTAGTGTGTAACGGGGACAAAATTGAACATTTTCCAAAAATTTTTGCAAATACTACAAGTTACGAGAAAAATTCGCTCCAGCCCTTATAGACAACCCAATGATAAAACTCAGGGCTGGGTAACTCCAGCTACGTACAGCGCAGCAATACAGAGGCCACACAAGTGGGGCTAGCAAGTATCGGGAAAAGTGTTGTGTTTCAAACGAGAGTCAGAGGTTCGAATCTCGATGAAGTAAGTGAGTGATTAATATAAATAGGAGTTGGACCATGGGTTTATAGCTCCATGCTAGAATTAAGTAGTCCAGCCCATTCGAACCTGCTGCTCCGAGTCCAAATGCATGAAATTTGCAAAAGAAGCGCCCAATCCAAAACAGCGCCCTCAATAGTTGGCACGGAGAAACGCAAAATCACTTGCACAAAAACAGAACGAAAAGACATGCCAAAGGGCTTCAAGCTTTGAAAAGCAACATAGAAATCCAGCGAAATTGGACCAGGGGTGTCTGTAACTACATGCAGTTATCAATATATCAAAATTGGTTGTCTAACGAGATCTGAGACAACCAAGAAAGATTTTTAACATGAACTTCACTTACGAAGCCGTTCGCTACATCACAGTGCTATATGGTCGGGTTCCTTGTGTTCAAAAACAGCTAGTAGTAGTACACAGTACCATCTGCCCAACTTCGACCCCATGGTGTCGAGCAGTACGCGCCTATCACTACCTGCTCTATTGGAAACACGGTTGGAAATAAAGTAAGCACTGGGGACGAAGTTGCCATCTGCCTGACTAATTTAAAAATCATTCGGCACGTGCGCGCGTCTCTCTTATTGCAGACCAGTAAGTAAGTTTCCATGGACCCCAATGATAAATGCCCTCACTTCAGAAATTCGGGAAAAATACGCACAACTCTCCAAGGTGTTCGAGACGTCCATCAAATTAAAGCTTATTTCATCATCTTTCATTTTCGGTTCAATTTTCTGGGGGTTAACGGATGACTTTCGGGAGAAAATTCCATCCAAAGATGATCACCCCTAAAAGCAATCCTGAAGCCCTTCCCCACTTTGAAAATGGACGCCTACGCTACAGTGCAAAATAGAGCCATTTCAGGGCCCAATCATCCATATTTTACGGAAATACCGACAAGCTCACAGTCCTCTGCACGGCTTCCACCCATATTTTGTACAAACCCTCAAGTTCATGGCCCACAATATTCTAAAATACCGAAGAATTTGAGGGCATGCAAATCGTGATTTGGCCAGCGTTGGCAATTTCTGACCGATTTACTGGTCTGCACCCCTCTCTATCTTATCTGATGACAATGGACAAGGGTGACCAGACATCGCCGGCTGATCGGTATTTTCTTCTTTCAAAACGTGTCTCGACAACTGGCTAACCCGTGTGACCCAATGCTTGACCCCGATCGCTGCACTTTACGAAATGTAGCCACAGTAGTGACCAATCAATCATCCATATGGACCAATATTACCAGTGGCGTAAATCTGTGCCGGCGAGTTGGGGGGGGGGATGGGGAATGCAAAATCCAAAAATTGCCCGGCCGTGGAAATTCGAAGGGGGGGGGGGGGCCGGGGCGGACACCTCATTACACTAGGGGCGCTCTTCAGGATTATACATGTAGATGTATCATATCAATATGTATACTCGCCCTCACATCAAAACGGCGCATTTTAAAAGCTTTTGTACTTCGTTTCTCCACTTTTCAGTGCTATTGAATACATTTTTGTTGTTGGGATGTTCGAAAAATGCCTCGAAATCCGCATTTTTTTTTCTTCTCATCGCGAAAAAGTGTGTGTGTGGGTGTGTGTGTGTGGGGGGGGGGGGTGATTGAATAGCCCATCCCCCTGGTCAAAAAGTGTAAGGGGAAATATACCCCCATCCCCCCCCGGGATTTACGCCCCTGAATATTACTAGTGCACCGCCGTTTTCCCACAGTGAACGTATGCGAGATTTGACCTCAGTGAGGTCATGTTGTGCATCTCTCTATGACCGATGACATCATACGCATAAGGTCAATACAGTGTGTACATTTGTGTGCACGGATATTAAAAACACACACACAAAGAAACAAACAAACCACCAACAAACAAAAAGAGGTTCAAACAAACAAAAGGTTCTCTTACTTGACTAGAGCATCTCTGTGGGGCTACGGTCTTAGATCCATGGAGGAATCCCAGGGGTTCTTTTAGAGCATCCTGGCCCACACGAGGGTTGTCCATTTTCGATAATTTAGTATTCAATGAATTTAATAGTCAAAACTACGTTTGACCAAATATTGGGATATTTGAAAACTATAGTAGCTGTAATTACATACCCTACCGGTAGTTTACACATAGAGCGAGCTGATCGATACGGAGTATTTTGCACTGATTATTTTATGTCTGTTAAAAGGGCTTTAACCTGCTAAAAGGATGTGAACAATGAACCGCCGTCGACAAAAAAAGTGGCACCTGACAAAGTGCCGCAAATTTACGAAAAAATAACATCACAGTCGTGTGTGAACGTACTTATTTTTTTAAATTTTTTTTTTTAATATTTGGTTGGTGATTGAATATCCGAGTATTCAGTATATTTGGGACTGCCCTACTGCACTGATTGCATAGGGTTCTGCATCTGGGGTCGGAGGGGGTTCTCAGGACATCCAGACCCGCTCTGCACTGAACATCCTGGGGGTCTCTTACCCCAGCCCATACCAAGTGGGGATCTGCATCCTAGCCCACACTGCACTGATTGCATAAGGGTTCTATTAGAGCATCCCAGGGGGTTCTCACCGAGCATCCCAGCAACATTGCACTTATTGGATTGGGGTCTCTTAAAGCACCCCAGATCCTCTCAAAGCACCAAGCCACTTACTGCACTGATTGTGTAGTAGTTCTCTTAGAGCACCTCAACGGTTATCTTAGGGCACCTAAACGGTTCTCTTCTTAGAGCATCCCAGCCCATACAATAGATCAACCCCCATGCAATCAGAGCGCTAGCTGTGTGGCTGCAGGATGCTCTAAGAGTAAGAGAACCCCTATGCAATTAGGGGAGTGTGAGACGGGATACTTAAGAACCATTGGGATGCTCTAAGAGAACTTGAGCCTAGGATGCTCTTGGATTTTTACAAATAATGAAATTATTACTTTACTGATTTCACATATTGTGCAGTTTTTATTTCTATTCGGAAATAAAATGGTACTTTGATATGTAAAACCACATTGATTGAATCTTAACAATCATTTCTTTTAACATTAAAGTATTCATGGGCACATTAATGTATCCATTAAACTAGTTTCTATTTTGTCCAAAAAACGGAGCACGTGCTAGTCTTGCTTCATAACATTCGATCATTGACTTCTTCTTTTTTCCGTAATAAATCAATTTGCAATCTTTTCCACTTCTATTTTTTTTTTATTTCAGTAAAAAACATTTAAGATTTAGCTTACCTACACGAGACAAACCTAACTTTCGAATATGTCATTATTTGTATTTTTTAATTTCAAATAAAGCAAAAGAAAAGAAAAGATAAGTTGCTGCTGCTATATATCTTGAATAGAATTTAAAACTAACATTGCTCTAATAAAACAGCTTTATAAATGTAAGGATAAGCGAGAGCTAAATACTACACTTCTAAGTAGTAACAACTAACTCATAATCATAGAAATGTCAATCTCTGTCTCAAAATATTTCAGAATTTTGCATTCATAAATGTATAAACATGATACGCAAAAATTTAAAAGTAACTAAAGAATGTCTTTTAAGAGTTGAGTTAACCAAACTACTGTTGCAAGATATAGTCTTATACTTCCAGTTATCCTAGATCAGCGTTTTGTAATTTCTCGAGTGAATACACTGCAACTTTGTGTGTGTATCTACGTGTGTAAAGTTGGGAAAAGGTTGCACATACGCCATGTGGAGTGGCTATGTATTTGGGGGTAGGTTCTGTGAAGCGCCACATTACTTTCAAATCAATATTATCCCTTTATTTTTCGTTCTTGTCGACCAACCCTTTTTAGAAATCCACTTACACAATAATTTGTACGTTGTATCCAGTTTTGTGGCCCCTGTACTTACAAGTCTTTGAATTTGTATTTATGAGACATTTTGGATGAAAATAAACTTCGCTCTATTTTGAAACGGAATGGAGGGGTCATTTTTTTTCTCAAAATGACAGGGCTTCTTTTAAGGAAGCTTTTGGGGTACAGGGGTGTACAATGGACACTGAGACATTTTTTTTGCTGGAAATTGGAGATAAAAATGGAGAGGTAGACACACCTGTATGGTGTCAATAAGAAAGTGAAAGAGGGGAACTAATATTCAATTTGATGTATATCTTGAGCAATTTGTATTTTCCCCGATTTTTTTAAGTGGGGTTATTTATCCTTGGTGCCTATTGGAATTTATTCACTGCATTCTGAAGCGGCAGTCCGATTCGTCCAATCTAAATCACTGTGGTAACGACACAGATAATGAGCAAGCAGAGAGTGTCATACCCGACATTGACCAGGTAGGTGGACCAGCCTTTGCCCTCGAAGGCATTGTGGGGAATTTGAAGCAGGGCGCCCGCTGCCGACACGCGCAGGGCAAAGTGGACGGCCTCCTCGACGGTCACCACTCCAAAGAAGGGCCTGGCCGAAAAAGAAAAATAATAGAACGAAAGCTTGAAAAGGATCGCCTAAACAAGACTCGACCAATATAGCTCCATGATTCGACAGGTTCAGACTTCCCGCGAATGTGAACTATGCGAGGCCAATTCGACGCCACAAAACACTTCGCTGTGATTTCGCCGCCATGTGTTCGACGTTTGCGAAAAACTGCACAATGTGTGACACCTTTACTATGTAAGAAAGGAACATTTTTTATAATGTCTTTGGTATAGCGTTGGTTGGTTATTTTGTATTTTGAAAAAATCTCATGATACGTTTGGAAATATTAATAACTATTCTTTTCTTTTTTTTGGAACGTTGACCTTCCGTAGTTTGCAAACCCGTGATTGGTAAAAAGTGCCAACCCAAGGTTTACATTCACATTGCATTGACGTTTACATACGTGCCTTTGGAATGCTCCTTGGGTGTCCGCGGCCAGACTTTTTACGTGCGTAAACAACGAAATCCAGTTAAGGGGAAAAAAAACTCCGTTTCTCAAAATGTGTGGCAGACTCTGAGCCTAACCTTCAACAGGTTTTTTTTTGTTATGCACCCTTTACAATACCTAAGTTTGCCGAGTCATTTTCTTGCACCAAATGGAAAAAAAAACCAAGAATGCACAAAACGCAAATGCTCCTTAGTCTTTAAGTATAGGTTTTCCCGGCTATTATATAAAACATGTTTCATTCATTAATTCACCTACTAATTTCGTTCGAGAAGACTTTCACACGCTTTTAATAAAACCAATTTAGTCATTTACCATTCAATTTCAAAGTTTGGTCACTTTTTTTATAGTCACCGGGTCGAGCACATTTACAGATCATTACAGATCAAATTCGTCTAAGCTGTTGCCGAATGGTTCAGAGATCGAATACGTCTCATATAATTCACTTAGATGAATTTGATTTCTGAATGACAAGGTTTGGTGTACAGACGAGACGAAATCGACTACTCTGGGACGAAAACGTGTGCTCATTGTTTGAATTTGCTGGAACTGAATTTGAAATTGTCTGACAAAAGACGAAATTAAACATTGGAAGTGCACTAAATCGATGTTGCTGGACGAATTTGAATGTAAGAACCGGTGAATTCGAATGATAACCGTTTTGAAATAGCCGGGAAAACCTATATTAACATCGTATCATTTTTCATCTCAACTGCTCAATTTTAATATGAGAAAATTAAAACTCGATAGCATAAAAGACGTGAAGTTCGTCAGGTAATCGTTCGGTCGATATTCATAATGATAACAATAATAATAGCAGGCTCGTATTTATCATAGCGCTTTTATCTAAGATCAAAGCGCTTTACAATATTATTACCCCTGATCATTGGGCCAATGAAACATTCCAAATACAACCTCAGCTCCCTGGGCGCAATTCGGCGCAAGGCAGCTAGAATCAATCACAATAACCATCTCTGCCCTCACAGGTACCCATTCACTCCTGGGTGGAGAGAAGCAATGAGTGACAAAGGCACCTTGCCCAGGCGCACACGCACCAAACCCCAGACTGGAATCGAAGCCACAACCTGCAGAATTACCCGCAGACCATGAGTTTAATGGCCCAGACCACGAGGCCACGGCACTCAACAATATTATTTTTAACTAGCAAGGGGAGGAACATATGGAGCTAGCTCTGTATCAATTAAACCATTGTTATGACGTCACACTATTGTTAAAAGTGTGGATTCGGATCTACGAATCTCTTACACTGATCATACAAAGTGTGGATTCAGAACGACGAATCTTTAGTAAAGTGTGGATTCGGAATTACGAATCCACACTTTGAACACGTCGGACAATTGTTCTCCATAATGAGCCTGAATAGGACCGTCTGCGTGAAAATTTGTTTTCCGAAAATTACCAACGCATCTTCACTGTCACATTCGCCGCCGTCACTGCAAAAACTACTTTTAGTCAGAAAGAAATCGTCGTCTGAAATATCCATTTTGTCGTAAGGAGCCTATATACACACAAAATGGCTTGGTTGTATGGGTGTGGCGATACACATGCTAAACACGCCATGGAAAAATGTTGCAACCTGACGCCACTTCCGCGCTTGTGTTCGAAGTCTATGGAGAGTCATTTCAAGTATTTCCTAACAAAATTTGAAACATTTCTCAGTCCCAGATTCATGTCTTATCATCATTTTTGCAACGAATGACCTTCATTGAGATGATATATGAAGAAAAAAGTGGCGTCAGGTTGCAACATTCTTCCCAATACTTCTGTTGACGCAATGGTTTAAGTCGAAGAATACACTCGCAAGTGTGGATTCTTAATTTACGGATTCACTCGGCGATTCGCGCCTCGTGAATTCTTAAATTACGAATCCACACTTTCTCGTGTATTCTCCTTAACTGAACGAAAAAAACTCATACCTGAGTGTGGAAGACATGAAAGCCGACAGGGCGAACATAGCCAGCGCGGCTAGAATGAACGGAGTGCTGTCCGTGTCCTTGAAGTCCTCGTATTTCTTGCCAAGTCCTCGCATCCATGGCCCACTGAGGACGTTGAACCACACCGCCCCCAAGGCTTGGGTGGCGATGGTACCGACTATAACTGAAGCTATGGTCATGCTGGATAGTCTCCTAAATTTAAGAGTGGGAGTATAATAATTACAATCACTTTATAGTTATCTATCAGTGTCATCGAGTCCCCCTCCCTGATATTTAAGTATGGGCCAACTAGACTTATAAGTGGTATTGTGCGGTAAACTAATACTCAACTTTTTTCTCTCCTAACGAATTTTGCTTCAATTGATATGTTTCATGTTAATTAAAAAACTACGTTTTTCGATTTTCGACGCCTGCAACCCTCTAGGAAAAGCTTCTTTTTTGGGGGGGGTGCTTTTGCGCTTCCAAGGGACACATAGATGATCCTCCTGAAATGTTGTCGGGCCGCAATAACTCGGATTTGTTTCGCTCGATGTCTGATGCAAACTGAACAACATTTTGTTCAAGTTTACATTTGAAAATGGCACTCTATCGCTGGAGAGTGTGTTGACTATGGGTGTAGGCCTTCTCTGGTCGAATTGACGCAATATTGAATGTCTGAACTGGAATTTTTGCTTTATGTAAATAACTGTAATTATGTCAGAGCAGTAATTTATTGGTCCCAGCTTTGCAGTACGTGTGATTGACACCTCTGCCGTCAATGCCTATGTTTCCTAGACCGTAGGCCTACATGGAAACAATGTGGGCCAACGTGGAAAATCTGGTAAGAGAGTAAATCCTATATTCTGATCTCGGCACGTTTTATCCATCTTTGGAGCGATAAGTAAATTGAAGCTGGAGTACGGGCCTACATTTTTTTAGACTGAACAGAACAGGCGTGACATGAACATAGACACTTACTCGAGTTTCAGCAATCATGCACGCATATAGCGCCTCCAAGTGTCGGATGGTTTCCTCCCCCCCCCCCCTCCTCACTTCATTTACCAGGCCCCTCGGTTCGGTGCACGCAATTAGTGCAGAGAGAGGCTTTCGAGTACCTCAAAGCTGCTACTGCATCAGCATACCCTATGTCATGTCTATGGTTGGGGAGGCTAATGCCCTACCACATTCCGATGGCTTATACTTTATAGTTTATTAATTTACTAACAATGGAAGCAAAAGAAGCTTTACTCATTGCCTATCCCTGCAATGCAAAAGCATTGCCCCTACAACCGCTTTCTGACGCGTAAGGTTCTTAAGCCAGGGCCTTTTCGATGCCGAGTATTTATAGGGCCTATATAAACGCGCATGACATTATATAGCAGACACTGTACAACTGCCTACACCAACACCCGTTCACAGGGCCTCACCGTCTCTCCCCCCCCCCCCTTCAACCTTAAACCAAACCCAACGCTTGAATAAGTAAGTAAACATGTCCTTAAACCAGAAAATGTCCACATGTAAACCTACCTTACACTTTGCAGGTCTTACGAAGTATAGGTGCTAGGGATGAGTTCGGCAGGCGAACGATCGGCAGATCCACTGGTGGTAGGTCTGGAGTGCACGCTGGTCCGTGGGTTTGGCCTACATCTATGGCCAACACAGGCAACAGCGTGCTTATAACTTTAAGCGCAGTGTATAGGTCAAACTATTTTGGGAACCATACCTCCGAATAAAGAGATTATTTACAGTGGGGAATTTCAATTCATAAAAGCAGCGGCGGTGCTTTGTGTGCAAGGCCCAGGGCACGCTGAACTTTGCTGTCAGTGCCAGCTAGTCTGGCTATACGAGTCCTTTTTATCGTCATTTGACCCCGTTTCATAGTGGGTTAGTTTGTGAATCTCACGATGACTCGAGATTATGTATACAAGGATTCACAAACCAGATTCGTAATTCGCTCCCCTTACCGACATTCAGCAGAAAATCCCGCGCTTACGGTTGGTAAGCTCATGGGTAAGCAAAGGATTTTGGCTCGTGAGAATGCATTCTGCTTGAAAGAATTCTGTGCTAAAAAACTTTCCTTTTTTGCCAGCACTTTAAAGTTTGAGCACATAAATATGGTGACCGTAAGTGCAGAACGTATATTAAGCATAGAAGATGGAGCTGTTATCATGATGACCACTCAGGCATTGTGACAGATAGTGATAAATAGGATATGGCTGCATGCAGAAATTATGTTCATAATAGATACACGCTATCATAATAAAAGTAGGTTATTCCAATATACACGTCCTCCTTTTAGAGCCGAACTGTTTCTGTTGTGGGGCCATCGCTGAGTTTTTCTCTTTTTTTGTCTCAAATGCATTTTTGCCGGGCCCTATAAAGGGCAGCCCATTGACATCGCCAGACGCCATGTTGGAATTATAGGACCATGAACAGGTCTATATCAGCATCTGAAGGCACGCCCCAGGCAGGGCATGCCCTCACTCTGCCCCCCCCCCCCCCCTCAGGTGACCGTTTGACAGAATTTTTCGGGGAAAAAATGAGTTTGACAGAAAATTTATAACGATTTTTTAGCAGATTTCTAGCAGAATTCCTTAAAATGGGTGATTTGACATAAAATTATGGCAGATTTGAAAAATGTAGCTGATAGTTTTGAAAAAGCTTCAATGTGAGGTTCCCTGACGTGTATTAGCACACAGTAAGTACCTTTGACCATTGCAAGCCAGGCTAGACACGTGCAGTTTTTTTTTATTCTTTAAAAAGTTGTTAAGAAGTCACTTTTGCCGGGGGGGGGGGGGGGGGGCAGTGGCGGTGGCGGGGGGGGGGGGGGAGGTACACATGGAAGCTGTCTGCAACCGCTCATCCCAAAATCATTAATTTTGCCTCCCCCAATGTTTGATCCTCAGAAAGAAAAACGAACACAGCATACAACGCTTTCTTAAGAATTGCAAGCCATAGTAAGGTTTGACGCTTTGGAAGAATCCTTGGTTTCACTTACAGAAATAAACATTAGTAATATTTCGTTGTAAGACACCAATGACAACATTTCTGAAATGAACACACGAAAACAACCAACTCGCATATTTTTTTTCTAAAAAGTACTGTATTAAAAAGATGACATACCCAAATGAGTTGTCCTCATTGATATAACGATGATGATGATGACAATGATTCATAATAATGATAATAATAATGATAGTAATTTTGTAATAACGATATTCTTGGCACCACGTATATTTACAAAAGAATATTCACGAGTAAGTCTGTAACAGCAGAGTTAGGTCACGTGGCTTCCCGTCATGCATTGCCAGAACTCCAACTCAATGTACCGAAAGTAAAGATTTTTAAGACCATTTTTTCCCTCACAGAGCGTGGTGGTCGATTTTTTTTTTACATCTTAGACCGTAGACTTTGTATTTCTGGTTATGAGGGGGTAAGAAAAGGGTGCAAGAAAATGTTTGGACAATAATAAGAAAGAAAAAAATACAACAAAAAAATGACATGGAACAGTGCGTTCCCTGACTGCTGACTATTATTATTACATGGTCGACAAGTCCAGGCACCACTCTGTTTTAGTCAGACACGAATATTTCACTAAAACGGTGAACAAACTGTTTCATTTCCCTCTGCGACAACAAATATGTAAAATATTTTACACCAGAATTTTTAAGGGAATTCTTCTTATACGGTGCTTCTTTATTTACTTCTGTCTCGCCTGAAATTATTTCTTGGTTTTAAGTGTGTCTCGCAATGCATGACGGGATTTTTTTTAACAGTCCTCCACCTAACGGAAAACGTAAACATGAAATACCAGGTATCATAATATCAATAAAACTGAAAATAATGATTCACTTACAGATAATTATACTTCAAAATAATCGTAACACCGCCGCGAATGAAACACGCCTTTCGCATTGTCACACAGCTATTCATTCAATTGAATGAAATAAAAATTATCTATGCATGGATACAGAACAACGCGAGTCACGTGATGGACACAAGTTTCACTGGTACAATGCACTTACTTTGCATGTGTGGTGCATATATCATATAGACACAGGGCGTGCGGGAGCTTGTTTTGGGTTGCCAGCGATAAACTGCAAACACTTCTGAATATATTCAAACGTAAATTTCTCTGTAGTTATGATTCAATTTCTCGAAAGTTTTGTTTTAATTTAGTTGATGTCAAACATAAGGGTACACAGGGTGAGTCCAAAAAGCGGAACCCAAACCTCAAAAAAAAATATATTTCATATTAAGAAAATATGTAGCACCAAAAATAATAATGACTGGAAAGCCAATTTCTTAAAAAAAAAATACTTAAATTGCTCAATCCGTTCAAACTGTATCACCATTTAAACACAATAACCCTAAAACCTCTTCCGTCCAAAAATGCGATTTCAAGAATCGTCGTCACAATTGTCTTCAAACATCACCAGCGATTAAACCTCAGTTGAAAAGTAAAAAAAAAAATCAACAAAGTCCTTTTGAAGGCCCGTCTTTTGACAAATAAAGTGGATTTTATAAATCATATCGTTTGCCTAAGCAGGGTTGTTTTGTACTACAGTTGACAGTTGTTGAAGCAAGTATTCTGTGTCATTTTCTTTGTTGTTCCAAACAGTAAATTGCTTTTTTGACGAAACAGGTTTTAGGGTCAATGCGTTTAAATGGTGATATTCTTTGAAAGGATTGAGCAATTTCAGTAATTTTCATGTAAAAGTAGTTTTTTAAATTGGCTTTCCAGTCATTATATTTGGTGCTACATATTTTTTAAAAATGAAATATACTTTTGGGGGTTTGGGTTCCGCTTTTTTCTTTTTTCTTTTTACTCACCCTGTATATGGCTTACTGGCCTTTTCAAACAGCCACATTTTCTCAATGTGCCTATGTCTGTTAAAGTATTCTCTTAAACAGTAGGCCCTATTTCAAAACAAATATCGCGTTTTTAAATATAGGACTGTATGCTCGTACCACAAAACCTGCAAAAAGTTGCCGATGTTATGGTAGGAGAACCAAAATAAAGATATTCTTACTGATAATAGAGTATCCAAATAAAAACGTAAACAATTATGTTTGAATACCCTGGGAATATGCCAACGAAATTGAAGTTAAAAACAAGAACCATATACTGGAATAGGACCGACTATATAAAACATTGATTTTATATGTGCAACAAATTTCTTTTCATTTTATTTTTGTTCCTCCAAAATTTAGCTAAAAACAATTTTGTGACATGGTCCAAACCATGAACAGTAGACTGTAAGATGATTTTTTTGAAAATGCAAACTGTGTATAACTTCAACCAGCAAGATTATAAAATGAAGGCACATATATATCATACAAGTCCATTATATAAATATGTATGTACACTTGATATATGTACATATACATACATAGATATATATAGCAAAGAAAATAAGGAGTTAAGATTTTATACATTTTTGGTATATACATATAATTATGCTTATATACATATACGTGACATTCGACAACTATAGTAATGTAGTAAAAGCAAGGAGACTATTTCAGCCGGAACACCTACTGTACAGGGGGCAACATTAGTTTGATAAAAAAAAAACATTTCGCATAAATTTTGAGACTGCCTTCGCTGTACTCGACATTTGTTTAGAAAAAAAAAGTCACTCACGTTTTGTTTTAGCCCAGCATTCACATTATGGCCATACATATTTGCAACTTGTTTTGATATCAAAATTAAAGCAGATGAGGAAATCGCCTTTCAAGAGACCAAAGTGAAAGCTGATGATTTAAAATACGAAATCTCCGCCGTGTCGTGCAATTGATTCGACTCTTTCGATGTGGAAAGCAAGTCTTAATTATACATGAATATTGGTTAAACCGACTAAATCTGAATTAAAACATTGCAGTTCCCATATGGTAGCGAACGTGTGTTGGCATATTTTTGTTTATCCATAGATAGTTGACCTTACAAAAGAAAGCAAGGTACATCACTGTAAAAAAAAAAACAAGCGATCCGGTTCATTTTGGAAATAATTCTTCTCAAGAAAGGGCAAAACTAACATTCCGAAAAGTAAAAGAGAACGGTTAAAAATAAAACTATCACTAATTCTGCAACAGATAAAAATACAACATCCCGTTACAACCTTAAAATGGGTGACACAACAAACGCTGGTTTTAAAATAATAACAGTTATTTACACAGGGGCATAAAACAAGAATACACACAATTATAATCCACACATTCTGAAGCAAAACAAAAAGAAGTGCAGTTGTTACAACTACGCGTGTTCCAGCTAAAGAAATTAAATGTACGCATATTATTCTCAGTTTTTGCAGCTGACTTGTTAATACGCAAACGTGAGTTTGTTCCGTTGATACTAATGTTACCTTTCAAACCACTGGAGAAATCAAAAAGCGGCGAAATTAAGGGAGAGAAAAAAATACATTTACAAACGAGGAATGTGCTACTTTTTCCCCAGCGTATTTCACAGTTTATGTGGTTTATTTAGTCAGTCTTGTCTGTCCCGTAGTTTGTGCTGGTGTGTATGCGTATTTTGTCGGTGAAGTGTCGTATTCTCTCTTCGTTAGCAGTCTGTTATTATGCGTGTCGGTTCAGTCTGTCGGTCAGTCAGTTTGTCTGTATATGCGTCCGATTGTCTTCTCTGACAGGACCGTTTGGCATTTCTATCGCAAGTTCAGTTTTACAGTACTGACACGTCGACTGTTCGTTGTCGTAAGGTTGTCCGGCGTATTCGTTACATGTTATTAGAGTCAAAACAAACGTCTGCCAGCCCACCACACAAAAATGCCGTCCTTTTCGTTACATAAGAACAGTCATTGAAGAAAGACAATTCAGTCGTTATATAAAGCATACAAAACTGCACGTTTCCCTTTTGAGAAACTGTCGTAAAATGCTGAGCGATATTTCATACGCCTTTTCGACAACAACAAATCTGAAAAATTTTGTTCGGTTTTCTCCACCCGTAAAACGAATACACAATATCGGCATGTATACCAACACCCACAATCCACTGTACATTATCAACATCATTTTTTTTGTACAATACTTTTTTTTTTATATTATTGTTTAAAACATGTGCATAGGTTTGAACTTTTCTTTCAAGAGAACAAAGAATTTAAACAATGGAAGATGCAAATGCTATACAGCCTCTATATTAATAATTGAATGATGATTATTTCATAACAAGATCCAGAAATGTTTACATGCCAGTACAGGTTAAAGTTAATATCATTTTTAATTTCAAGTCTTTGGTTAGTAAAGAGAACGACTAATTGAAACGCGAAATTGAAATATCGAATAGAAGATAAGTGCGCCCTCTATAACTTGACGAAATTCCATCGGTTCAGTAACCACGTCAATGAAATTCGCTCACAGTATTCAGTCATTAAAAAGAAAGTTTTAAAAAGTGTGACAATTAAAATTCGTCTTTTTCTGTTATTCTTAGTTGCTGATCATAAAAACGGGCAAGTCTTCCGAAAAAAATATATGATTTTTTTTTAATAGTTTGGTTACAACGTTTATATTTCAAGAAACATTTCAAAAGTTGTCGAATATTATCATGAAATCTCCCGCCCAATTGTATACCATTACTCACGAGGGCTGTGCCGCGCTGTGAGGTAAACAGAAACAATGTGTTGGCAATAACAGTTGCCCACTCGTTTTGAAAAAATATTATTCCGTGTACTTCACGCGGTGCACAAAGGTAACGCATTGCAGAGTAGCGTAACGACGTATAGATGGTTTGCACTGCGTCCACATTTGAGGTGTGTCCTTTTGTTCAAAAGGGATATACGTATATGAGTAGACCCCGTGTGTATGCGCATTGGTAATGGATTGGATTAACAACAGAACACAACTCAAAGATGGCTGTTGAGTCAATCTCTAGTTGTCAGTAAATCCATAAAAATGTCGAAGGCAATGTGCGTGCGAAAACACTTGCAAATAATGGCCACGCAACAAGTTACACAAGTTCACTGAGCAGTGTAGTGAACGAACAATGAACACCTATCAAGAGAAACCCGTACAAATGGTAAATCATTGGTACAAAACCAGATGTTTTCTAGTTTTATCAGTTCATTGTAGACCTGCGCAACTCAACGGAAACCGTGTTACCAAAACGTCCACAAAGGAAGTAGCATAAAGTCAAATGGACCTCTTATACGACGCAAGTAGGGCGCCAGACTAGTCGGCAATATACCACGCATGCGCACAAGACACACAAGCATTGGGCGCGTTCGAGTAGCTTAACGTGCAAGTAAAATTTAAACGTAACTGTTATTGCGCGTAAGTAAAACGTACACGCGAGCGTTCAACTAGCCATCACGTGATACTCGTGTCTGCCCCGGTGTCAACCAACGCTGCCCCAGTTCGCGAGTGGGTCTCTGGTGGCAGCCGGGGTGTAATGGCGTAACCGGACGATTTCGTGGCTAGCTAGAAATAAGATGGCGGGAGCTTGAATACTTAGTCATTACTATGGAGAGATTTATGACACACATATTCGCACTTATTAACGATGTTCAATTGGATAGACATTTTTTTGATAATTCAGAGCATATCCGACATATCCAATTCCAGCAATTATTGATCTGGTTGCAATGATTAACCAGTGGCGCAGACGACAGTATGCGTGGTGTGTTTACATTTTTAAGTCCCGCTGCGCAACAAACTTTGACCTTAATTTTCCCAGAATGCTAGGCGAATACACCGCAGTGTTCGATTACCCTGGTTTCGTGGCTTCACCGAGTGTAAACCCCGTGTATACACCGGGAATTTACTCGAACGCACCCAGTATTTGCATCCAGCAAGGAATCACCAGTGGCCGCATTCCCGTGATTTGTCAGAAGGACCAAGTCACGTGTGTGACATTATCCAATACGTTTGTTCTTTAATGTGGTGCGATGGTTCACAGAGGGGTACGGTATCCTGACTTTTTGTTGTTGAAATAATGTTTAAAGCTATAGTCCATCATTTGCAGCCATCCGAAAAGTAACTGTCGTAATTATTGTTGAAAAACAAACTTGGATGAAAGATAGTAAGGGAACTAAACTCCCTGTGAAATTTTTCTTTCCGGAAGCTGTCATTTTGAAGTAATCAACGAAAGAAGGCATTTCCAACGGTGATTCTTAAGAAGCACCGTAGGAAAATTTAAATTAGTAGTTCGTTTTGTTATTCAGCGCAGCGCGCACAAGTATTGTACAGCTGAAGCTTAGCTGAAACTTCATCAGATTAGTTGCTCAGTATCCTTCATTAGATTTTGAACTCTTTTGTTGCTTCAAACGAACAAAATGCACAAATTACAAATGATGGACTGTAGCTTTAAGCCTATGTGTTATTTATGTCAGTGTTGCGCATGCGTCCAAGACAATAGATCGGTGTGCTGCCACCCAGAGGCCAATCTTACCTTAATAAGCATCCATCATGGATTCCATTATAATCGGGGAGAACGCTTTTAACCACACAATATTCAATTATTCTTTCCAAAAGAAAATAAACACGTTAAAAACCCATAACCCTACCAAAAATGTTTGATTTCTATTCATTTACAAGATGTCGTTATCACTGTCGTTACTTGGGCATTTTCTTCCCTAAGTTTACTGTGGACACTTCTTATCTTCAATGTGTCCTATGGATGAAGGGCACCTGAAGCAACTAGCAGTTGGCATTAGGGATTCTACTGTTGCTGACGTCAGGGCTACTATATGCCCGTGACCTTTCGACCTCCCGATCGTGATCCCGCCTTAAGGTGGACTCTTCGAAGGACGCCGAGGTTCCCTGCGCCGGGAAAGAGCGCAGTCGCAAGGACTTGTGTGGCTCGGCCGGTGACGACCCGGAGTCTGGAGTAACCTCCAGAACAAACGGGTTGCCCAAGCTATGCGGATATGGAGGCGGACTCTCCTCAACATTTTTCTGCAGCTGCAAAGTTTGCCTTCTCTGCAGCGGCTTTTCTTTTTGCTGTGGCTGCTGTTGAACCGGCTGTGGCTGCTGTTGCACCGGCTGTGGTTGCGGTTGAACCGGCTGTGGTTGCTGTTGTAGCTGTTGCTGCTGTTGTTGTTGCAGAAGCAAGAACTGTTGTTGCGACTGCAGAATCTGCTGTTTAGCGTTTTCAAGGAATGAGTTCAGGACCTGCGGGAGGTCCTCCAGGGTTGTCTGTAAGCGTTCTAGTTTTTGTTCCAGACTCGAAACCCTCTCGTCGATACCCGACCGCGTAGCATGCATGTCAGAAACCATCTCGAACATGATGTTCTGCGTCTGTTAGGAGAATAAAGAACAACACACGGAAAGGCAAGGAGTTAGTCAAAGTCGACACAACTTGGGCAGATCCCCCCAGCAGTGTTGTTTTAACGGGGTTCAATGAGCTTGCGCTCTACGGTCAAGAGCCGGTTTCAAAATGCCAGTGTGAATGATTGTTTCTGTAAGAACTGAACTCGACGGGGAATAGGCGAACTCTCCGCAGATCAAGTATCACGCTGGCAGAATGAAACTTCGCCTTTTCTATCCGGTAGAATCAACTTCAGATCGAGTCTGCAAACACGACAAGCGTATTTTTGTTTTCGCTTGGGCAAACAGTTTTTTTAACGGATCCAAACCATTGGACAATGGACACAATCTGAAGTTGCTCTCCCGAGTCTTGCAAAGCAGACAATCTTGATAAATAAATATAGTTCGAGCACAACTCTCTGGTGAGCCGTACTGCACTTTCAATGGCTCCTTGAAAAGTTGCGATCTTTTGAGTTCTGATTTGACCGCACGATATTTATATTTAAGTGCAGTCCATTAAAGAATAGTCCATGGGCCAGACCAGATGTTGGTACCACCTGAGGTGGCAAAACTTTGATGGACTTCATTTCTTTGCTTTTATAAAAATATATGATGGCCATTCGCAATGAGTAGCTTAAATCTTTTTGATGCAGTTACTCCTTTTAACGTAAACCCTATGGGTATCAAAGGGCGGGGCCAGAACACCCCCTAAAATGATACTTGTTATAATTACTTCCGAATGCTTCGGCTGATCGGCAAGAAATTCGGTGATCTCTCCAAAATTCTACCAGGGGTCAATTATGTAGGATGCCCATTGTTACCGTGGCAAACAGTTCGGCAATTACACAACTTTGTCATTTTTTTGGTGTTTAACCATGCATGAATATGTGCATTTTTATTTATAGAACCCAACGTTTTCTTTACCCAGGCCTATCATGTGCTTACTTGAGACAACAATTCATGACCATCCGATTAACCACAATGCATGCTGGGAATCAAATATGGCCGACTGAGAGGAATGGTGGTGCCATGACATCCAGAGACAGTTCTCCAGTAGTCAAGACAGAATGGGCCTTGCATAAATGGTGGAAATTGGATCTGTTACCACTGCCAATATACCCAAGTTTGTAGGTTGGGCGGGGTTATACCTTAGAAAATAGCAGGAACTCATTTTCGTGCATTCATCAGTTGCTGTGTATTTGATTGTGAGTTAATTGGAACTCACCATACCAAGGGAAAATAAAGCTTTTCTCTAAATCACCCTGATAATATTTTGGAAATTGTTATTCTAACAAACATTTTAAATAACAGAGTTGTATAATAACCATAGAGCTATATTAACTGAACTGGTTGATCAGCCGAATCGTTCAGGAGTAATTGCAATAAGTTTCATTTTGTGGGGGGTTGTGGCCCCGCCACCTGATACCCATAGGGTTATAACGTTAAAAGGGATCTGGACATTCAAGGGGTGATAACCAATAATAAGCTACCACACTGAAAAAGGCTATCATATCAAAATGTAAAATAGAGATGTACAGCAATAAAAAAAAAATTAAAAAAGCAGTTAGATTTTGCCACCTCGGGCGACACCAATTGGTGAGTTTTGGGTTACTGGCCCATGGACTTATACAGCTTTTGAAGAAATCTGCTCGATACTTGGGTGGAATCGTCAGTCTAACAATGAAAACGATTCCATCAACAAGCTTAAAATTGAAGTACAAAGTAAAACAATGGAACAGAAAAAGTATGAGCAGTCTAAATGCTAACAGTAGGCCTACTGAGAAATGACAACCCAAAACCTGGCGTCAGAGATGTGCAGGGTACTTCATTTGTATGACAAGGATGATTAAAGTCTTGTTAAATAAAACAAACTGAATACGATACACATGCATAAGAGATTGAATTTACTGTCGGTGCATGCAGAAAAAGGAGATTAAAAAGGGTTAATTGAAATCAACGCATTCATTAATACATGTTACGTCCAGAGATATCATAAATTACACTCAAAAACAACATCTGCGAAATTTTAATCATAAGAATTTTTTAGAATATGGTACAACGAGGACGAATTAGAAAGGACATCGAACACAGAGGTACAAACTGATTCAAAGACATTAAAACGAGTAGTTGAAGCTGAAAAATGGAGGCAGCCTAAAGTCTGATGAACTCAATGTGCATGCAAAAAGTGCCATGCAGATGTCACGTGCTCAGCATGATGTATGATGAGAACATTCAGTATTTGTCCATGCATGTAGATGTATAGGAGTTACTTGTAATGATTAATCTCCGTCACGCTTCAGTCATAATTCGTCTGGTTCCCAGACTTAAAGACAACGCCACATCGCTTAGATGCATCCATACCAAGGTGCAGTTCTGCCGATTATAAGTGACGCGCACTTCACGCCATATACGCGCGTGCAAACTAATTCGTGGCTATCGTGAGTAAGATCGTGGCTATCGTGAGTATAAGATCGTGGCTATCGTGAATTAGATCGAGGTTTTTCGTGATAGCATCACATATCATGAATTTATGCACCGAGTCCATAAGTAAATGACAGAGACGGAAGCGTGACAGCGGTCAAACGAAATTGCATTTGGAAATTTCTATTTTTGAATTGCCGATTGTTCATATCATGCGGAAGGTCTACCTTTCGCTCCTCACAATCGGTCTTAAATGGCCCAAGAAACCGAAATTCCCAATGGTAATGTGCAACTTGTTTTTCTCCAAACTTTTCCCTTTTTTTTAATTATAGATAATAACTTCCAAGGGATGATGTATGTTGAATCGAAAGTTGAAACCTCATTTAAACTGGCAAAAATAATCACCCCTTTGTTTCATAATGACTAACCAGTCGAATTGTTTTCGAGTGTTCTTTTCGTTAAACCTCTTTCGCTTGTGTTTATAAAACACCACACCCAGGATGGTACCAAAAGGCGTGAAACCTGAAATGAATTCATCCATTTCACCAGTGATCAGGTTACCAGACCTAAAAGTAAAACTACTTACGGTTTTCCTTCTGATAAATAAAATATTGGGACGCTATGGCACAGAATTCAGGTAGCCGGTTAAGATTGCCTTGACTTCGAAAGTTCAGGTTATCGGACGAAAACGGACACCCCATTATTCCTTCGTGATAAGTCGTACCTAGCATTAGTTCCGTTCCGAGCCTAGGTTATTGCTAAATATGGAGAATTACACCTAGGCGATAAATCTTGGTACTCGTTATAGGTGACATTTAGTGTGTGTTCGTTTGTATCGCCCGAATATATCTTATTGCAAGGTAACTAGAGGTATACCATTGCGTCAAGCCATCTACTTTTATAAAGGATTAGATCAAGTTTTCCAAAGTGGATGAAAACGAAACTTCACAATCAAATTTGTTTCAACGGGGGTATTTCTTTATTAAGTCGCGTTACATTTTCGAGAAAACGCTACACTTAAGAACTTACAAAAGACAAAGGAATTTCTTGTTATATCTTAAGGGATTAATTCATTATGAATTAAAGTCGTCACGACTGTACATTCTTTTGAAAAAAAAGTTTAACAAAGAGGGGACATTTCTATCTTTATTTACAATTCTTATAAGATGTTAGTAAAAAAAAAAAGGTCAGTGCGATAAAGAAAAAATAAAATAACCAACCGAACGAAAACCCGCGAAATCTTCTCTAAACACTCATGCAGACAACATGCGTCCACTTGTGGTGACGTCAGCGTCTTAAATGTGTATGCAATATTACTCGTGCTCAGTTTGGCTGGTGCTCGGTGAGATGGCTTATACGCTGTGCTACGGGCGTTTATCCGGGTACCCACCAAGAGCCATTTTCGGCGCCGACCATTGTTGGCGGTCGGCTTCGAGTGACGTTGGGCTGAAAATGTACGCAAAGTCAGATTTGGTAGTAGCCCCAAAATTGCATGTCTGTCACCTTTTTAGATGTTTAGTGGTACCTGTTCGATTCAGGGTCCGTTTCGATTGCAAATGCGCCCTCTTTCGGCTCATTGTGTCCTGCTGAGGAACTCTATCCTCCTTTTTCTGGGGTCCATCCCGACGGGGGACCAGGCGCATGAATACTGCATACACATGAAGGCCTCGCAGTCACCACGGCGGAGGAGGGGAATAAAGGACGAGCACGGAGGGTTGAAAAGTGGAGGGGTGATTTGATTACTGTACATGAATACCTACATGTATGTACAAGACCGGAGGTTTGGACGTGTACATGGCCATTTCTGCCCGGGAAGCGCGCACGAGTAATGGCTGCAGAAGAGGGCGGGAGCGTGATGAAAAAAAGTGGAGAAAAGAGTGTCCATCAAATGCACATGGGGGTTACAGAAAGAGAGATAGAGAGGGGGTAGCTATAAATAGAAAGAAGAAGAAGACTGAGAAAGCGAGGTGGGATGTACGGCGGACCAATATTCATTCATATCCGTGTGTTTCGGTTGATATCTAGCAAACAGTGAATATACACATAAGGTGAAATGGTGGCGAGTGTGTACGTGGGTTCCCATAGCATTTTTTTCTTTGTTTGGGGTTTTAAAAATGTGTGGGTGAAAGACCACCAGGAGCCTCAAGCCAGAGAGCAACATCGGGGTCAAAGGTCGCGGCGTTCTGACAGGAAGCAGATGCATTGTGGGATACATATGAAAAAAAGTTTTGGTGCTTTCATTCTAAACTTGCCCAAATAATTTTCATCACTTTTCAACAAGTTCTGGCATGTTTTTGTTTGAAGTGCGTGACGTGCATGCAGGTGTGTGATGAGTGACATGCAACAGAAAGTGTGACTGGGCTTCCCGCCAAAAAAAATCATGCAAGGTGGGGAAAAAAATTGGTTCGCAGCGGATGTGATTTGAAGAAAATGATGATAAAAAAAGCACGCAAGTACGTCCCAAAGTATGAAATTTTGATAGAAATGTCCAACCACCAAAAGAAGTGACATTTGTGACGGGGAAGAGCGATTGTGAGAACGAAGGTCCGAAAAAATTGCACTTTTATTGGGTGAACGTCATGGACAGCAAAGTTGAATAAATAAGTCAAGAGGAGTTGACTCGACTGTGCCATAATCCCCCTGGAGGGTCCAGCCTTTGATTGTGTTTGGGAATGGTCTACCCAGGTCATTATTCTGCAAGATTTGCGAGGCATTTTGTGGAAGCCGGTTGAGTTCACACCGCGCGTGATACGCTTTCATGTGAGCAAAAAGTGATTGGGTCCACACGCGTGAACTGTACTTTCGCCTTTACTAATCATTGTGTGGCAGTGCATGCAAATTGAGGAAATTGGGGTTTTGTTTTGGAGGGATGGGGCCTTTTTTTAAGATGGCAAGATTTTTTTCCAAAAAGGGTTAAGGACCTGATGGTGCTCCCTCTGCGCCCAGAGCTCGAAGTGGCCATTTACAACATCCAACACCAACTAAACCCAACGCCAAATACACAAACACACAAAAAACCCTACACCTCTACGACTACAAAATACGAAAGGGAAAACCAATACATTGTAGAGCAGGAGTTCCCAATATCCCAGTTAAAGCAGCTTTTACATGACGTCATGACATCCGCATGACGTCAAGAAAAGAGAAGCACGGCGTCATTCCATCGGGGTCCAACTATAGGAGTTGCGGTTCGAGAATGAATACTGGGATGACTTTCTCACGAGGAGCCGTCCCCCTGACGTGGATTTCGTCACAACAGTGTTGACGGCTAATTAGGTACACTGCTATTTGAGGTCATGTGTACTCAGCAACATAAGCACGTGACCTTTTCAATCACATGACCTTTAAGCAAACTGAGTGGCTCGTGGGGATAGAATGAAAATACCAAGCGCACATTTTGGTAATAGTAAAAACAAACAACGTTTTGAAGTGTCGCAGCCATTTTTTTTTTTTGACAAAGCAACAATTCTACGCATGAAAGAGCCGTCTGATATAACAGCGAAGCACTTCAATACAGATCTGAGTAATTACTCGGCAAGAAACTGGACACCAGGCTAAACAAATCCGCCATCTTTAATATCGGGACGGCAAACACATATTTCATGCCCGCTTTCCTGCCCACTATTTGCTCGGTTTTGTAGGGACAACGCTCCCGATTTGTGGCCATGGGCCAAGTGTTTCACATTCTCTCGCCGTCTGAAGTGGAAAAACGCCAAGTCGGCGAAATGAGAAAAAGGTTTAAGTATCCCCCCATTAAATTACTCCACTTTGATAGAAATGAATATCCTTGTTCGGGCCACATGACTTTTCCCGCATCAATTCGAGCGCAGTGTAGTATTGCACCCACTCACAAAAACAAAACTCTTAGCCGGTTTTCTTGGAGACGATCAAATTCTGAATTGACTGCGATGACATTCTTAAGGACGTTTGACATTGATATCTCAAGGAGTACTGGTGCCTGTGGCTCCGGGAGATGCGAATGATCAATTGCCAAACCTTAGCAAAAGTACCGAAAGTCAGGGTTCAATATTTTTGAACTCGATACAAGAGAGACAGTAATCAAAGAACGTCAATCATCGTCGTCTTTAATATGCGTGAGAGAAAATAACCGCAGTAATTTGAAAGACTTTATGCCATGAGTGGCTATCGAACTCTAGAGGGCAGTAAACTTGTATTTTTTTCTTAAAACTATTCCATATGAATGCTCGACAGGGGTGATATATTTCGCATCTTATAGCACTGCCAGTCTTCTCAACGTTGATTTTAGACCTCAATTGAAGTCTCTTTTCTACATGTACTTTCATACAAGACTAGAAGCGGGGGAACTATTTGTTTCCAAAAGGGCAGCACGCGGGAAAATAATGGATGTAGTGCTGCTTAATTTGTCACGGTTGCTGCCGCCCACTAATGACATTCACGCTTGGCGAAATTAACACCGCCTTGGCCTATACAGGACGAGGTCATTCGAGATCCGCCCCGTGCCGTTATGGTTCCGGAGGGAGGAGATGGGGGCACCCGGCTAAATATGCACGGGAACTAATGCATTATACAATTTTGTCTTTAATCACTGGCTCTGCTGATAGCACCGTTGGCAAGCTCTATTTTGAAGAGCGATCGTGCCAGAAATAGATTTAAAGTGACGAAGCCCATTGAATCTCATAGAAATGATCTTCCTCCTCCTCGTCCAAGTTTGGAGCTTCAATGATGTCGTCTTCATTCCCAAACCAATTTAATGGTAGATATATTTTGCCTATCATTCATACTTGCACTGCATGGAAACACATTTTGTCCAGATGTAATTTATTTACAAGTTCCAAAAATGGGCAAGAAATGCCTAGAAATCGGGAATAGGGTGTACACAAAAAAAGAGGATTTTTTTTTGAGAGTATGACGACTGCTCTAAATACAGTGCAGTACAATTCCCCAAAATTCTCATAACGTTCTTGAGATAAAGGAAGGGGCGAAAGACATTGCAGAAGTCTAGGCTGTTGAACAGAAGGTTTAAGAATTACACGGTAACGAAAATGGCCTGCATAGGCCTGTGTGCTGCCCCCAAGCGGTCAAGAGGTCTCTAGTTCAGTTCAACGCCTTTGTAAGGAGGTTGGCTAGAGCAACAGGGATCTGACTATAAACGGTAAGTAAGAGGCAGTCTAGTCAGGACTGGTGTCCTATACCGCTTCTATCGGTATCGTGTAAAACTTTAGGTGCAGAAATAAACTATTTACTTTTCCCCTTCATGACAGCCAAGGGTTTCCATCCCATCGCACTAAGTCTGTATTTAAGTGTTTTCGAAGAATGTTCATTCGATCTTTCATTTTTCTAAGAGAGGGCTCTCAACTTGTTGAACATGGGATACTCAAACAGGTAGGCTGGATATGGTTTTTGATAGGAACATGTCGACGAACGGTCAAAGAACCCCGCGGGGATGTACAAGTCGTAAAAATCCGAGCGCCGGCAAGCAATACGTGCTCCAACTCGAGCACCCTCTCGAGCGCAGAAAGCCAAGCCCGAATATCTCGAGCACGCACCGGGGCCTGCATGCGAGTCGCGCGAGCCGGGGCTTTGCCCGGCTCAGGCCGGGCTAGTGTTCCCTGCCTCTCCGGTGACCATGACCGGATTCCGAACACACTTTTTGGCGGGACCGCTAAGTGAGGATTAAGCTGCTCCACCGTTCGAGAGCCACTCTGCGGCCCTCGCCCGTTCATCAACAAGGACCATGTTGTTATCTTTGGCTCTAGGCTTAGGCGTGCCATCATTTACTCCCCCTCTTTCTTGTTTGATCCCCCGACGCCGTCCTGACCCACTTGCATAATTTCAGGTCAGCCCCAAGCATGAAACGTAATTAGGCAAGGGCAGCTTCCAGTATATTTATGTTTATACTAATAACTGGCACTCAGCCTATCCTCCCCCGTTGGATAATAAAGGGGAAACAGAAGGAATCTATCTCTAGATATCCGGGTAGGGATCGAAGTTTGCCACGCCAAGAATGTGTAACAGACCTTTATCATGCTGCCACCATTTTAGTCATGTTCACTGTATTCAATAACAGTACTGAATGATAATGGTATTTTGTGCAAAAAGGAACCAGACTATTTTCCTTCCAGCCTCGCTTTGGTTACATTGATATGTATGGGGGGGGGGGGAAATGGCTGCAACATGATAATGGTCTATTGACCGTTCGAATGTTGGGGCATTTTGACATTCAAGTTTAAATTGCATCTTAACCTATTCATTCTTCAGTAACAACATCTTGTATGTACGATTGTAAGGCAGTAAGACAGTTTCCTGAAAGATTGTCTGAAAAATAGCTTTGATCTAAAAATACAAGCACCATTTAATGAAGTGTTTAAACAAATCTTGTTTAGTTCTTTTGGGGATTTGTTTGAAAGAGGTACTGACAATGCCTTCATACCTAAGTTTTATTCCACCGGTGAAAAGTATGCCACGGTTACAAAAAAATTGAAGGGAAAAAAGTCAGAATAAAGTTTCAACGTTGGAAAAATGGCAAAAAAGCCCCCAGTAACATTTTAAAATTGAATGCACCTATATAAACGCTTTCGACATCCCCGTCGAATTTTAATGCTGTTTGTGCGAATTCTTAATAAGATGCACTTTTTTTGGAAAGTGCATAATACATAAAAACACGTTTGAATCTCCCTATATATTGAAAGATCGCGTTAGTGATTGAACTGCTAATTTCTATTTGCATTCAATTCCATTCGGAATCGGATGCTAATTGGACGGGCAAAAGTCTATAGAACGATTAATTTCAGGCCCATTCTTTAAATTTGGACAGTATTTCATCAGATTTATTCATTTCATTTGTTTGTTTGTTTTGTTATGCTAGGGATTTTGTTACACTACCGACAAAAGTAAAGTTAATCTCACTTGAAGCCCTTGTGTAGAATCTTTTGCCAAATGATTTTTTTCTTTCACTTCTTGACTACTTTTTAAAAATCCAAATGATAATTAAAAAAAACCGACGAGATTGCGGCCGATTGAGTTGGAAGCTTCAAGTAATTGTAAATTCTGAAGAAACAAATAAGACGATTCCAAATGACGATAATTTGATCATTTTAGGCGCTTTCGATAATCCTCTCTTCTTCTTTTTTAACACTATTTGGGTTTAAAGCTGCGTTGTAAATCCAGGAAACCAATTCGCCCCACACAGAAAACTCTAAAGCAAGCGTCTCCGTACCTCGGTATACTGTATACTAATAACTAACGACTGTAGTATTAAGAATGTCATATAAGCATCTCCAAAAATTTCAATCACTTGAGTCGTTTGCGTTCCTCGATCCCTCAAACTGGCACATAATTTCTGTCCAAATGTCAAGATGGCGGGACGCTGGAAGGTGTGGAATGTCTGAGCAGTGATTCGTCACACTCTGGACGGGCCAGCGAGTCCAAAGGGTTTCGGGGGCGAACAAATCGGTTGAGCAGACGGCCAGGTCGGGCCATCATCCCCGGCCCGGCTTGCCGACCGGTCGGCCGGTCCTTAAGGGGATGTTGCTTCATTTCACCGGCACCGGGCGCTCGATGTTTGGCCGAGGTGGTTTTATTTTACCAAACCGTGGTTAAAAAAAAAAAACACCGGATGGGAAATTATCACCCGAAACGCGACATGAATGTTCGCGGGGCAAATTTGCAAAATAAATTAAAGGATGGGCGAGCACCTTAGCCCAGCGCAGGAAGCGATTCCAAGGTAGCTCAGGTATTAACTCAGACGAGGACCCTGGATGGATGGGTTTGGGAATCCGACGACTATTTTATCCGTGGGCGAGTTTAATTTCCTTAATTAAAGCAATAAGTAGGACTAATAACGTTGAATATTTCATAAGGTGAAAAAAAGAGTTAACATGCCGCTTTATAAGGATCGGTGGGCCTGTCAGGATTTCACGATGAATAACGTTTATATTTAATTCTTTTTAAAATCATTTTAAATATTGTTCTTAGAGACAAATGTTAGGGTATTCTATACATCCAGAGATTCATTTTGAAATGGTGCAGTGAAAAAAAAACAGTTCTGTAAAATTTCTAAGACATGATCAAAATTGATTCTTACGGGTTCATAAAACAGTCGTAGTGCACTGCCCCTACAATTTGTCGTCAACTCAAATCCCATACTGGGGAGGTCGATCTTAGCTTTAATATAACCGGGCAGGGTTGAGTGGTGATGCGTGCACATCACTTCATGGATGCATAGAAGGGTCTCCTAGGCAGTCAAGCCAGAGTCTTGGGGCACCCGATGGGTTTTCTCGCTGATGCGTTTTAGAATTCAGGGTGAAGCTATATAGAAAATACAGCCATGTTTTTGTCGAATTCAATTTCGCCAAGAATCAGAAGAGAAGGTTATTACAAGTTGTCATTATATTGGCCTAGCTGTTAGGCCTATGTCGAGATGGGTGCGATTTTTTGTCATTTATTCAGTACCCCTTCAAAACAACACCAGAATGATATCAACAACAATACTTGACTGGGTGAACTCATAAGGACAATTCGACGATAAAATTGCACCAGACTTAAGATTTGTTCTTCATTTTAGTTCCCCGAAAGCATATAATTATGATTTGACGTTCTTTGCAGAAAATGGCTGTCGTTGCAGAAATGGCATGTTGACGTTGCGAGAAAAAAGGGTTAATAAATATTTGGTAAATAGCTCAAAATATAGAGTCTTAATTGTCAATTATCTCAATATAATCGGCAGCCTGTTGACCCAGACAGGAGTGGCCATTGCGTTCGCTGCATAACAATACATCAACAGTGCCCACTGAAGCCCAACGCCGCGGCTATACGGAGTCGATTATACCACGCTCGATTACCTGATGCCGTCCAGGGACAGAGGGATAATCCACGATCGTATTTTCTTAATTTATGACCGCATAGCTGTCCCTGACCCATTCGAGAAAGCGATTTAGTGGCGAATATGAGCTGAGACTAAACATCAACAACATTGGATTCTCATGGTACGCCGCTATTACCGTGCAGTTGGATCATGGCGTTAAGCTGATGTGCGGATGGGTGCCGCGTTCCATCTAGAGTGGTTGCATGGGTTGCACAAGACAGAAAACTATGGTAAACCTTAGTTGGAAATTGGACACAAAATGGCGGGCCGCAGAAAGCACTGATTCATACTGAATGATAATGATAAACATCCCATGCATCAATGCACGTGGCGTCCACTACGTATCCATGAACAAGGGTTGTCGCAACCCTCCCAATAGACCTTATCCACGAGGAAGCAATTTTCGATCGTGTCCCCTGAATTTTATGATGGGAGTGCGTTCCAAGCCACACTTGTCATTTGTTTGTGTGTAAATGTCGCTTAAAACATTACAGGGTATTTTAATTATCAAATTTTAAATTTCTCATCAGAGCAGACTGATAGTAATTAGTAATCAACTTTAATTTCATTGCTTTCATTTTCTACTCGCAAGTTCCAAAAATGAAAATTTTCCATAGCTTTCAATTTAATATGGCCGACTTGTGAATAAAGTCAATATAGGGCCTACCCATCGCACGCCGTGCGCCTACAGTGTAACGTCAACTGCAGACGTACCGAAATTCCGATACCAGCCTACACGTTTATTGTGGTAAATCGTTCGGTTTGCTTTTCTCCATCAAAATTCGGCGTCGCTTGATACCCCCCACCCCCCCCCCCCAAAGTACCGCTTGATAAGATGAGATAAAGACTCTTACGCGAGACTTGGGGTCGTATACAAACAATTATGCCCATCAAGTTTCACTCGGTTAAAGATGGCGTTTAGGTGCCTTACGTATGAAGCGCTCATTGTAGTTTCCACGTGTAACAGGCTCTCGCGTGTCACGAGATCTGCCACGAGAAAGGCCCGATTGTCATGTTTCACAGCCACAGGGGAAGATGATTGGTCAGATGATTGGAATCGTTTTAATCTGATAGAGCGGTTTTACTGCACACGAATCCGTACTTGAACCAATCTTATACCATTGACAAAAAAAGATGGCTGTTATTTCCTTGCTATATTCCTACTGACTGACGTCCGTGTTCACCCGAAGAGGTCAGCTACTGCTATACAGATACACTTATTAGATGGAAATCTCTACCCAAGACACTAGGAACGTTTGTAACTTAAGACACAGACAGTGGATAGGAAGTGTCATCAATATTTGACACTTTATACACAAAAGTAGCTATATGTCATGCGCCCTCACCTTTGCCATGTCGACGACGGTACTAGCCTCGTCCGCTAACTTTCTTTGATCTAATTTCGTTTTCCTTAGCCTGAAAAGGAAAAAAAAAAGAGAGAGAGAGAAAAGAAGAGTTGAAATGGTACAAATTTGCGTCGATCATGTTATTTGTCCGTAGGATCAGGAGGAGCACGAGTGCTGGATCAAAACACGGGCCCACGGAGCGACGGAAATCAGAGAATTGTACTTCAACTTTAATCGCGACTAAGTGGAATGCCGTGAGGCGTAAAACTCGCGGCCTCATACTTTAATCAACGAAGTGATCGATCTGTAAGGCAATTGGGTCACGCTCAGAATGCTTAAAGCGACATAGACATGAATTTTACACTGGAACACTTGTTGTGAACATGTCCATTCCTCTGAAATGTATGAAAACTGTGATACTTCCATTTTTGGTAATTTTGTTTTGAAAAGTGCAATTAACAAAAACTGTTTAAAGCTTTTCTTGACAACTGAGGGCGCTGTTGCGCTGATGCCATAAGGCACAGGCTCTTCAGGTTCAGCGTTTTCTGTTCAAATTGTGCACCAGGAAATTTGCTAAAAACATTTGTGCATATATGTTGCTCAATGAATTACTGTCATGCACTTGAACAACAACGAATCTCCACAGAAATTCACCACAGCAAAAAATCCAAAATTCTAGTAACTTTTAGTGCTGAAGCAGCTGTAACGCTTAAGTTTCATACCTCTAGTGACATCACAGTTTTGGTCATGAATATGGAAATTCGCAATTGGCATAATAACCAAAAATGACACACTTGAAATATGCAACATGAAGATTGAAAAAAAAAGTTTAATGAGACACCAAGGCGCATTTGAAGGAGTGCATTAAAACAAATCTATTTCATGGGCCCTCTAAACTCGCGAATGAATTATCAGAAACGGATCATAACGATATGGCTGTTGTAACAGATGCCACACATTGCTTCATAGTCAATAAATAATCTAGGATATAACCACTCTTCCACACTTGTATCATAAAAAGATGCAGTACTCTTTTCCTGTCGAAATGTGGTTACTGAATTTACAATCCTTCATCGAAACCTATGGTACAAAGAGAGACATGGGTTGGATTGTATGAGTTGCACTTTTATCGTGAAAATTGGAAATAAAATCAGGCCCGGAGTTCTGTAGTCGGTTTTTTTTATTTGGTAATAATTTTGATATCCTTGGGTCATCTTGTGACGCTCTTTCAAGACCGCACGTTCCACTGCGTCCTTGCAGGGGTTCGCAACAATAAAAACATCACATGCATCCCTTCCGCCCGTTACCATGGTTACCAAGGGCTGCTTCAGATGACGTCACGGAGCAAGGAAAGGAGTAGCCAGTATTTCCCCCTTAAAAGAGTTCCGCTCAAATACAACCCTTCAGCCGAGAGGTACTTCTGCTAATACTTCCCCCCCCCCGCGAAATGACCTCTTAACGAACTCGTTCCGCCATTTTTCGGTCCATTTCGGCTCTTCAAAACACTTGTGGAGTGTTTTCCTTTAAGTATTTGACTCGAACTATGTACAGCATTGATCGGATGTACGGTGCATTCAAAGCCGAGTGTTTCCCTCATGGAGTGGGGCATGGGTAATTACAAACAAAATATCAAAGGAGTCAGAAGAAAGAGGGAAAATTGAAGTCTGGGGAGATAAATTACATGGACTTCTACTGTTTTCAAGAGTAACGTGGTTTTTAGGTACGGGATAGCAGCTCAACAAATCATCATCTTTCCGTTAGTTAGTTAGTTAGTTAGTAACAAACGTTGACAATGTCTATTGCTCCTACATATTTTGACCGATTTTAACCAAACTTTGTCAAAAGTATCAGTCAGCCCAGCCCCAACATGTCCCATGACCAAACTGGGGTCAAAGGTCATCGTGGGGTCACTTGGGTCAAAAACATTAACTCAAAACACTACTCGTTCCAGAAATTACATGGCACAGTCACGTGACTCGTTCATGAACACGAATTCGTTGGCACGCAGCCTTCTGGGATATTTGCGATCAAGCTTGTTTTATCTATAGGCATTATCTCTGGCTCCGAGTAAAACATGTAAAAATCCTGACTCTCTGACCACTGTTTCATTTGATGAAAACCAAACACAATTAGGAAAATATCAAATGCAATGTTTAATCTCTAAACAATGGTTCGTCTTCGTGTACTCTTAAGATGTCTTCTTTTCAAAGGTCTTCATTTACATTCTCCATTTATATGGTAATCCTGGAGGGTTTACTCAATGGCAAAGCATTCTCCAAACTCGGCGCCGTGATGAATCGAATACAGCTTGAAAACCTGATGAGATTGATACGGTAAAAGTATACATTTTTTTATGCAAAAACAAAATTATATTTGTCTTCGGACAGAGGTAATCAAACACTTGTTATCCCGTCGGGAGCGGTAGGGCAGACAATGACTTGTGCACTTAGAGATGACGACGACGCACAAACGCTCTGCGGTGCGGGATGAATAATAACACCTAAGCTTCATGCCGAAAAGGATATTAAAAAAAGACACAGACTGATAATCACGTCTACCGGACAATGTTACTTATTCCCCCGGGGTGTTCCCGTCGAATATCACCAATGCGTCTGGTCTTACATTTGTAATACGGCACAAACCCCCTCCGGCACATCTACGGGAACTTTTCCATATATCGATTCTGGATAGAAAACGAAAATCTGCCGGCGGGGGGAAGATTCTGCCAGCTTTTTCCTCTTTGTTTCAACTCTGGCAATGCCAATACTTTTGTTGAAAGTGAGAAACAAAGACAATGATTTAAAGATGCATATGTGAAGTTGAGTTGCCATGGGCGGATGGGTTTATGGGATTGATTTTCAAGACGCCACCTTGTAATCTAACGCCGAATATAATACAGCCCATCTCGACTCCCAAAATAATGAACACGTATAGGATTTAGAAAATGACAGCCACAAAACGTAACCGATGTTTAGTTTTAAAGTTTCTCTTTATGAAATTATTAAGTTTGTTACAGTATAACGTTAACAACAGCATCCGTAACTATAGACCTTGAAACACTGACGATGTAAAACAAACCTGTCCAAAACAACCAGGAGACGACTTATAAGTCAGTGGTTGAATGATCGTCGGTGACACTTGTGGTCACAACGACCTACATTCGTTGACCGTTAAACTCTCAAACTATCGGGGGAAAAACACACTGAAAACAGGTACCAAAGAGATGAATTTCGGTGAAGATTTTTAAGAGCCTTGCGCGTACTTACATTTCACAGTTCTCCAAAATCTGAGAGAGCTATTGGTAAGAGAGTCGATTGAAAAAGAAGAAGCTTGTTTGCAAGTTTATGGCTAGGTGCATGGTACTAACCGGCCTTTGAGCCGTTTTTTTTTTCTAAGAAAGTTGGGATGGAATAGACCTGAGACATAATGACGGCATGCTTTGTTTACATGTGCGCTTTCCTATGGGAGCCATGGGGACGAGAGCCGTCAAGCTTCAATAGGTAAGCGCCCAAGTAAACAAAGCGTGACGTCATTATGTCTTAGGTCTATCGGACCAAAAGTTGCCCTTTTTTGCAATAGAGTGTAGGGATAATTTTGTTGTTTTTCAACATGGCGATGGGCTTGAGGATAACTTTTAGGGGTGATCATCTATAACGGGGGAAATCATCCATGCTTTATTGAACTTTATTAAAGGTGAAAGAGGTTTATCATCCAGTACCGAGGTTAAATCAAGCTTTAATTTGATGTATGTCTCCAACGACTGTGAGAGTTGTACTTTCCCCGTTTAATTAAAGTGGGGGTATGTATCATTGTCGTCTATGAGAGTTCATGTACTGGGCTGCACCCTTTGGATGTGATGAATAAGCTGCCACCAAGCGTTGGCAAAGGCCTCCATTTCTTGGCCAATGTTCAAGCCAAGTTTTGGTCGTTGGTCACATCTATTCGTCACGCGCGTGCAGCCAGGCCCAAAGTGCGATTGCACAGCTGACACCGTGAATTCTCGAGTATTCTCGCAATGCCCCACCGCCCATGCTAAAACGATAAGTGCAGCCGGGCGCATGCCGGCTCGGCCCGGCCCGGACCGACACAAAAGGCGCGAAAAAAATCGCGCCAAAATTTCTTGCAAAGCCATCGATCGTCTGCGGCCGGGGAGAACGACACTTGGTTTGCTATCACTTGAACGATTTGAGAACTAGTAACGGGAACAGAATAATCGTCGATTGGAAAATTAACGAATCTCAGTTTTTCCCAGACCATTTCTGTTTGCTGAATAATTTCTTTACATACTGGTGTAGGCCTATTGAAATAAGTTTTAAGCGTCTGAAATATACTAGCAAATATAAGTGTCTTCAATAAAACTGTTAATCACAAATTACTTTTTCGAGCATTTTTTTTCTTGAGATTCGAGTGGAAATTTGTATTATACAGGTTAGAGTCTACGGACGTCTGGGCGCTTTTATATAGCCGTTCCAAGAAGCAAAGATGTCAATGTTCTTGGCGCTGTGCTTTCTTCTATAGCTGCCAGTCAAGCACTTATGGCTGTCAATCACATTACTTTGAAAACAAAAATGAAAACTGGGAGGTGATGTTTTCGCGCGGGTGATACTTCCATAGAGAGAAAAAACCAACCGCCGGAGGGGACATGAAGTGTGAAGAAGAGTCTCTGTTTGAATGGGACTTCGTCAAGACTGAGTATGCGTGAACACACTCCAACATGTCAAGCACATTTTGTTCTTTTGGTGTTGTTTTCCCCCGCTTTTCCCCCCTCTTTCAGAATTCGCGCCCTCCGGCGCCGGAAGGTTGATAATGATAAAACTAGACGAGCACCGACGACCCGGAGAATGGAATGGCTCTCCATCAAAGATGCAAACGCCCGTGTATAGGAAAATGTCTTGAGTCGGTCTGACACGGGATACGTGTACGCTCGGGGGCAAACTGGGGGAAAATTAATGCATCTCCGGTGCCGGTGTACAGGTGAAGATGATCTGACCGTGTGTGCAGTGTGGCACTCTCGCGTCATGTAGCCAGGCTAGGCATAATATCGGACGACCGAGGCAGCAAGCTACAGGT